CCACTGGTGTTCTTGGTTGAGGGGAGGAAGAGCATGCCCTGAACCTCACCCTCTCCCTCTCCGAATTTTGTACCGATACCTCGAACAAGAGTTGGGTCGTTGATAGGATCGGGGAGGTAGATGGTGCCAGTAGCTGGTTTGGCAGCATCTTGAGCGCGACCGACGGGAACCGAGCCAACTTGTCGCGAGCCCCATCCGATGAAACCGTGAACTGACTTTTGGGCAATGAGGAGGGACGCTCGCCGCTTAGCTTCGTTACGGAGGGTACGTTGAAGGATAATCGCATCGACGAACTATTGCAAGTTAGTAACTGGTCTTGTCTTGTACAACATATTCCTGGTGCGCTCTATCTTTTAACCACGAGCTCCCCCAGATTATGCACAACTAACCTGATTGGCATGTGGCGCGGCGACGAACAGAACAGGGCCAGTCTGAGGAACACGCCAGGCACCTCGAGGCACAACTTCTCGGAAGAACATATCGACGATGTTGCCGACGGTATATAGGAACATATCGTACTTCCAGTTCACCATAGGGTAGAGCTCCTTCTGCGGGGTTGGGTTCGTCGCGGACTGCGGCGCTGCCGCGTCCTTTGTCCCGGCATGTTTAGACATTGCGGGCTTGCGCGGAAGAGCCCAGCGTTATTGAAACAGGTGCGCGAAACGATATTTCGAAGTCGAGCTGTGGATAGATATTATACAATAAAAATTTCGACAGAGCTAGACAAGCGAGTTGTAATCGATGTGAGGGGCGGCGGGCCTCAGTTATGGAGCGAACACAGGATGGACGGTCAGACGGAAATATGACGAGAGATGATATATACAAATGCTCGGTGGTGTTGGTTCTATAAAGAGGTCTGCATTACTGGAACGACAAGGGTGAAGGATATGGAAGAAGATGCAGGATGGAGATGGAAATGGAAATGGAGAAACAGCTGGGGCTGCTGGGGTTGGGAACAGAATGTACTGCACCTCAAGGAGGGGAAGGTACGTGATGGAGGGAGAGGTGTCTGCCCAGTAGGGAAAGGCTGGTTTTAAAGCTGACAAGCTATGATCTTCATGGGATGAGTTAAAAACCACGGCACTTTACATATCTCTTTGGCACATCACAATTGGTTCCTTTTCTCGAGTCTTTTCTTTGCTGTTGCTGTACTGTCTTTGTCGTCTACGAGCTTCCTTTTTAGTTACAATCGCCCGCTCGCAATCCCTTCTGACGACCGAGGATATATACTTCCAAGCCCTATGGACTATAGTCTGCGGCGCAAACCCCGTACCAACCCGTACTCGCACTCGGCGCTTTTCCCCTGCAAACTGTTTATCATCACTCCACTTACATCGGAGATCCGGTGCGGTACGGTGTTGTAAGGAGCACCAGGGTTTTTGCGCAATCAGTATAGCATCAAAGACATTGTTTAACCCGAGCATGCCGGTCACAAGCCACAAATAACGGTTCTGCATGAACAGTACAACAATATTTACTGTCAAGAGCTTCAATCTCTAGGAAGCAGTCATTAAACTGCACCAAGAACAGAGATATGTACCGTCCTGTGGCCTCCTTTGCCCTGCCGAGAGATCACAAGCCCGAGTCACCTATCCATCAATCACAAGTTAATTCACACCACTATCGTCACCACCCCAGCCACTGATAGTTTGTTCAACTCCGGAACCATCCGCTCCATCATGCTACAGTGCCTCTCCATATGGGTCCTTTACCGAATTCTCTTTGCGAATTTCCGAGAAACATCAACAAGGAAGAGAAAAACGCATCCGTGCACCCGTATTCACATGTCAATTGTTGACTCTTTATCGAGGAGTCTCCATCATTACGGTCACAAAAGGTCTAGAGATTAAAATATGTTGAAAACAAGTAAAACCTGCTTGGCGTAAATCTTGTCTATATCAGCCAAGTCCCAACAAAAATGTCAAGCCAAGTGGTGTCAATGCAGTTGAGACCTCTAATGCACGCACCATCAAAACGAGGGGTGTGCACTCTGCAGCTTAGGCACCTATAAAATCGCCGTGCCTCCCAACCCGTAAGACCGTCTGCTCATCCCGAGGCCGAAGGGATCTTTAGATTTCGATAGAAGAGAATAGACGAGATGCTGGGTTGGGTATTCTAAACCTACAGCTGCACAATGCTACACACCTTTCCCCAAACCCCTGCTTCAATATGCAATCGTCGTGATGTGTTATGCTGCAACTACCGTCACTGTTCATATTTTGGTCGTAGGCTTAGGGTAGGTACCATTTTTCACCACAAGTACACCTAATGCATCACGGATGGTCATGTGCTGGAAGTTGTCGCGATGTTTGAAAGCCGTTATTGGTTGGTATTAGTAACTTGATGGTACCGAACTATGGGTAATTAAACGTCTTCTCACGCCTTGGTAACCCGAATTCATCAAAAGCAACGCTGAGAAATATCCAAGTCCAGTCCAATGGCCTTGAGCACTTAGCGTTTCCCACGTCGCCGGCTCTTCTTCTCTGGTACACTTGCGCTGCCGCCTTCTAGCTCGCCCTCCTCAATCTTGCCCTCATTTTCCAACTCTTTCAATTTCTCTTGCCCCGATATAAACATGCTAAGATCGCGATTCATCTCTTGAAGGTCAGCATTCTCTCCTTTGAGTTTCTCCAACTCTTTTACTATTGCTTCGTGGTCGCTGTTGAGATGCTCAATCCGCTTCATCAGTCCCTCGTTCAAACGCTTTTCCTCTTGGAGAGATTTGCCAAGGTTGCGTGCTAACGTTTCGCTCTTGCTCGCCTTGTTACGCTCTCGAGCAAGTTGCTTCTCTAGCTCTGGTATCGTTTCCTGGCTGAGAGTTGTATACTTTTCATCGAGCACTGTCAGCTTTTCCATAGCCTTTGAGGCTTGTGCTGCAGCTTCCTCGGCCGCAGCAGAAGCTTTCGAGGCCTTATCGACGGTCTTGCTGATCAGTTCTTCATAGTATGCCCTTTGAGATTCCAGTTGACTCGTGACCAGATGCGTGTACTCCAGACCAATGCTGTCCAGCTTGGCTCGAGGAACAACATCCTCTTCCTCCAAATGACTGACTGACCTATTTCTCGAAGGAAGTTCCACAACCTTCCCATCGCCTTTATCTCGTATCAGTCGATGAACCCACATGTCTCCAGCGTAGTCCCAGACATGCTGTGTTTCCAGCTCCAGAGCAAAACAATGGGCTGTCTCTTTCCAGTGATCTTTTGCATGGCCACCTTTGTATCGGCCACAGCCCACGTAGCCGCAAATTAAACAAATCCATAGATCATCTGTGCAATCGCAGATGCTGCAGAGATTCGAGACTCCAGACCCAAATGGCTGTGAATGAGGCCCCGAAGGATCTGATTCCGAGGTGGGTGAGGTGTTTGTGAATCGACAGACAGGACACCCAGCACCTTTCCAATTTTGGAGGCATGTACAGTGGAACACATGAGAGCATGGTATTGTCATCAACCCATTTGTCTCATCCATGCGTTCCAAGCATACAGGGCAAGTTGGCAATTCCACGAGATTCGGTGTCGGTGGAGGAAACGGTCTGAGGCTGCTTGACATGCCAGCCGGTGAGGATAGGGGGGAAAGAGCCGCGCTTGATTTTCTTCGTGTTGGTGTTTCGAATGTTATACTCTTGACAAAAACTACATGGCAGATTTGAGGCTGCATCATTGTTAGAGATAGGCGTAGAGAAACTGGATGCTTTGGTCACTTACTTCCACAGTATTAAAGACCTTTCCATCGAACTCTCTCCGCCATTGCTTGGCCCGAAAATTGTCTCGGAACTTGAGCAGGACAAGATATCTGTTCATCCGCGATGTCATGACCATACGACAATGACTGATATCTCCCCTCCATTTTTCTCCAACGAAACCCATCAGGTCACCTGGCGACATATACGCCGGGACTGCTGGTATACAAAGAGTTGTGCAGTCGGTATCCTTTGAGCCACTTGCTTCAGTTTCTTGATGGTTCGTCTCGATGAGCCCGGAAGTCTCGTCTTCTTCTCTGTAAAAGTGTACGACTCCCCAGCCGAGCTCAGTATTTTTTGTCTCGAGAGGAAGAAACTCGGCTTTTGTCGCTGTACCGGCTCCCCCGAATGTTGGCCCCAGTGAAGGAGCCGCAGAAGGACCGCTTCGGGTCGTCTCGCCTGCCATTGCGTGCCCAGTCCTAAGGTCGACCGTCTCGAGGCTAACACGGCCAAACCGCCAGTCTCTAACTGCGTTCTGTGGATGTATCGCGACACTTGAGTTCGGAGGCGGAAAGCTGTTAGCTCGCTCGAGCCACTGTCTCTCGGTTACAATCTCGATTTTCCGTCCGGAGTCTTTGACCGATGGCCTCGCAGCTGCGCCACAATCTATTATACCGAGATTCGACGAGGGCGAGTTTTGCCTCGTAAGAGTGTATGGAGTTGCGTGGTTCGCTGAGTCGTGCTGGGGATCTATAGATCTCGATACTTTGTAAGTGGTTCGTCGGTCTGGTCGCGGATGGGATGGAAAGTCGTCGAAGACACTCGCTTCAGGAGACGGAAGCCAAATTTCGTCTTGAGCCTTAGCTGCTGATGTTGCAGCGACCGGATCAGGAGTCGGATAAAGCTCGAATTTGAGGTGATAGAAGTAAGACGGCATAGCCTGATGTATCAGTCTGCGGTTGAACCGCTCGCTCGAGAAAGATGCACAAAGTCTTGGTCGCAAACTCAGGTTGATCTAGGTACAGAGTGAAGTGTATCGTTTGTTACTAAGGAGGCCAAAATAGATGATGATGAAAGGGTGGATATTTGTAAATCATCATATGCCTGGGTGTGACAGTGACGACGACGAAGAGACCTGACTTAGTGGGTACACGAGTATTTAAAGAGGAAAGATTTAAACTTGCAACTTGCGGCTCATGAGCTCTATGTCGGCCCCACCCATCATGAGCTGGCTGCACGTGGAGTACCCGACAACTGAGGGGCAACTCCACACAGCGTCAACAATATGGCAAAACATGGAACATCACAATGAACAAGCGAGTCAGAAGAGATGACAAATAGTCAAGTAGACTTCAATAGAGTCTATTAGCACCTTGCAGAATATTCACAAGGGCAAAAACTACATAATAATCATGACAGGCCTAGAAGTTGCCTGATCTCGAATTCAATGCCAGTCCCTAACGCCGTCATAAAATCCATCACCGTTCGTTGGAATCGCTTACTGGCCACCGCGAAGTCGGAGAACGAGGTGAAGAGTTGACTCCTTCTGGATGTTGTAGTCGCTCAAGGTGCGACCATCTTCCAACTGCTTACCAGCGAAGATAAGACGCTGTTGATCAGGGGGAATACCCTCCTTGTCCTGAATCTTGCTCTTCACGTTGTCGATAGTGTCACTGGACTCGACCTCAAGGGTGATGGTCTTTCCGGTGAGAGTCTTCACAAAAATCTGCATACCACCACGAAGACGGAGAACCAAGTGGAGAGTAGATTCCTTCTGAATGTTGTAGTCGGAAAGAGTTCGGCCATCTTCAAGTTGCTTGCCAGCGAAGATGAGTCGCTGTTGATCGGGAGGAATACCCTCCTTGTCCTGGATCTTGCTCTTCACATTATCAATGGTATCGGATGACTCGACTTCCAGAGTAATGGTCTTTCCAGTGAGGGTCTTGACGAAGATTTGCATACCACCACGGAGGCGGAGGACGAGATGAAGGGTAGATTCCTTCTGAATGTTGTAGTCGGCAAGGGTTCGGCCGTCTTCGAGTTGCTTTCCAGCAAAGATCAGGCGCTGCTGGTCAGGAGGGATGCCCTCCTTGTCCTGAATCTTTGACTTAACATTGTCGATGGTATCGGACGACTCGACCTCAAGAGTGATGGTCTTGCCAGTGAGGGTCTTGACGACTATGAGGAGTTGTTAGAAGTAGCTCATGTGGCGACGAGGTCGGTGTAACTTACAGATTTGCATACCACCACGGAGGCGGAGAACAAGGTGAAGAGTGGACTCCTTCTGAATGTTGTAATCAGAGAGAGTGCGGCCGTCCTCAAGCTGCTTGCCGGCGAAAATCAAGCGTTGCTGGTCGGGGGGAATGCCCTCCTTGTCCTGAATCTTGGACTTGACATTGTCGATAGTGTCGGAAGACTCAACCTCGAGGGTGATGGTCTTGCCGGTCAAGGTCTTGACGAAGATCTGCATGATGGCGGTGATCTGTCGCGGAAGTGATGTGGATAGATGGTAATCGGATGAAAGAAGGTCTTTATTATCGCTGGTCTTGAGCGAAAGTGAAGTCTTGGGTGAGAGATGTTTTGGGAAGAGAAGAGGATGAAGTTAGAAAGAGGTGGGAGAGGTTTAAGTACTGAGGGGGAAGGTTTGTTTGATAATCAAGCGGGCGGGCAGGCGAGAGGGGGCGCAGTGACCGGATTACGCCTGCCAGTGACGAACGGCACCGGCAAGGCAGCGTGGCAGACAACCCAGGAGCGCAGCTTCCGGGGGGATGATTCATGAGAGCGAGTGACGGTTGCGACTAGGGAAGGCTCCAGAATCTGGCCAGGCTGCAGAGCGCCACAACAAGTTCTAGATACTTTTTTTTATGTGGTGCTACAGCTTGATTAAAAGTACTCAAGACCTGTCACTTATCGCAGTGAAGTGGGTCCAAGTTTCGCCAAAGGCTGAAAGTCAGACTGATGTCAGGAGCGGTGTTTGGATGTCTATTTGTTCATTCATGCTCTAGCATCTTCGAGGAGGATCTCGAAGCACTTAGAAATATAAAAGCAAACCGTGGCCTCAAGTTCAATCCAAGCCTTTATCTGACGTGCCTACAACAACCAACAACCACTAACTAAACTAACAAGTCAAAGCGTGTCTACCATAGACCTACGCAGTCACTTATCCATTACCGTCTCATTCACCATCTCACCGTGATTCACCACACATCAGCAGATACCCACGGTCTAGCGCTAGAATGCACGAGAGCGGAGTGGCGGAGCCTGGAGCGGGCATGTCGCCACTTTACCCCGGGAAAGACAAAAAGCAATGCTTGTTTGGATGTCTCGAACAGACGCAATTCGACCATCACAAATTTGTTTAAAAGGTTGGCTAATTATTCAAGCGTTTTCTGGGAGATCGCAGGTGATCATTCCCTAAAGCTTCAGTGACCAAGCCTTTGGCTCAGGAACCGATGGCAAACACTCTGGATCAACACGCCGAGATAACTCAAAGTGGATTTAACAGGATATGGAGTAGGTCTAGCACCATTGTCAGAGACGGGAGACTTGGTGTACCTGGACGGACACCTCTCTGGCATCAAGAGCCCAGCACTCAATTCACTTGCAGTCTGCTATGCTGAGTTTTCACAGCAGAAAACTTGACGACGCTCAACTCTCAGTCCAAGTTCCAGATCAAATGTCGCGGGGGTCACCGACTTCTGCCGCCCGCTGAATCCGGTCTTGTCGGTGCTCGCGACGTCATCAGCCAACGATTCTGGCCCGTGAGGACCCTGTCTCGAAGACTACCCTGTTCGCATCAACTTCTTGAACTTGCTGCAACACAACGAGGCTGGTAACGTTTCGAGTTTGAATCAATGGCAATGCCTTGAATTCGAAGGCATTCATTTCCAGCCATGGTCGTCTTGTTGCTTTCATCTGCGAACAATCGCCTCACTGTTTCGATTCGTTATCAAAGCTAACAATGAGCTTATCTCAAACAATCATTGCTTAACATGGCGTCTTATCATGACCCCGCCTTTGTGGTGTTGGCAAGGAACCTCGTGAACCACCCAGACCCCCGATTCCGTGATAGCTCGGCGATGCCTGAGGGTGTCTATTGCCATCGGTCCGCCCCAACAGCCATGGTGTTTCAGTTAATGTCATGGCTGACTGTGTTTTTCGCTTTCCTCTCCAGCCGTTGCAAATATGCGCCTGGATTAGGAAACCTCCTAGTGTCGAGTGAGATATTGTCTCAAAAGCTTCTGAAGTTGGGACTTCAAATGATTCAAGCAGAACATTACAGGAATGGAGCGGCCTCGGGGGTAATAAAACCTGACCTTAGAACAAAGTACCAAAGTCAACTGGTTTAAACATTTATTAAAATACACTAAACTTACCCAAGCCTCTTCATCACTTAGGACAAAAGTCCTAGGTTTTCTTGCTAGTTATCTAACCATTCAGAGGTATCATGGTCATGCACTGGTCATTCATTCACAGCTTCCGTTCAGACTCAAGTTTAAGGGTTTAAAAATTCCATTCGATATACTTGTGGCAGCTCTGTAGCACTTGCCAAGCATAGAGCCTTTTTTGTAACTATCCCAATATCCCTTTGACAAACTGCTAAGATAAAAAAACACGATTCGCTCTGCTCTTCGTCGTCGACTTCGCACTCTGCTTGTCGCGAGTCCAGCCCACTTGAGCTCACCAACGCCCTCCAAAGACACTGTAAATCACACACACCTCCCATATAGGCTTATCAGCCATGCGAAATCAATCATTCCTCAAATGCCACATCGTCAAACATGATCCCGTAATAACACCACAAAATGGGTGAGGTTCGCTATCATCTGTATGGTACGGTCGTTCTTCTCTGTCTCCAAGACTTTAAAACAATAAAACAATAAAATATGATAAAAAGAACTAGAACGCTCTGTCTTCTTCAGTCATACAATCATAGAAGAAAGTCATAAGAAGGTCATAACACATTTTCCCGTGTCAGGTAGCTTCGTGTTGTCGGGCGGTGACCAGCCGTGATAGAATGTTAGAGTCATGTTCGTATGCTCAAAAAGGACAAATCTGGGGTCGCTGTTGACCAAGATTGAAAAGGCCTTGTCAACGCTTTCGCTGTGGTAAAACAAATGCAACAAAGGAAAGGAGAGCCCCTAGAGGGCCCTATCATATGTTTTGACATTGTCATAGCATCGTGACTTGAGTAGCAGCATCTTAGTTGGCCCGAATAACAAGCTTCGAGAGGAACTTGTTGGACAGGGAGTCGAAGTCGTAGCGGTCAAACTTTGACTCCTTGCGGGTACGAAGATAAGCCTCTGTGATGGTCGTTAGTACGCGATATATGAACAATACTGTCAAGGTGTACATACCGTGCTTGATGACATGCTGTCTCACTTCAGTCATGGCCTCGCAGACCGAGGTGTTGTTGTGGAGGAGGTGGCCATGCTTGCGTGTGTCCCAGTCGGTGAAGGCAGGGAGCTTCTGGGAAATGGCGTGGAAAAGACCCACAATAACACCAACAGGTGTTGTCTCCATATCAGTGCAGAACTTATTGACGGCAACAGGGTCGGGGACTCGGTAGTGGCAATCGAACTGCATCTCCTCCCAGACGGCAAGGAGGATGGAGGCAATCATGAAGATGGTAGGCCAGTTCTTCATCTTCTCACCACTGTAGACACCAGAGTACAGGGCAGAGAGCTCCTCGAGGATATCCTTCTGCAACTCACGCCACATGTCGGCGAGGGCACACTTGATCTGGAAGTTGATCATGACGGGGGCGACAGTACGACCGTAGTACTTGGAGTCCTCATCGTCGATCTGACCGTCGAGGTCAACCTCAGATCCCTGGTTCTCAACCATGGTGATGTGCATGGTGAGGTTGTAGGCAAGGACCAGCTTAAGCGACTTTCGGATAACAGGCATCTTCTCCTTGACATAGTAGCGGTGAGCGGTCTTAAGGATCTCGGTGATAAAAGGTGTACCCTCGAAATGGTCGTCAATGAAGTCTTCGAAAGGACCATCAATGTGCTTGTCAAGATACTCAGAGAGTGCATCAAGGCGAATACCCTCAGCACCAACGTCAAGCTTCTCAGTGCGGGTCTCGAAATCAATGGGCTCCTGGTCGGTAAGTGTGGACTCGACCCAGTCAACCGAGAAGCAGCTATCATCGGCAACGAAGACCTCGCGAACCATAACGGGGAGCGCAAAACCGTAACCGTGGGTGATCCACATAAGGGTCTCCTTCTGGGCGAAACCCTTGACGTTGTAGACCGAGACACCACGGTCCATGTGTCGCTCGTAGTCGGCCTTCCAGTCCTTCATGAAGTAACCAATATCCTTGATGTCGATACGAGTGCAAGGAACTTGCCAGAGACGGGCGTGAGAAGGCTGGCAACCAGCACAGGGCTCACCCTTATCGCAAGTCTTCTTGAGGAATTTGCATCGGAGGCAAGCTCGCAATTTTCTGATCTCACTAGCCTGCTTTCTCTGCTCAGGTAGAAGAGGTCCCTTTCTGCGGCCAACCTTCTTCTCAACGGTACCATCCTTCTTGCCATTGGAAATACGTCGAACAACATTCTTAGTAGTGCTCTTAGCAATGGGGCTCTTACGAGGACCCGAGTTTCGGCGGGTAGTGCTGCTAGAAGCTGGGGAGACAGATCCGGCACCACTGCCGGGGCTATGACGGCTCGAAGAGGGTTCAGACTTGATAGGGACAGTGGCGACAGCGGTGGCAGCGACAGTGTTGGTAGCGACAGGCTCATGGGTATGTGTGTGAGTGTGAGCGTGGTTGTGATTGTGGCCATCGTTGCTGAAGCAGTTGCGGTGGTTACCAGCATCCACATAGCCGTCAGACTCGGGAGAGAAAGGAGAGTAAGGGAAAGGCGCAATCTCTTCGAAGCTTCCAAACTCCATGGAATTAGCGCCATCGGATGAATCGGAATTGGTTCTCAAGTGAAGAGTTTGGGAAGGGTTGAAGATAGCAGCGCCCTGCGCGTGAGCTTGTTGGAACTGATCAAAGTTGGGCTGATTCCAATCCACCATGGCCCAGCCCTCGCCCGAGGATGAGGGAAGAGACAAAACCTCGAGGTATGTACCGGTAGGCGAGTTGCTTCCGACGCTATCAAGACGAGGTAATCCATCCATCTGCAGAGTATTTTGGAATTCTTGCCAGTCCCCCATTCCGGTGTTGGGCCATACGGCTTGTGTGTGGTCGTCCATTGGCAGTCCGTTGAATGTCGATTCGAGGAGATTGGCCTGAAGAGCAGCCTGTGTAGTCGCGGGAAGATAATCAAGGGGGTTGGTCGGCTGGAAGTTTGCAGGGAAGGCATTGAAGCTCATGAGGGCAGCATCTTGGATGAACTGTGTCATATCAGCAGCAGCGAGGTGCTGCTGTTGCTGTTGCTGTTGCTGTTGCTGTTGCTGTTGCTGAAGGGCCCAATCCGTCAAGGGGTTCACACTTTGCTGAAAAGGTGATTGTTGTAGCGGCGAGTGCTGGCTATGAGGACTGGCGGATTGAGATGGAGGAGAGGACTGGTGCTCCTCCGGGCTCATGGAGGCATAGCCATGAGAGTTGTTTGAAGACATATCGAGGGGAACAGCCCAGTGTCGGGCGTCCTGGGGCATGATGTTTGAAGCAGCCGAAGGACTCGAATGGGTCGTGGCTGTCGAGTACGTTTGGTAAGCAGCGCGATTTCGAGTATCGAAGGTCGTCAAGTCGAGATAGGCATCACCCCCGCCGTTGTTGAAGTCGTAAGTCATTCTGGGCAAAAAACAGAAGGGGAGCGGAGTAGGAAAAGGCGGATGATCGATAATATTGTAGGAACTGAGCGGACGACACCGCTCTTTCGTGAAGTCCCTTGTTGAGGTGAAGGGAGGAGGTCTGAGGTTTTGGAGCAGCTGGAGAAGGAGAGGGACTGCTGGAGAAGGCTCAACGGCGGGTAGATCATGGGTTAGTCTCGCTGCTGTGGGCGGTTTGTCGATGGGGGAAGAAGCGGTGAAGCCGTCGGAACATGCAGCCAATGGCCAAGCCACCTGAGATGGAGGCGCCCACCCACTAGAGTGGCCGCTACATAAGCCTATCCGCTGGCGGCGTCCGCGCCAGTGAAGAGCACACGACCCGCTATGGATCGCATGGATCCCGCCTAGCACCTCACAGGCTCACATCCCGGGAACCCTTACTGTACTGGCTGTTCTGCTGCAACCCTCCTGCGCCTCTTCCCGGGTGTTGGACATTGACCAATTGTGGAAGTGGGATCGATGGCATGACAGAACCTGGTTCATCTGTTAAGGATCCCTCGTTGGTGCCATGTAAACACAAACAGGTTTACCCCGAGCCGGGTCTAGCCAACCACCTTAGTAGCCGCGGCCGCCGCCATCGCTCGAAAGCCATGATCCAAGGTTTCGGTTGTCAGAAACTCAGTCTGTAATCAGAAGTCAGTCAAAAATTTCCGAGTACAGACCCTTATCTCGGTGATCATGCTGTTTTTTGCTGTCTATACCACCCTCAGCTCTACCATAATATGTCGCTCTGTGATTCTGCGATAAAATACCGTAGCATATCTATTCCCTCATGGTGTAAAATGAATTCTGTCTCCTCACCAGACCCCGATCCAGTCGAAACTCGATAGACTTCCCATGAATCAAGGACTCGACCTATCACCAGTGATCAAGGCCCTAGTCAGGACCCGAAGGGCCCATAATCCAGCCATCCTCCTCCGCCAGGATAGTAGCTTATAGGCTATGGTATACTATTTTTCACTTGGCTGTCCGCTTGTCAGAGAATCACGATACGTAGCGGGTCTGTTGTGCCAGCAGATCCATTGTGGCCATAAATCGTGCATGAAATCCAGGTACCCAGTTGTCTATGTTCCTGAGAGGGTGACTGGCCTACGATTCTAGTTGATAGATGCGAATTTTCTAATATCGATATCTTCTGAGCGCTCTGTGATCTCTGTGATCCAAAGATGAGGTTGTTTAGTCAATGTCGTGATAAGATTCAGATCTGCTTGACTTGCGCCATCTTATTTCTCTAGTCCCAACCTTGTATTAATTGAGGCCACCCCACCGAGGCCCTTCAAGTGTCAAAAAAGGGCCCGGACCGGACATGATACAGTGCATTTGGCGCTTCAGAAGTTTCATTCCGACTAACTTTGGCTGGGATACAGTGTGTTCTCAGACTGTCTACGAGCTCGATAATCTGTCATCCTTTGCCATCCCACCAGCTCATCTTGCAGCAAAGCATCGTTACAGCACAGCATTGTTGGTGGTTGCATTGCTGCAATGCAAGCAAATGGACTTATAGTGGCAATGACGAGATAAGCACCAGTAGGATTCACACATCACGAAATGTCCATCTGGCCAATCCCCCTCACCTCTTGTCCTCCTGCATATTATTACCTATCCCGTTCGCCTGCACGCCGTGCATCTTGATACTCCACCGTCTGCTACTATGTGGTGCAGTTGCAGTTCTGCCATAGCCTAGACAGCACAGCAGAACTCGCCGCTCGCCCACTCCGAGATCAAGTCAAATCTGAAGACATCGCCGAGGCCTGCAGGTCATTCTCAACCTGTATAGGATGGACAGTACGGCGGTAAGCCACATGCTGATGGTAACACAACCATGGCGGCATGGCCCTTTCAAAATGTCTCGAGGCTTGGAATGCTGCACCATCATCCTGCACGTGCGATAGTTTGACTTGCTTTGTACCCCCGGTACTAAGGTATGAGTTGTACGGTCCGAGCCATGTCACGCATTACATTGTCTGAGTGAGGAGTCTCGGGATTTTGACGGCCTTTACCAGAAGAATGAAGAAGAGAAACCGCATTGGCTGGACAGACGAAGCAAGTTGCCACAAAGCATCGGATGTTCATTTGGCTGCTTGGGCGGTAAAACTCCAAGATGGATCATCTTCAGCCGTCTCACCAACCTAGGCAATGGACCGAGAGCCATTACAACCCTTTGCCATGGACATGGCCTCACTGTTTACAAGAGGACAAGTCCAGCGCCAGCTTCGCCGAAACACTAACCCTTCAAGACTGAGACCCGGACTCCACCTCAGGGTCTTGCAAGGGCTGGCTGGTTTAGTTAAGCCGTCGATCCCCTCAAACACCCCATTTGGCTGTCTGGTGTGGTGGTGATTGCCAGCGAACACGTCCAGGATCAGTGCAGAAACATCTCCATTCAGGACATCACAGCCAATAGATAACCGGCATTTAGCAGAATCTGGTTTATGATGCTCTCGGGAGATGCACGATATGCCCCGCGAACTTGAGTTAATGCGGCAAATCGTTCGTCAGCTTTTCAGTTCCCATTCAACCTCGTGGTTCGTCGTTTATTTGCGGATAGCTGATGTGGTTGATCACGATTAAGAGCGTCCATCATTGTCCATTGATTTCTAGACATGTCGCTTTCACATACAATGTTTGGCTGGGCTGATGAAGTCGCTATGATTGAGATGAGAATGTATAATTGGTGTTGGGTACATCTCCATTGATGTCGATATTTCGCTCATTAGGCTTTCAATAGTCGTTGACGCATACCATACGTGCTTCCTCAACTGACCAGGCTACCCCAGGCTTGCATTGGCGAAGGCATAACATCACAATGCTGAAAGCAGAGAATCGTCAATCGTCGATCCAGTGATCAATTGCATTGATAGTAAACAAGATCAGAAGCCTTGCAAGCCTTGGTTTCTATTTAGTGTCTTGACTAGTAATTTCTGCACGGCAAGTATGTAAAGCATCAGGGCGAGCGAGAAGTCCACTTCAGGCTATCAGCGATCTTGATCTAGCCTGGCCATCTCCCGCGTTAGGCGTGCATACATCGATATATCGATCATGGAGGAGACAAGGAACTACCGGCGATACAAGTGTATCAGGGCAATACACAGCCTGATGTTGTGTCTTCTCAGCCACGTAAAGACGCTGGCCAGCCTCTCCGGAGTAATGAAGCAAAGACCATATGGTGTCTGTGTGTAATGTTTCTCAAGCTTAGTAGTAGCACGAGGCCTCAAGACATGGCGCACTGTCTTCTCTGCGACCTGCGGCCAGACCGCAACGCACGTTCATGCTGGGAGGTGGGCAGTGATGTCAGAAGCTCCCTCGAGAGAGCGGGATGAGACAATATCTAACACTAACACACTAAGATTCCGAGTCTCATGAACTCGAGGGAATGTAAGCTGACATGCTCCGTATCAACCTCTGACTTCCCCCTGATACAGCTTCCTTAGCTGATTCTTGATGTGTTGACCGCATCTGATGCTACAACCAGGGTTCTCTTCAACACCCTGGCTATTCTCCGTGTGCACGTCTCATCTTGTGGTAGTGCCCCCTTTGGTATCTCTCTATATTGAGTCTAGTCCCAGATGGATCTGCGGCCTTATTCACGGAGAATCGATGATGCGTGGTGTAGCAACGGTGTCTCTGATAATTCATGCGGATTAACTAGTTTTGTTTCTCAACAGAATAGCACGAGTCAGGACGTTTGAGAGCAAGGCGCGCGCCAACACTTAATTGGCTCATCCAATGATCAAGGTTCATGTTGATTACAGACTCTGTAGGGCCGAACAGGTTATCAAGGCAAATGGCATGTTGTTCACGATTGGTCTGGCCAACGCAAAGGGTTAACAGATGTAGCCATAGTTGGCAGTTGTCCGTAGTAGCCGCATCGTATCTCCCGGTAGTTCCACAGTCGATGGATTCGATGCGCCGGCTATTGGCAACTCTGTTGCCATCAGACCATTTTTGACGCAGGGGTAGATTTTGACGCTCATCAGAGCAGGGGATAATCTTCGGCGGTGAAGATTTTGACCAAACACTGAGGAAGAAACGACTCCATTCCTCGATCCGGATTCTAATTCAGGAGGCTTCAATCAATACTGCCGCTTATCGTGTTGTCTCTCTCTTTTTACCTTTCATCTGGCTGGCCGAGAATATGGGGATCGGCCCCCGACACTCCGCTTCACCTCCACAACATCTCCGAGCCGATCGCTCCCCGCCGTGGGCCGTGGGGACGCAATCCTCTGTAACATCTGGTCTCATCTTCGTGGCCCTTAGACCATCACAGGTGCGCACTATCAAAATGTCGTGGCCACGTCGATCTGTCGTATAGTTAGTTACGAGGGGCTGAGTTTGTGTTCACCTGCACCGGCTAAGGATCAATCCGGTGCAGTCTGTATTAGTGGCCATAAGCTGGTCACGCAGCTGTGAGAAATGAAACCAAAAAGATAAACTATCATCATCCTTCATTCCTGAGGCCAACATCCGAGGTTTGTGCCAAGTATCTCACATCATGGCGGTGGTTTCTTGCACGTAGAACGTCAAGTTCGTCCTTAATCTTTAACCGTTGTACGAGAAACACTGAGTAGTCTCACTAGTACTACTCGATCAATGCTATGTCGTCAGATTCTGCAGCTACACTCAAGATCACCAGTTGTCGTGCAAGTGTGGCCGTTGGTCACCTCAACTGTTGATTGACAACTCACAACTGCTCCACCTCAAGATATAATATCTCCTTACTACACTATCAACATCTTCATCGTGGTGTTACAGTCTGCATAGTATCGGCTTTCATTCATCAAGTTGGATGACATTCTGCAGGTAAACCCAAGGCACCTTGGCTCCTGTCTTCATTGCCTTTGGGCAGCTCTGCAGCTGTTCACCTAGGATGATAGGCTGAGCCCCACGCATGCATGTATATGATGTAGAGCCAGATTATGTAGCTAATAATGGTTCTTTGGGGACATATGCATGTATGTGTTGTTACATGCATCTTGGTCTGGAACCTTCCAATCGCTTTGTGTTTGGCAGAGCAGTTTGCTCGAGTCCGAAGTCGAAAGACTGTGACTCATATTTGGCTTGCTATGAAGTTGATGCATTCCCTCCGAGAACGTCCTCAACTACATGCCTTTGAGTGGCTTGACTCTCATGGTATGAGGCGCAGCTATGTAATAATTAGGAATCACGCTGATAGCATCATGTCAAGCTGTATTATTCGCCTGAGGCTCACTACGGCCGAAGCAGGACCCATCGACTTCAGGTTTATATCATTGTTCCATCTAATCTACAGAATACCTCGACTGAGGACAAGTGGTTTTGTTGCCAAGTTTCACTGTGTTTGTAATATGTCACTCAAAACATACTCAAGCCGTGTCACTGTGATGTTTGCCACTAAGTCTTCTAAGAGGAGTTCCAGTAATAGGACTTGCAGATTCTATACACGTTTCTTCACAATCAAATATTACCCGGAACCACATAGTATGGCAGTCTATATGGTAGCATGCACTTCACAAACAGAGAACGTATTAGATTTATGACATTGCCAATATACTTTTACATCGTACTGCACTGTGCCAGCGACTATCATCAAATATCGGGGGGATGGATCATTGAGACGTGCAAACTGGTATCTTGAAAGGATCACAGTCATTAAATGTTGCAATTCATCACTCTGCCGGTCAACGGAGAGACTTGTTTGCAGACTCCAGGTTGCAACTGATCGTCACATACCTAAATCGTGTTGCTTCACCACAGACCTTTTAGTATCGCAGATTCAAGCTAGATAATACGCAAGGATATATTCAGTGATCATATGGAATATCCCTAGACTTGTTGGTTTCGCTTTTCTCGATTCATATCTTGCAAGAGGGGAACAGAAACATACAAGTGCTGGATGTATCAATTGACTTTTACGTTATAAAACGATCGCCACGCAAATAAGCGATACGAAAGTCATTCAATATCAAGTTCACATGCTACCAAGATTAGGTCTGTGTTCACCGACGAGTTATTCAGGAATAAACATCTGAAATTATGAAATAACTCATTTACCATTAACATCGACTATGGGGTATATAAACGCAACCGGATAGAAACAACAAACCTGCTGGCTGATCATGAATAGCAGTGAGACTTTTGAGAACCATCAGCGTGCAAGACCGACAACTGATTGACATGAGCATATGAGAGACATGTTAGAAGAGGGAGAAAATACTAGCCCTACAGGGCTTTGAGGATCCTGCAATCATCAGCCAGGACAGATGAAGAAATGTGTTAACAAATCTCAAAGTAGACAACAAACCTCAGTTGAGGTCTTTGTTAAGGTTGTTCTAGCTCTGTCCTTACATAGGACTCTTACTGTCCCAAGATTCGGCGCACGCCATAACATTGATGTGCATGCTCAGCGAATCCTTCTGTGGACCATAGACGAGTCAACAGCGCAAGAAGAGGTCGATAAGGCCCAACATCCGCAGGCACAAGCTCGGAAAGCGTACTCTGGGGAAGCACGCCTTGCATGTAGTGGCTATAAGTGACAAGGCATCCCTGGCAAAGGACACCTTTATCGGTGCCAGCATCTGAGAGGGATGGGAAACGGATGGAAGCCATTCCGCCAAAGTCATCCTCTACAACCTCGGCCTTTCTTGGTAGTCTTGAGAGATCGCAGCCTGGAGGATCTAAAGGAGCCTCATGGAAGTGCCTGAATATTGCAGCATCTTTCATGGACGTTCTCCCAGGACGATATGTTGGCCTCAGTCTGGTCAGCTTCTCTGCCGAGCCATGTATCTCTAGGGCAAGCTCCTTTGCTTGCTTGACGCTGACAAGGCGTTCAGCCTGCTTATGCACGAATTGGAACCTCAGACCAAAGGTGCCAGGAACGCTGTGCATAACAGGAATGCGTTGGAGATCATGGTCAGTGAGACTAAAGCACTCCTTCGCCATAGCCGGAGACGTCATCCGGAGAGCCTGGTTCTCATAGAGACACTCAAAACAAACCCTCTCACAGGTTGGCAGGAAGAGAAACCCCCCAAAAGCGAGACACGAGACACATCTGCTCTGCCGGAGAGCAGAATGAAGCAAGGTAGCAGGATGGTAGCTCAAAAGATGAGTCTGTCCCAATACAGCCAAAGCCTCGGGAGCATGTTGGACCATCTCCCAATACACCGGCAGGTCCTCGATCACATCCTTTCCTAGAAGAGAAACCCGCGACAGGCGGGACAGAGATTGGAAGTCGAGGAGATCAAGCACAGACAATAGAAGCTCTGCGGGGAGACAATCCAATTGGCCTAGAGAAGAAGCCAGAAGTCGTGGCTGGTTGGAGATGGATGTAGTGGATGGGAGCAATCGATTCCGGTTGGGTACATAGCGAATCATGCCCTTGAACTCTGATTCCTCGGTACGGGTGAACTGTTGGAGGACGTTGCAGTGTGTAGCCATGGCGTGTTATTAAACAATATGTGAGAGTGTAGTTAAGTTATACGACAAAGTTGGAAATCTTTCCGCACAATGATGCAAAGAAGAACAAAAATTATAGAAGAGACACTAACTTAGTAGACGAATGGACGACACTAGACTTATAGGTTAGAAGAGAAAAGCGGTAAAATAGTTGCACGAGTGAGTGCTCTTAGACCTCTCGAGAAAGGCCGAGGTTACAGGCTGTGTAGAGACTGACTCAGCAGAGTGAACCGCTCAGATTCCAGGATTTAACACAGAAAAAGCAAACTTGGAGTCTAGGGATATTGCTTGGACTGGACGGATACGCACAGCTGGGTGGGCTTTCCCTGCATGGGCATCAATTAAGCGCGGGGTCTGATATGGTGTTGGGGGCACTAAAATAAGTGAGGCTCTGATCTTGATGGAGTATAAATCTGATTTTCTACAACCTCACAACTACCAAGCTGTTTGGTACAGCTAGCGCTATATCCTATACTCTGGTTCTTTTCTTTTCTCTCATACTCAACACATCTCTTGCTTGTTTTTATGACAGATACCATGAGCTGTCTACTCCAAGGTCCTTGTCTCGGCTATGTACCATGGATGATATCGTGCATATGCCCCGGACCGGTTTGACAAGCCGGTCTTTGAGTTCCGGTCATGTCCCCACCATGAAATGTCTAACCTAAGCATGGGTGCATATTAGAGCAAGATGCCATGCCACTGCACCAGAATATCTCGTGGTGTTTTGTTCCCGCGGAATTCCAGAGTTTCAAAGGGCGTTATCAGCGTATCGAATAAGAGTGTTTGATCTGTTTCTTATCATAATAGATTCCGTGGTATGTGTACTTCCTCGGATCGGCCCTTTGTTATGCTTGAGTGACATGACGTTGGATGTCGGCAAACCAACCGGCTTATACATTTGGTCCTGCAGACCTGCACAACGCATCCATATTCTGATATATGTTTACAATACAGAATTACTAAACGAGGTAAAGCTATCAACCGGGCTCGAAAATGAGACTGTCCCAGGCTTGTTATTTGCTACCCAGTTATTAAACAGATCCGACAAGTCACGATACCATTATTCTTCAATTACTCATAACTGTTCCTCGACACAGCTCTGGCTCTCGCAATTCTACGTCTTTTCTATACCGACTCACAACCACGCACGTACATGGCAAACATATTAATTAGACAACTTCATCACAACATCAAATGGTCAATCATATCTCCCTCCATTAATTGATCGATCTTCATTAGCGCCCCCACCAACCAAAGACAATGAGTTGGGGGTTGGCTCGGTTCGGGCCAAGCTTCGGTCGAGAACTCGGATTTTCGAAGGACATTGCTCGCTCGACTCATTCAACTTCCGCGAGTAGCGCCGGACTTTCTTTTTCGTATGTCTCTCAATATTTGGGATCTGCGTCGTCCCGTCTTTGTCTCACCTTGTTGGGATAGTTAATCCAGTGAAGTTCTCGTAAATGTGCAAATGATCACGTCCTGCTGCAATAGCTACAGTAGTGCGAAACTGAGCCGTCTGAAACCGAACAACTCTTGCACGACTAGTCAACTAGCGCAACACTTTTATGTGTCGAATGTGTTATTTCTTCTCTGAGACTTACAGGCCAAGTTAATCGGAAACTTACCTCCGCCTTGACGTGCAAGTTAGAATACCCTAGCGTCGGTGCTTGAGAACCATGCTCTATGCAAAAATTGCTTCTAGAAAACCTGCTAACAAGAATTTTCTGGCTGTTTCGGACCGATACATGTGGCGTGCAATGGTTTGACGGTGGCCGAGGACAGGCTGTGATGTTCTGGCTGGAAACTGCTGTTTCTGCTCCCTCTTGCAGGTTCAAATACGGCTGTTGTGTGTCAGAGGCGTTTTGAGTCTGCATATCTCATGTTGTATCTGGTCTCCTCGGCTTATACCCGAGGTCTCTCACTGACTCACAAAACACCAAGAATTGGAGGGTCCTACAGGTTTGGTGTCGATGTCAACTATTGTAGTTGTAGTATCGATGTAAATTTATAATCGTTTCTCTTACTATTCCCTCTTGAAGAATACTCCGCACGATCACTTGCGCATTTGAAAGGTTCCGTTCAGCGGTATGTGGATAATTTTGCCTTGGCTTCGTTCGCAGACACCACATATCATTTACGGTATTCTTCAGTAGATACCAGTGTTTCCAAAGTCAATTGCTTTAGCTGCTGGTTAAAGTTAGAAAACCTGGGCTTGACAGTGAGTCTCTGGTTCTTAACTGAATCTCAGAAACTATAATGGGTCTGGATTCTCAAAGACGACTGAATATCGCCAAGCTACTTACAATTATGCCAAGACAAGAAATATCAAAAAGCCTTGAACATTTATCTACGAATTGATCCAAGTAATACTAAGTTTAGAAACAATATGGTTCATTGAGTGCCTCTTTGCCCACACGCAAAGTGGAGGTAATTGAGAATTCAATTTTATACCCAATGAAAGATCTGACTACATCCCATGACTTTCAAAATACTATAATTTTCCTGGCATAGTTTTTCTTGGATATCTACCTATGTCGCGAGAGAGACTCGTCTTCTACATATAAGTGGCAAAAAAAAAGAATGTTGAAGACTACCTGCAACTTCCAACTTGAACCCATTTATGATGTAGCCAAGTATACCATCAGCATTGTGGAACACAACCACAGAATGATATTGGTCCCATAACAGTCTCCTGAGATTGTTCTTGTTGAATTGGAAATCAACCTCCCAATTCTTCACATCGAGCCTGTCTGAATGCGCAAGTCTGTAGGGTAGGTAAATATGCTGACCAGGCAACATGGCCGTCCCACAGGCAGTTATTTTCCAGTTTGTTCTTAATTTCTTGTACTCAATACTTCTCCTGCTGGGTTTCTTCCTCTTTGGTGTTAGAAAGTATCCAGAGCTGTGGTGGTTTCAAGCTCATACAGTTTGTCTGTCTTTTCAACTACAACGTTGACGTTTCTTAAAGACAAACAAGTCGCGCAATACCTCAAGCACCGCAGTCCAACCAATTCTGCGTCGACCATTACCAGATCCAAGCTCAAGATAATAGGGTTTTCGATATTAAAATCAACACAAACTCGAGGAAATCGACCTCATGGCATGACCTGTCGTTGGTACCAAAGTAACCAACAAAGAGAATGCCCCGCCAAACGCATATTCTTATTGGGCACAGGAACGAAATCGTCCACTTGAACCAATATGTGGGGGTAAGATGGGATTGTGAGATACCATGGCTTGGAGAACAATATCAGCCCGACTTCTCATTGTTAAAGCAACGCAAATAAGGCAACGGGATATAATATAAGTATTGGTTCATCAACTGAGTTATGAGAGCCCGTTCTCGTCACACACGCCCTCGACCTCGCGTTTTATTTCCACGCATCAACAACAGCAACAGCAATACTGTCACCAGCAATATCAGATCAAACACAAGAATGGCTTCAGCTGCAACAGCGCCACAGCCCGATGTTGAACTATCCATACCGCCTCTCTTCACTACTGAACCTCTCATCCGCGATAGCCTACCCACAGAGTCATCGCGTGTCCAGGATGCAACGATAGACGAAGTCCTACCTTTTCTTCAAGGTGAAGAATTCGACTACTGCAACTCCCACGGCCTGCCCCATCTGGACCGTCGCCTCCATGTAAAGTTTTTGCATAAGCAACTGGGAAAGCTGCCCGCCGCTTTCACCACCGCTGACCCCAGTCGGCCCTGGTTCTTCTATTGGTGTCTGTCTGCTCTTGTTCTTCTAGGAGAGGATGTCACGGAGTACCGCCAGAGACTTGTCGATACCGTTCGACCTATGCAGAATCAAGATGGAGGCTTCGCTGGCGGGTTCGGACATACCTCGCATCTCGCCACCTCCTATGCAAGCGTTCTGTCGCTGGCCCTGGTCGGCGGTGAAGACGCCTACGAGGTCATCGACCGTCGAGCAATGTGGAGATGGCTATGCTCACTCAAGCAGCCCGATGGAGGGTTCCAAATGGCACTCGGCGGCGAAGAGGACGTCAGGTATGTGCATGCTGTACCACTACATCATAATACTCTTCTCTGCGGCGCGGCGATCAAGGCCCGCAGTTCCCCATCGGTCTCATGCCGTGAACCCCAAGGACGCATCTACGATCACTTCCTTCTAACTAAGTTGCAGGGGGGCTTACTGCGCGGCCGTCATCATATCGTTACTCAATCTACCTCTTGAGCTATCACAGGACTCTCCTGCACGATCCGCTGGCCATACTGGTCTATTCACTGGGCTTGCAGACTATGTACACCGATGTAAGTGACGCACGAAATCCCAAAGCAATGATTCCGTTTCTAATCATCCACCGTAAAGGCCAGACGCACGAGGGAGGCGTGTCGGCAAAGCCGGGCATCGAAGCACATGGTGCATATGCCTTTTGCGCTCTCGGATGCCTCTCGATTCTTGATTCTCCACATCGTTCTATCCCGAGGTATGCTTCTCCCTTTGTCTAACCACTCATGTTGTGACATGGAAGCGGTGCAGCGCATGCTAACCTTGTCTTGATGTTTCTGTTCTGTAGGTATCTCAATGTTCCACTGCTTATCTCTTGGCTGTCTTCGCGACAGTACGCCCCAGAGGGTGGTTTCTCAGGTCGTACCAATAAGCTAGTCGACGGTTGCTACAGTCACTGGGTCGGAGGATGCTGGCCCCTCATCGAGGCTGCACTCAACGGACCCGGGTCCGGCCCTGGAGGGGAAGAGGCCAATTCAGGCGGCCACGCGCTCCCTGCGGCCAAGGATAGCCTTTTCAGCCGTGATGGCTTGATCCGCTACATCCTTTGTTGCTGTCAAGACCAGTCTAAGCGGGGTGGTCTGAGAGACAAACCGAGCAAGTATGCAACTTGGTGGCCCTGCATCTAGAATTTCTGAATGAGCGCTGACTCGAGCCCAACAACAGGTACTCTGACGCCTACCACACATGCTATGTACTTTCTGGCTTGAGCGCAGCGCAGCACAAGTGGAACTTGGATGTTGCTCGACCTCACGAGGCAGATGTGACAGGCGACTCGTGGTCTGTGACACCGTGTATGGATGGTGAACAGATCTTTGATGAGGAAGATCGAGTTGCTACCGTGCATCCTGTCTACGTTATTCCGCAGCATAAAGTGGAAGATATGCAGAGTTACTTTTCGTCCAAACATGGCTTCTAGATCAAGTAGCACTCGTGTAGCGCTGGATGGGGCTTGGAAGCCATGAGAAAAGAGAGGCCATGCAGCTGAGACACGTTATTTTTCGATGTACTTCATATGTTGGGAATCTTGTGAGGGAGTATATTTGAAATACCGAGGATTGATGCATTGCTCGCTCGGGCGCACAGATCTACTAGCTCTGTGGCAATCTAGCCCAGACAGAGATACATATTTTGGTAGCCAAAGCATGACATGGAACCTGCGTCGTCGAGGTTGGACAAACTGGGCTTATCCATCTTGGATCAGAGATACAGCACACAAACAAACATGGACCGCAGTGCATGCATGAATCAGAGTCAGAATCAGTGGATTCGCGGGGGGGGACATTCAGCTTCTTCACACACAAGCCGACTTTAATGGCGCCATGTCGTGTCGTCAACAGGCATGACAGAGTAACAGTGCAGCTAACATGCATTTCGATCAAATAACCAAGGCTGTATGCCTGGCTGAGTCACATACTTCTGGGACATTGAGTGCTTGAACTTTGCTCCACTGTAACTTGATCCTGTAATCACAGAAAACCGTATTGAATTGAGACCTGCATGAGAAATCGAGACCAATTTCTATAAGCCCGCACAAAGAGATGTGTTCTGAAAGGGTAGGATAGAATAGAATTAGACTTGGATTTCAAGATAATTGTCACTACTGGTTAGTTCCTAAAGAGCCCAATCTTATATCTATCTTGCATTATGATGAGGTCAATAATGAACTGTGCCTCTTTCTTTAATACGGCTTTCCCACCAGCGACACTCCCTCTTAAAACCCGCAATTAAATCCTGAAAAGACTCTTCTGCGGTGTTATTCAAAAGTTTGCTTTGAATTTACGCTTTGTGAAAGCCAAATCAGCACAAACTTACCGCGATATCCAAGATGGCAGCATTTTACAGAAGGGAGCACGTTCAACCATCTTGTCCTCAACAACAGCCATTTAGCCATTTTCAGGTGAGCAGTATTAAAAGGTGAATAGGATTGGTTTGATTATTTTTATTTGTCTGCGCGTCAGGATGAACCCCCAGCGTTGCTCTATCTGGTGAAATGTTGAGTACGAAGCCATAATATAATGGACTTATATGCTCACTTAAAGTCTAGTTTTTACTAGCAACTACCTAAGAGAACCAAAAAGTCTTCAATCATACCGTCAAAAAGTTATTGGTCATCCTATCATCCGCCAATGCCATGTCATAAGTTCCTGGCTGAGTCCTAGAACCAAGTGTCCACCCTCCATGTGAATACAAGCACTTTTATCAAGACTTGGGACTTGAAGCTGGCCAAATATTCATTCGTTACAGATGAACACTTTGCTCATGAAGGAGCATGGTACAAGCAACACCATGTCGGTAATATTGAAGCTGTGGGAGCCGTCCACGCTGAACAGTTTGGACTATGTGTCAACGACAACCAAGAGTCATTGGCTTCCAGCTGATGGCGATTAGATAGGTCAGACAAACGGAAGCCTCTGCACTACCTTGAAATCAATATCAGATATCCCATTGCATCACAGTAATCTTACAATCATGGCTGAGCCAGTGTCACTGCATTCTTGGTATGAAATTGGCATCTGCCACCTAAAACAAACCCGACCAGTACTGGACTTCTAGATCTCACCATCAGATGTCGTGAAATTAAAGTGAGTTCTCTTACGTCTGTCAGTCTGGTGATACAAGTGGCAACTAAGATTTGAAAGCAGACAGAAGCAGAAAACGCAACATCTGGCTTCTCCTTGGGAAGAGCTAAGAGCATAATATTGCATCACGTTGGAAATCGACATTGTGCACTATTCCTTCTCATAAACGAGCCAAATAGATGTGATAGGATCAGGCCCCTAACCTTCATTCTGTATCGGGGTTAAACTCGAGCTGACAGCGCTCTTCTACAGTCTAAACTATCCTACGGATGATGTCTCGTTTAGGACATGCTGCTTAAACTGAGAATAAGTCGATCTAGCCCGCCTCGAACGCGAGGGGCGTCTAAATAGTTATCTCAGATAATTCGACAGCATATACAGAATCAGATGGTTACAGTTCTGCAAGTCGTGTCATCCTTCGAGACCAGAGTCCTCTATCGTCAAATTGAAGAGGCCCAAGCACCTTGATCGACCGGCAAGACATAACCGAGCTGGACCCTGCTGAAAACTTCGAAGTGTACTACCGATCATACGTAATAAGTTGTCTTGTCATCTTACCTGCGGATTGAAGGCCGTGAGGAAGGCCCAGGGCTGTCCAGGTTACATGGTGACCGTAGCCACAGAGCTTGAAACTATGTAGTTTACCCGAACCATTTGTAATTCTTGTCATCGTTGTTATTATAATTCTTCTAACGGACAAGAGATACACCCTTGTTCCCTATCAAGTGGGCCTTTATGAGGACAAAGAAGATGAGTGTGAACTTCCACAAGACTTTGAGAGACACCACTGTTCTACTTCCCTACTGTGGAAATCAGATATCTTGGTTGGTAATATGGGACCTTGACAGACCAAGCGTCTAACCACCATGAATAGCCTCAAGTTGCTCATGTTAAGGGGACCTCAAAGGAGTCTCATGGCTTTATAGCTCTCGCTTGCGGTTGGTTTACTAGCACTAAGTTGACAGCTGTCACGGAGCTCGAAAAGCTTAAGGAGTGAGCACATGTAGAATTACAATGGCGCGCTGTATATTAATGCTCCTCTCTCTACTGTCGTCGCCCATCATGTCAGCAATTCCGAAGTAGGTACTGCCCCTCGCCGCGTCTCTCACCAATGCTCTCTGTCAGGAAACATGAGGCTGAGGTCGACAAAAAAGGGAATCAACGACATACGTGGGGCACCCACAACCGTAGCCACATGGGACCAGCAAGCCCTCAAAGTTTTTCTGACGTGGAGATCTCACGATCCAGTCGTAGTAAGCATCCCACGTTTGTTAGGGTTGCTACCGGAGAAACAAAGCCATGCTAAGCTACCATGATTCGGTTTGGGAGGATGATATTAGTCTCTTGCTCGTTGCTGCTCCCGACCGCATAGGCGCCGCCGCATGCATCACAACTGGCGATACGCTGGAGGTGAGAAAGCCCGCAAAAATGCGTCAAGTCCTTTTCGTCGCTGGCGGTTATCAAAGTTTCGGATTCAACTTATTTTGTACAAGAAGTTTGGACCCAAACCCAAAACACTCAGAATCTCCATTCATCATGTTCTAATTTGGTGGGCAGCATCTTGGGACGTGTCGACATGTCATGGGGTTGCCTGAGGCGGTTGGACGGTCACGTCAGAGCTAACTAGCGGCACCCAAGATAGAAATTCTGGAAGAGTTCGAATTGTCGAATCGTTGTTCGACGTTGGAAAGCTCCAAGCTCGCTCCGTCATGGCTCGCGTTTGCATGGGGCTCCCTTGTCCCTCCACAAAGCCCACAGAATCTTTCGAGGGACGAATTTTAGCAACATCCCTGTCACGTCCTGCAGCTTGATATCAGTCCTGCAGATGCTTGGCAGGTCGTTTGTTTACCGTCGAATATGCTTTTGTCGTTAGCTCGGCCCTAGTAAGTAAAGTAGCTAAGAAACTGGGCAATGCAGGTGTTGTTGGACCAGATATCCGATACCTGACATGGTGAAACCGCTGATTCGCCGCATGTGATTGATAACTTCTTTCAAAATGGATGCGCTCGCGAAGTTGCTGGGATTTGATATCGGCGCAGATGGAGTGAGAAGATGGCCACCCCCATGGATACATCAGCAGGGTGAGATGTCCGAAAGGTACATTGGTACTCTTTATCGACTAGCTTGTGCAGAGAGAATATGCCGCCACTGGAAGTTGCCTCGAGGTTCCAGTGCAGGACAGTACATAGAGTAAGTAATGTTGTTTTTATCAACAGAACGGCATTGCCAACACATCTGTGCATGAGGTTAGTAGGGGCTGACCCCAAACTTGTCTGCACCTGCCTTACCTTGCCTTAGTCTTTGCCTCAACTTTCTTTCTATTGGGGTTCTTCCTGCCATTCATTTCCATACGTTACCCCTCCTGGCGTAGCTAATAAGGCAAGTACGGCGTTCGGACGTTCCATGGGCTGCCTTTCCCCCTCTTCGACACGTCGGCTCCCTTCTGCACAGGCCGCGCTCTTCCCTCAAAACTCTGTGCCTGCTACCATCGGAGGCTGGTTGCGAGTACAGACTTTGGATCGCACTAGAGAAATTGGCTTGTCCAAGGTAAAGCACAAATGTAAAAATTGTTCTCTTGTCATCCAGTTCTATGTACAGTCCATACCTGAACATCAACCAATTCCTCGTTACGCTCATCTTATAGCCCCGTCTTTATCCCTAAGGCATTCGAGCAGAGGCTGTTGCGCATCATCCAATCAGTCTTGGCGCTTTCACCGTTCTTGTCATGTTCGAGCCACAGTTACAAGAGCTCAGTTGCTTTTTCCTGCGTGCTGGGTGCTGGGAACAGCCCTAACGGCGCCCACACCCACGCCTGTGGATGCATGGCGCAGGGCATGGTTGGCAGGGGTGGAAGGGTCTGAGGGAGCAGTGTCGTTGAATATCTGGGCCAGCCACTGACTGTACTGTTCATGCACGTCGTCGCGCTGCTTCACCGACCCTTTCTCCAGGCCCTGGGGAGTGGGATGCGGAAAGCATCGAAGTGGACTGTCCTCGCCTGCTTCGGGTGGTGTCACTGTTGAATTTGTTCCTACTCTTTACTTGCATTTGTCAAAGAATGACAGAACTGATAGCGGGAGTCGTATTCGAAAGTTTAGCGCTACTGTCATAGCTTTCATGATGCTATTCCGAACTGAAGATTGGAGGCCCGCGATGGCCAAGATTGGAAGCGCCCATCGCTAGGTACAAAGACAAGCCCTATAGGTCCCTGAGTTGGGCAATATGAGAAACTCGCGCTCTTCTTGATGTGCTTTTTTCCGTGTGCGGATCGGCCATGATCTTAACCGCCACATGAAGTTGAATGAGAACGTGGCCCGCTCCCACTGAGTCGTTGTTGCTCGGCTCCAGCGCGACACTCTAGCCATCAGACTAGGCCGCACAACACGGCCGACCATTTCGCGCGCGACTGGCGAGGATCAGAATATGATCCTAGCATATGCCAATCCCGACCCTGATAATTTTCGCTTCGAATTATTAGTTGCGGTTACAATGGACAGCTCGAATTAGTCCTGCAGCAACTCCGGCCACCGGGGCTCTCGGGGCTCAAGAGGAGGGGTTCAAGGTGGATTGCCCCTCGCTGCAGCTCATCGTCCTTCTTTGGACAGAAAGTACTACGTACTCATATACAGCACGGTACTGATACAGTACTCTAAAGGTCTCACTGCTGTGCATTAGTGGCCGCCGAAACAGAGATCTCAGACGTCAAGATATGGATGGTGGTCAGAGTCAGGTACATGCTGTTGGTTACTCTGGCTGTCTGGTGTTGAATTGCAGGAGGTAGAAGCTGCTTCTACGGCGGCAGAGTGACTACCACTACCGATTTTGCCCCTCTCAAACCCGCCGGGCTTTTCGAACGTCCGGCCTGGCAACAGAAACGAATTACGCGCCTTGGACCACTACGGTGATCTCCTCTTCGCCACTTGACTTGAAGCTAAAGCAAGTTGAAATTACTGCCATGTCGCAGTGCATCTTCAATCGCATGTCTGCATGAGCTTCACAAACGGGGCCCTTACTGGCCCCATCGCCCCCATTCCAGACCATGCTCTCATGCCCTCATGTAGTCGGCCGGATACAAAGCCCTGACCATGCTTACATTTGTCTTGTAGATAACCATCACAAGGAGAAATGGGCAAGCGACCACAACAATATAAAGTTTGAACGAGGCTAAATAAAGCCGCCAAAGAAGAATGACACCATGGAGACAACACAGGAAAATAAAACATCACCCACGAGAAAGGATTCAGCTAGCTGCAGAGCAAGGACTGAGACGGAAAATAGGAACCTACTAAGTTCTTTCGAGGTACGCCAGTGGCCGAAGGCGTTAACTTTGAGACTTATCAGAGAGATCGCCTGCTTGCTGCATCCTCCATGTGTTGCGGTGGAGTGGCCTAGTCGCCAGCGGTTTTGATCAACTGGCAACCAGGTAGGCCAGCACAGCAAGATGGGTCACACTCTTTCGAGAGCCGCATCGTTGCTTGCATCTACCTCCATTCGCGTGTCGTCCTTTGTCTCCAGACACCCCCGGTCCCACGCTAACAAGCTGTCTGGAATAAAGGCACACACGTCTCGCCGTTCCATCGGCTCAACTCGAGTGCAGCAGATGGATGTACATACCATCAGTACCTAGTATTACTCAAGACGGATATTTCGACACAACTAAGGTTATCCTTGTGTATTTTCCCACATTGCTCGTCCTTTCAAATTCGTCTTTTCCTGTTTCAAAAACCCTCCAGCTCCTTCAATCTCTCCATCCCTCTTAATTCATCTTTCGCGCCAGCCGTTTGAGCTTCTTTTGACTCTGGGCACAACGAATCGACTTGACAGGACCCTCCTCCACCCTAAATAGTCGCTCAAGATTTGCAAGGCCTGTTTCAGTTGTTGCAATTCGGTTCCTGACATCCCTTACGACCTCCACATCCTCTCTACCCGCTGTAACGCTCGATCCTGGAGTTCGTCCTCGGAGCTAAACCCTGTCTTCGGCATCAGTCGTCTATTTTGATCTAGACAAGCGTTTATTTTGTTCGCGTTTCCTCCATTGATATTCTTTTGTCATAAAAACATCCCCTCTCATGCTCTGCATTCTCTCCACCGTCTTTGCCGCCTTACAATAAGCTCTTATATGCTTGGATTCCCGCCTTTTTGAACCCTCAATCATAACAGCAACTGCAACCCTACACATCGTCGACTTCACCAATCGTCACGTTTAGTGAGAGCCATCAACAGCAACACCACAATGGGCGGTTTCTATATGCAATATCTTGAGAGTAAGTCAACGCTGTGAAGTCCATCATTTTTCTCAATGGTAATTATGTCTATGGCACCAGCAACTCGTCAGGAACACAATTGGTTGAAGGGGCCAAAAAAAAAAGTTCGCGTGCAGGGTAAACGTTCCCCGCATGTGGTGACAGACAACTATTGTTCTACCCTTGTTGTGTGACACAAGTTGAGCAATAATTTGATGTCCGACGCGATTGAGGGCATATGGAAAACCTTGAACTAAATGCCGGGTTTGGCATCTTGATCTATATTGCTCCATTTGTGGACGGATGTCATGAACACCAGTTCGTTTGGATGTGTTTTGGGCGTTACCAGTTTAGAGACATGAACTCGTTTGCTAACAAGGTGCGAAACAGGCCTTTGCCGACGCCGAGGATGGACAGACCCCATGTACGAGTGCTACCGGGACCATAACGGCTACACTTGCCTTGTTCTTGTCAATGGACGCGAATACCAAACGGACCTCGCATACGAATCTGATGTTCTAGCTCAAGAGAACGCAGCCATGCGTGCCTTCATGGTCTGTCGTAACTTTTCTGTCAATGGGGGTATGCTGGCCCGCAATGGTATCGTTCAAGGACTTCCTGCACAGGAACCGTCTCGCCGTCGCAAGAGCCGTCACACGTCTTCTCGAGACAGCGACCGCCACAGCAGGCGATCTGGTCACCATTCCAGCAGTAGCTCGACTGCCTCATTCGACTAGAAAGCACCAGGAGGCAGCCATTGGCGGGCGATTGAGTCCAGCTTGACAATACTCTGATGAGTTTGCATCAGCGTTGAGGCCAGCTCGTATGGGAGCATGTTCAAGAAACACGACGGGAAGGAATCACACACAAGACGACTTACAAGCGGTTGAAATGCTTCACAGCAATCCCAAGGATATACCCAAACCAACCTCCCTCCTTGGCAATCTCTCTCACGAAGAGTTATCAGCTACCCCCTTTTTTCGTTACTGCCATCACATTTCGGTTTTTGTTTTGTTTTTGCCTTTTTACTGTTTTACCCCATTGTTCTTCACTTTACACTGGGGAGCGGCGATATATATCTTGATATATCCTATCTGCTGCCAACGAATCATGACGACACGACACGATTTAGATGCTATCTTACATTTCTACGGCCGGCATTTTCTTTTGCACTGTCACCGTTCGGTGTCCTTGTTCTCCGCGAGGGACGATGTTGCGACACTTAAAGCAACTTCGGCTTGCTCTGATTTTCTTCCTTTGACCTTTTCTGGTGGTCTGTTGGATGCCGTCACACGTTGCATGGGTTTTGATACGGCAATTGGTCTGAAAAAACACCACGCAACCAAGGAGCCACCAACCCATCATACAGGTCGTTATCATATGCTCGAGAACAATGGCACAGCGAAGAACGGGAGATGGAGAGTTCAAAAACATTTGCATTTGGTTAAAAGTTGAACTGGATAGTGGCGTTATTGCTCACTAACCGCACAAAGCTGGGTTTGACCCGTTGGGCGACAATTTGACGAACTATGACAAAGAGAAAAAGCACACTGTTTCGGGGGTTCATTGAACAATTGACGATTAGCGAAGAGTGACATTTTACTCAGATCCTCAGATGGCGGACTCTGATGAGAAGATATGTATTCTGCTTTGACGGATGGAAAAGCACAAGCATGGTTGGAGCCAGCGTTGAATTTCACAATCACGATACGATATGAGAAAATGTGGAGGACTATGAGACTGGGATGAATTATGAGGATTACCATGGAATATGGAGCAATTTGATAGCAATACGCTATTAACGACGATAATGATTATGACCTTTTTTATTATTACTAAACTCTCGATTGCCGGTAGATTCTTGTGTCTCACCTTGTGTTTCCTGATCTTGATACATTCCTAATTGTTCATGTGATACTTGTACCACCTCTGCCATCCTTTCAACCGATGTGATCCTTGATGCTAGAAAAGAGAAAGATTTGCAAATGCTTTGAGAGAAGACCATTGGGAAATGAGGAGACCATATCGCTCCAGGCCAACCTGCCCATGACTTACAGAATGCATTCTGAGGCCTTCACCTTCACGATATTGTACTTGAATAAGTGGCCTCAGAGGCTCAAAGACAATGGAGTCAGGGCCAGAACCATCAACTGAGCGATGATCAGTCAAATGTAGCCATGGACTGCAGCGCCACACATAATAAGCTGGGGTATTAATCCCAGTGTAACTCAGATCGCTTGATCCTGTGCACCAACAGTTGTTTGAGGTTGGCGGATGAAGTCAGCTCAAACTCAATTCTAACAATATCCAAGCTTCAGAAAGCCACAGTGTTTGCATATGCTACCAAGAATCCAAGTTAGGTTGAAAGCGGCAATCAATAAGGAAACAAGAAGTCAGACCAACAAACGATTTTGTCGGGAATCTGGGTAACGCGAGCAACTGTCAGCTGTTAACGAGGTGGGAACACAACGCCACCAACTCCAAACTCTATTGCTGGCTCTGTGAACTTTCAGTGAGGATCGTCAGTGCAGCGTCAAGTTGTTACAGATTTCAACCTCTATTGTGACGTCGAACAAGCTATGAGTATGGCGCAGCCGTGAGACGGAGAGGCTATGGGGTGAATAATCAAACGAGATTTACATAGTGCATCAAACATTTGATACATGCCGATCATGATTTGGCTGAACTGTATCCCAATACACAGGCACAGGTTCAAGGGTGAGGGGAGGTTGACAGAGTTTGCAAGTTTATTGCACATAAGGGTCACGAGGTGGTTATTGACAGCTCAATCAGAATAGAGAAGAGCAAAGGGAGGGGCTCACGCTAAACTAAGCAGACGTGTCAGATGGAGACACGGGAGAGGCTGAGAGATGGAAACGCCTTCGACGATGAAGTCATATGGGGTGAGGTGGAACGTCTTTCTTTGTGTTACGAACAGTTGTTCCCATTCACGACGTGACAAAGAGTCTGAATAAAGTCACGGGGTTTTGCGCGTGCTATACTCGGAAGGTCATCACAGTTGAAAAAGCCAATGTAGAAATCGCCATTAACACGAGGAACTCTCGTAAATGAGCTGCAGGGTCCTTGTCAGGGGTTGTAAAAATGAACGTCAGCTTATGAGTGGTTGTGTGGCCACCTCCTGTCCTCCTTTAACTAAGTCAATGCCTTGAGGAGGAGAAGATGGTGCCACTGGCTCGGACCTCGATCAGCTAACAACCTGATAAAAATGAGAAGGTAAAGACTGTGAATAGGAGTCGGGGCCATCGGTTGAGCCTTGAGCTGTTGGGTATTGAGAATCACAGTCTGGCATAAAGTGATACAGTGTAATCTGTAGGAGGTAATTAGGGGGTCTAATTACTGATGAACTTGACATTGATCTCCGGACCTCCTCTGGCAGAAGAAAGGCACAGGTTTCAAATAATGATTTGTTCTCAAATTCAATGAAAACCATGTCAGATATTAATCAATTCTAGAATAACCATACGCTGAACAGGGGGTTTAATATAATTTCGCCAGGGAAGGGACAAGGTGTAGAGCCACAATGACCCGCAAGACCTGTTTGATTGGAGTGAGAAGAGCACGCAGCCCCCTTTCTATTAGAGGACCTCGTGTCGCGGATCGTTTGTCTGTGTGGCCCGGATGGGAGATGGCAATAGTCTGAGAGGCGTAGACTAACTGACTATTGGATATGAAGGAGTTGAGAGTCCAGATGCATTCCTTGTGATATTCTGGCCTGGAGATGAAGGGATCGGGAACAATAGCGGTAATAGCATTGTGGGAATTACTACAGAACCATACTCTGAGGTCAATAATGACGTGAACGAGATACAAGCATCAGACTTCCTCTCGCTACTGGCTGATGAGATAACTCGAGTATCGTGAAACAAGTGACTGAGCTGCGTTTCTACAGAGATCTTGATCGTAGCTGGAAGTCAAATCTCGAAGCCGCTGAAAACTACCTAACCTGAGTTAGACCCTGGGCTATGGCACTGGCAGCCCGTGTCGTCCCCTGTAATCTGGGTCCAGTTCCCCACTCTCAGCCTGCTTAGGTCGTCTCTCTGGCTGCATCTACCCACGTTGGCCTTTTTAGAACATCCCCACTTCCCTCTGCTTGTGCTCTCTCTCCTGAGTTCAAAGTTGAGCTTCTTCTTCTTCTCCTCTCCTCCTGATCTTCCCCTTTCTCTCTGACCTTCACTTTGACTCTGATCCAGATACTCAATCTCTCGAGATACCCGATACCCTTTAAACATTTTATTCTTCCTTAATCTAATCCTGTCGAGGTTGCTTCCTTCTTTTCAGGACCTCGCTGCTGTCACTCTCTGTTCTTTACTTTCTCTGTCCCTGTCGACTCACGTTGCTCCAACGCATTCACCCACGTAACAGCTTCTCAATACCGCAATCATGAAGGGTACGCTTCACCTGGCCACTCTCGACTTCTCCAGCAGCTAAAAATGCGTAGGACTTATTCTTGTCGGCGGCTTTGGCACTCGCCTTCGCCCTCTCGTACGTTACCCCTCAGGCGCGCAAAACTCCTGTGCACCCCTCCAATATATGTTTTGTGTGACTGACATGCTGTGGCGCATTACAGACCCTCACTCTCCCCAAGCCTCTTGTCGAGTTCGCCAACAAGCCCATGATTGTGCACCAGATTGAGGCGCTGGTCGCAGCGGGTGTCACTGATATCGTCCTTGCTGTCAACTACAGACCTGAGATCATGGAGAAGTTCTTGGCTGAGGTAAGAACCTGGAGCCTTTACATTCCCCTTGAAGCCATATAACTGACACTCTGCAGTACGAGGAGAAGTACAACATCAACATCGAATTCTCCGTCGAGACTGAGCCCCTCGATACCGCTGGACCCCTGAAGCTTGCTGAGAGTATTCTCGCTAAGGACGACTCTCCCTTCTTCGTCCTCAACTCCGATGTCATCTGCGACTACCCCTTCCAGGACCTCCTGGCTTTCCACAAGAACCACGGCAATGAGGGTACCATTGTCGTCACCAAGGTTGAGGAACCCTCCAAGTATGGTGTTGTTGTCCACCAGCCCGGTCACCGCTCTTTGATCGACCGATTTGTCGAGAAGCCCGTCGAGTTCGTCGGCAACCGTATCAACGCCGGCATGTACATCTTCAACACTTCCATCCTCGACCGTATCGAGCTCCGCCCGACTTCTATCGAGAAGGAGACCTTCCCCGCTATGGTCAAGGACAACCAGCTTCATTCTTTCGACCTTGAAGGCTTCTGGATGGACGTTGGACAGCCCAAGGACTTCCTCAGCGGTACATGCCTGTACCTCTCTTCCCTCACAAAGAAGGGCAGCAAGGAGCTCACTCCTCCCACTGAGCCCTACGTTCACGGCGGAAATGTCATGATCCATCCCTCTGCCAAGATTGGCAAGAACTGCAGGATCGGACCCAATGTCACGATCGGTCCTGATGTCGTTATCGGTGACGGTGTCCGCCTGCAACGATGTGTCTTGCTCCGTGGCTCCAAGGTCAAGGACCACGCCTGGGTGAAGTCCACCATCGTCGGCTGGAACAGCACCGTTGGCCGATGGGCTCGCCTCGAGAACGTGACAGTTCTCGGCGACGATGTCACAATTGGTGATGAGATCTACGTCAACGGTGGCAGCGTCCTCCCCCACAAATCTATCAAGGCTAACGTCGACATTCCTGCCATTATCATGTAAGGAGCGATCTAACGAACCATCGCCTTATTCGAAGCTCGCTGGAGGACACACCAGCGAGATTTCTCATCTATGCTCTAATCTCGAACGACAGCGACGAAGAAGAATTCAAGAAGCAAAATTCACCACTCTGGGGAGATGTGCTGGCCACCATTCTATACCATGGAGGCGGGGCGGGAAGAAATCAAGAGCCTGCCGCTCTCTCTATCTTAATACTTTTGTGCAATTGTCTAATGCCCCTTTATGCGTGTTTATCTGGCGTCTAGGTCGATATTTACAGAGGGCGGGCAGGCAGGCAAGCCATGGAAGGACAAAACAAGGCAGTTGGGCAGGCAGGGTTCATGGCAGCTCTCTGAGGCAGCCATGTTAAACGTCTATGTTACAGTTATTTGTATTAAAGAAGGTGGCTCAATACCATTTTGAAACTTTACGGCTTTTCCCGTCCCTCGTGAGATGTGTTAACATAGCTCAGCAAGACAAGTTATGTGTAGTCGGGGCTTTGGTGTAGTTTTCTGAGACATTCCCGGACATGCACTGCGTGGTTTACACTGTTGGTTTTGATTCAAATCCAGCGGAGGGAGCAACTCATGACCAGCGAGAGGAGAGAATTAATGTTCAGATGCTACGGCCTCAGTGAGCAGGAAAACTTGAGCCTTTAGAGGAGAGTACTAGAATAAACTCAGTAAAGAGTCCCCTAAGTTCAGATCAAATTACCTAAATCTTTTCGTCACTTAGGGTCAAGGTCCTAAGCTTTGCATCCTCTAGCATAGATAATAGGTGATTCTGTAGGCGATCTTTTACGTGGGCACATAGTCTGTTCGAGATTCTTCGGGTCTGTTTATCATAGAGTATAACAGACATTCAGTGGTAGAAAATAGAAGCTCAAACCTCGAATATGAAGTTTGAATCACGTTTGCAAGTGGATTTTCTGATTATTCGTAGACCTGGTCAACAGGCCAGGTTCCCCAAACACAGATGGGCCAAGCAGTAGGGAATGCGGCCCGGCGAGGATAGCCATAAGGCTGCGAGACAATCGTGGCTCTATTACATCCATTATCACGAAGACGTCTATAGAATTTGAGAAAATCATTCAAGGTTACAAACTTCAGCTTCAATATCCAACCGTAGTAATAGTTCAGCGGTTGCCCTCATTTCATCACCAAGGGCTTAGAGTTTCAAGCAGGGGGACGTGAGAATTCGTTGTCAAAAACAGAAGACTCACATTGAAGCGTGATTCAGGCTTCGGACCTATTAACGTTATGCACGGTGTTACTAAAAGAGCGATGGCTTCTCTGAAATTCTTGACAGCTAAGGAAGGCTATCGAGTTAGCAAATAATTCGTAGGAGGGCTTATTACTGTCGGTGGGAAAGTGGCTCAAAGCTTTCTTGGTTAGGTACCTCATGGATGAAGAGCGGTGTCGTGGAATGGGGGCGCCTTCCTCGAAGTTTACCATCTGTTACATTTGACCGGTTTTGTCCCTTATAAGTCCTCAAAGTTTTCACAAAAACAAGGAAGACGGAAAAGACTGAGCACGACTCTTCAAACCCTGCCACAGAACTGGCTACCTACCTACATTACCAAGCCACGTCTGAGGCCTAAAACGTGAAGATATTTACCACCTGCCATTTTGTTCAAAAACGTTCTCGTTATACCCACACCACACGACACAGATCACCATTTTATTCTCGAACGATTGCGGTATTTCGAGGATAAACCACGGCACGGAAGAGACGGGACATGTTGCATATCGTTCCTGACATTGTGAATGCCAGTGTATCATTGTCCTTGAGGCTCAAGCCACGAAACGCTGTGCCGGGTCCAAGCCCACCACTTACATTACACCAATCCGACCTCTGCATCACCCAACAGGAGACTCACGAGATCAAGCGCCGAAGTCCCCCCTCTGAATCTCGCATGATACGTCGGGGCGGCTCATTGACGTGGAAGTTGACGGTTTCTTCTTCCGTGTCTGGTGCACCCGATACGGAGGAGACGGGCCGTTTCAAAAGCCTCAATTCAGCAACGACCACGACGACGGAGATCTAGACTTTGTCAAGAACTCTCTGACTGTTTGTCACCTCATTGCCGACACTCTTACGATCGAGAGGTCATTGGTCCTGCGAAATTCATAGAGGAGAAAATCTTAGACAAGCACGCGACCAAAGCCGGCCAGAAAACCTCATCTTGAAATTCACCACAAGAGTGCACCAAGATACAGCCGGGGCCCTGGCTTAGAAGTGGTGGTCAATTAGACAATGGAGGCACAGCAGGTGCAGGTGTATGGACATGGACATGGACATGAGATTAAGACGAAGAAGCGCCCTTGGCCTCGGTTCCTTGTCTCATGTGTAGCTCTCATGCTGTTTCTAGTGGTAAGTTGGCATTTCAATACGGTATTCTTTTTTCCCTGTGCTTGGTATTTACTGGGGCCATCATATCATTTTGCAGTATCATTCCTACCCCGTCATCCCGCCTTTCACCCACACGTCCATTTGTCTCCCCGTTGCCCCATCTTTGGCTGTCCAACCCAGAAATCACCCGTCCGCGAACCGCAAGACTGGGACTGGGTTGAGCTCGGCTCATGAAGATGATGCATGGCATGACCTGACCGAAACCTTACTAGTGAGGGTACAGTTGAGGGACTTGACGATAGCATCATCTTAACGGCTGGGGACTACTGGCCACTCTTATTTTTTTTTTACTGGGGCCAAGTTGGCTTATGACGGCATCCCAGTGGATATGCACGCGGGACATGAGCCTCAAGAAATAATTCCTATGGTTTATTAGAGACCAAGCACCCTAAAAAACAAGACGTTGGAAGCAAGACGGCGAAGTTCGGCGTATTAGCGGAGCCTCGATGAGCTTTCTCCCCCGCACCCCGAGCACCACCGACCACACCTCCACCATCTCTCCACTTGGACGGCCTCTCCACGGCCGCCCGGCGACACTTCGATTGGGTTGGGTGCTTCAGAACCATGGGGATGGCGCCTCAATCAGGAGAAGGAAGCAACTGGAGTGAGGCTCGAGGTATTAAAAAATCCACTGCATTTCGGGCCCATTCGGCGCTCAATACCCAGTCTCAGAAACTTTGGCCCTTGTCATCACTCACGTAACGCTCCATGATCCCCAGGCCCCAGAAAACACCCCCATTTCCAGTCGTCATTGGTAGTTGATCAGCCACTGACACAGGTTCCGTCAGCAGCTCTCCCAGCTTGTCCTCAGTAACGGTGACGCCAAGCTCCAGCAGCAGCCAGAGCTCAAATTCCCAAGAAACCTTTTGACCTCGTTGTCGTCCGCCAACGCCTCAATTTTGGTTTCCTTCTCCTCCCTCCTCCAATTATTCTCTCTGCGACCTCTTCACCTTTTATTCCCTCAACTCTCTTTCTCATCTCCACCACCAATCCCTTCAGCGTCCGAAGCTGTCTGCTATATCCCCCCTCTCTTCACGACCACGCCGCCCACCTCACCAGCTATCACCATGGCTCTCGCTGACGAGTCCAACCGTATCGTCCAAGAGTTCGATTTCTCCGACGAGGAACTTAACACTCATGTGAAGGAGTTCTTGAGGCAAATGGGTATGCTCACCCCTCGCTCCACGTAGAATCTGCGCCGCGGTGCTACTGCAGCTCATTGTCATGATGCGCATTTTCTCCCACTTTGGCTTTAAACCCTCAACAAAACCCAAACTCACAATTTCCCAGATGAGGGCCTTCACAAAGAGGGTACCAGCCTCCAACAAATCCCTACCTACGTCACCGGCGTTCCCAATGGCACAGAAAAGGTGATTTTTTATCCACATTTGGCTGTGAAGCTGCCCAGACTGATTCTCCCTCATTAGGGTTTGTATCTGGCCGTTGATCTGGGAGGCACAAACTTCCGAGTTTGCTCCATCATGCTCAATGGTGACACCACCTTTAACCTCACTTACAACAAGGTTGCCATTCCGAAAGAGCTTATGGTCGCAAAGACCTCCTCACAACTCTTTTCTTTCCTCGCCAAGCAGATCGAGATCTTCCTCAAGGAGCACCATGCCGACCGCTTCAACTCCCACCTGCGTCGTCGCAACACTGCCAGTACTCCCTCGGGCTATCGCGATGAACATATCTTCCGCCTGGGGTTCACCTTCAGCTTCCCTGTCAAGCAGCTAGCTATTAACAAGGGTCTGCTAATTCGATGGACCAAGGGCTTTGACATTCCTGATGCCATAGGCAAGGACGTCTGCGCTCTGCTTCAGACCGAGATCGACAAGCTCCACCTCCCCGTCAAGGTTGCGGCGCTCGTAAACGACACTGTCGGCACTCTCATGGCTCGATCCTACACTTCAACCAGCAAGAGCCGATCTGTGCTCGGTGCCATCTTTGGTACTGGTACCAACGGTGCCTACATGGAAAAATTGAGCAACATCAAGAAGCCTATCTCTGGGGAGTATGATCAATCAACAGGAGAGATGGTTGTCAACACAGAGTGGGGTTCTTTTGACAACCAGCTCAACGTTTTGCCATCAACACCTTGGGATAAGGCTCTTGACGCCGAAAGTGTGAACCCTGGCCTTCAAATGTTCGAGAAGCGGGTGTCTGGTATGTTCTTGGGCGAGATTGTCCGACTTGCCATGGCCGATATGATCAACAATGAGAGTTCGTCTCTGTTCAAGGATCTCAACTCGAGCACGAACGATTGGGGCACCACCACAAACATCGCGCCATCGTCTGGCTTCCTTAAGCCTTGGGGACTTGACAGCTCCATCATGTCCGTTGCGGCCGCCGACAATACCCCTGAGCTGTCTACCCTTCGCCAGGAGCTCGAGAACCTCCTCAGTGTTTATACCCCCTCACTCGAGGATGCTCAGGCTTTCAAGTCTGTTTCCAATGCTGTTGGTCGTCGCGCTGCTCGATTGTCAGCTGTCGCCATCGGTGCCATCGCCCTCAACTCTGGCAAGCTCAATGATCTCGATGAAGAGGTTATTGATATCGGTGTCGATGGCAGTCTCGTCGAGCACTACCCTTTCTTCCGCGATATGATCTACGAGGCCCTCCGTGCCATTGACGGCATTGGACCACAGGGTGCTGAGAAGATCCGAATCGGTATCGCCAAGGACGGTAGCGGTGTCGGCGCCGCCCTGATTGCCCTGGTGGCTGCTGGCAGGGAGAAGCCCGAAGATTATTTGACTGACTTGAGATCCGAGTCCAACCGCGCTCGCAAGTCTTCTGATGCGATCCGTACGTTCTACCCTCCATCCCAAGCCATTCAAACTTCGGCTTCCGCGTAAGCGACATTTGCTAACAATTTAATAGTCGATTCTGCACCAGTCTCTAACCAGGCACTCCTAATTGGCGGTGCTGTCGGTCTCCTTGCGCTAGCAGCTATATGGTATAGCAAGCGTCGATGAGCAACTAATGTTTTGGTGTTATGTTTCTGAGTTGATAACTCGTGTCAAGATTTATGTATATATGTGCATGTGACGGGATGTGGTCATGTTCATTTTTGGGCCCTAGGCGTTTTCTTCAATTTTTTCATCCCTTTGCTGTTTTTTTTTCTACATTCAAAAGTTGTATAATTATGAGGCAACTAGTTTTATGACGAGATAATCTGATGATTCCTTTTCAGTTTCCCCAGGAACAACTGGATTTATTATTGGGTTATTATTATGGTAAGTCTAATATTGTGTCTTTTTCTGAAGCGCGTCTAGCCCATCCGAACCGTTGAAATCGTACACCATCGTGAAGCAATCCATTCTTCTTTAGTAGCAGCTTATATCAATCACATCTTTCTCGTCCATGCCTCAATTCCCAAAAGCAGCCGCAGGATAAGACCTATCCTTCTTCTTTCGCGCCGCAGAGCTACTTCTAGAGCTTGCACCGGAGCCAGTACTTCCTACCCGGGGCGGTGGTGCGAGACGGCTGTTTGCCATATCGTCAGGGAGATCATTCCACTCCGTCTCAGGTCGTTGATTTTGATAGGATTTCCCAGACTGAGGCATGAGAGGTCTTGAGGTGCTATTTTTGGGAGGACCTGACGCTGCGTCCAGGTTGGCAATGTCAGCAGTTGCGCTCGCAAGCACACTATGTTGAGGCGCAGAAGAGGAAGAAGGTAGCAAGTTCCGGACAGAAGCGCCAGTGGGACGGCTGACTAGCCAAGCGGAATTGGGACGCAGCTTGAGATAGTAGCCCTCAATAGGTTGGTTCTCGCGCTTGAAGCCACGACCTTCATACCATTTCAGACCCTCCTCATTCTCAGTCCAAACATGGGCCGTGACAGTTGTCACATTCAAGTTGGGGTCCGATACAGCACCTGCAATGATATTGTCCACTGCAGCGTTCACGAGACCCAGCGATCGATAAGGCGAGAGCAGACATAGCGACTGAATGTATAGATTCTGGGGCATGACTCCCTGACTGTTGGAATCGAGGATGGGTTCAACGCGGCAAACGACACCGCCGACGACCTTGGCTTCAGAACCATTGTGAGCCCAGGTGATGACTCGGGAAAAGCGACCAGATGTCGGATCAACTGCACGTTGATAGAAGTTGTCGGGGTAGCTAACGGGAAGAAGGAGGGCGTTGATGCAACGTAGAGCGTTGATATCGTCGTTCGAGACCAGCCGGATCGTAGCTTCTTGAGGGAGAGATGTCGGTAGAGGTGGGATTTGGAATGAGGCTATCGTGGAGTCTGGCGTCTTCGAGGTTGGTGGAGGGACAGTAGCAGCAGGCGGCGGGGGAGGCCCTGAGAGTTCTATGAAAGCTCCCTGAGAAGGCGGAGGCGCATATTTGGGTGTTTTTGCCGAGAAGAAGGATCGGATAGAGGTTTGGGCGGGTTTTGTGGACGGAAGTGACATATTAACGTGGACGTATGTAAATGTGCAGTTGGAGGTTGATCGAGACAGGTAGAGGTTGTATGTTGTTGAGAGAGGACGGAGGTTGTTTATGAGACAGATATCGACGAACTGTAAACAAGGGAAAAGAAAACTAAGATTTGGGAAAAGTGAGACAAATACCCAGCCGAAACCCTAAACTATGCACTCTTTGAGTCTAAGTGTCAATCCGGAGCAATGAGGATTATGCTTTCGTGGAGGTATTCAAAGGGGTCGAAAAAGCATGGAAGTCCAGAGGGGATGAGGCTCTTGGATAGCCACTAGCGCGGATCACCCAATGAATGGCATTCAAGATGAAGGGATAGCCAATCCCACGTGAGAGATCTAGATTGAAGTCGATCGCCATTCGTTAAGGGAGGCCCTTGATGGGCATTAGATAAATTTAGCAGCATCCGATATTTTGAAGGGTACCCGCACCTGAAAGTCGATTGACAGGTGCCGTTTGTGAGTTGCAGGATGAGTAAGTGGTTTGGTATTAGTGTCGTGCAGTGTTGGATCCATGGTAACAGATGGCACATGGGCAACTCTAGGGATGAGTACAACCATTATACGGTAAGGGATACATTCCGTTGATACCGCTCCACCACAACAGACTCTTGTATATCGGGTATTCCTTAATTCTCTGGGCAATCTTTTATATAAAAGTCGTACGCTATGAGCTGCATTAGTGACATCCAAGCTAGAGGTGATCGATCGTCCCTTGCATCTGTCATGGTTATCAATTAAGCTTCACGCAAGCGAAGCTGCCGGATCTTGATCAATCGATCTTGATAATTACCTTTCGCATCCCGTCGGCATGATAGACTCAGTACCTGAATAATAACATTATCGGGCTGTGGTAAGATAAATACTAACCCCTAATCTTGTCAGATTCGTTATATGGGTGGAGATGACTCCATGTCCCTCTCCCAAACTCTACGTCTCTAATTTCAGTGGCTGATACCGACCGAGGTGAGCACTGAGCGCTGGGGCACACTGACTCCCACTGAGGCTCAGGCTCAGGCTCAGTCTCGGGTGGCTTCTGTTAACGTTGACTTTTATTTTTTTGCTTAAAATCTTCCCCTTGACTTTGAACAATCAGAACCAACCGTCTCGTCATCCTTGGTTCGTCGCTGGCATCAAAATTTGTCGCTGCATTTGGGATTCTTTTGTTCTTTTCCTTTTGAATTACTCGCTTCAATAAGCGGGCCATCTATTTCGTCACTTGGGCCGTCAATATCGATCCATCTCAAATTTCTCCCCCCGTTACCGAACGCAAACGCTGAACTTGTAGTGCACTGCGCTGGAAACCTCCTACGAACGAAGATTGGAGAACAGAAACTCATCAATTGTTACCTTATTCATCTCACCACTCCCTATTGTTAACTCACTTGGTTTACTCATTGTTTCATCCGGATCAGAGCGACAATTACTCGTCATTCTTACTCGTACACATTAATTATTCCTCCTCTTTCACGATTAATTCTCTCACCTTCAACTTTCGATATTTTCTCCTCCAAACTTTTTTCTCTTATCGCAATAACCAGCGCCCCTACTCCGTTATTCACCTCAGTAACACTACTGTACCCCAGCCGCAATTCCGTGCACACCCCCCCTCCGCCCGGTAGCTGCCGTTTCGCTCCTCCGCATCATCACACGATTTCAGTTACACACCCTCCGCTTTTACAGTATTGTTCCTTACAAACTTGTCGGCCCTGGCTCGGACTCAGGATATCCGGCGACATCATGAATGCTGGCACGGGCAGGGCGGGCGTCATAAGCGCCCCAGATGATGCTGCTCCGATGGATAAGTTGGTAAGTATTCGGTCTCTATCTCTTTACTTGCCCACCTCCCTGCGATGCGAAACCAGTCGCCGTCCGCGAGCGCCATCATGTCCTCTGTGGTGATTGCTCATCTCTGCGCCCCCTATCGCAGCACCATTGCATCGAAATCGTTGCTCGCTATCCATCGGCAATGTCTTTTCTAATAAATCGCTAACATGAACCTTTCTCAGGCACATGCTGTACTCGATGATGTGCTTTACAACGTTCTGAGCGACCTATTGATGAAGACGCACCGCGAAGAGAAGACAGCCAGAGCTACCACCGCTGCCATTCGCATCGAGAAGCTGGCATCCGACGCGTCCGACAGCTCAACGCCAGACTCAAAACCGGACGTACGGATTGAGACCGACGCCGCTATATACGAGGATGGAAAAGTATTGCTGAAGGGCAATCCTCTCAAGACGACCGCCGAGATTCTGTGCCCCCGATGCCATCTGCCCCGACTCCTATACCCAACGGACGGAAAAGGCGCTCAAAAACCCGATCCCGGTGTCATCTACTGCAAGAAACATCCTTATATTGATAAGCCTGGGTGCGACATCTATGGCCAGAGTTGGGTCGCGCCAGGTCCTGGTCGGGGCAAGAAGAAGAAGGATATGGAAAAGAATAATACCGATTCTCCCACCCCCGAACAGCGACCACCCAATGTTCTTTCTTTCCCCTCAGCTACTTGCAGCAAATGCAAGCGTTGCATTCTCGTCACTCGACTGAATAACCATATGGGCTCATGCATTGGGAACAGTGGTCGCAATGCCAGTCGAGCTGCAGCGCAGAAGTTGAGCAATGGCGGATCTCAGAATGACACAACGCCACCTTCATCACAAAAGGCGACTCCTGCGCCAGGCTCCCGCGCCGCCAGCCCGAAGAAGCGCGATGCCAGCGACGAAGAGGAAGATTCTGAGAACAGTCACAAGAAGAAGAAGCTCAAGCCTACTTCCTCGGTCACCAAGAAGGTGATTCTCAAGACGAAGCCGAACCTCAAAAAGGACAAACCTAAGGGTCTGTCGTCCTTAAGCCAGGAGCAGAAGGCCGACTACAGCAACAGTGAATCCGTTGAGGTGGCACCCAAGAAGGTTGTGTCTAAGGGTATCAGTCCTGTTAAGAAGCTTAAGATGAACAAACCTCCGCTGGGGTCTCCCAAGCCCAAGCCTAGCCTCATCCGCGAGGCAACTGGAGAGTCAGAATCTTCAGACACTCTCTCATCCCCTCCTCAGTAGACCTCGCTCGGGAACAGCATCATGAGCGATGTGTCATCGATCTGATGGCGTGTCAGGCTGTACTCTTAGTGTCAGCCTGGCCTACACGCATCAGCATGAATGTCATGGTTGGATACGATAGAAGCAGGTAGTACGTCACGCGACAAAGGACATCATTTGCTTATCGCTTGCTTCTCAAGAACATTTACTCTACTTGTATTATCATCAATACATCATTGCATTGGAATGGCGAGCTGGTTGGCTAAGGTTACCGGGACCGGATATTTACAGCATCCATGGAAAAGGGACCGGGGCGTTTTTGGCGTAATGAGTACAACAATGGATATTTGCAGAAATATGATCTTGAACGCGACCTGTGACCGTGATCGTGACTAGTAACTTTTAATCCTGAACGCCAATGCTAGAGATGTCTAATCCACTCCGCGAATGCTTTCTATCTAGACCTCCTCCTCCTCCTCTACAACGCGAGCCTTGACAATCTTGATGTCCTCGATAGGCCTGTCCTCAGACCCAGTCTTGACCATGCCCATCCTCTTCACAGTACTCATGCCGGATTTGACCCTTCCAAAGATAGTGTGTTTGCCATCAAGCCAAGGCGTAGGCGCAAGCGTGATAAAAAACTGCGATCCGTTTGTGTTGGGGCCTGCGTTGGCCATGCTCAAGATACCAGCGCCTGTGTGCTTGAGACCCGGATCGATCTCGTCCTCGAACTTCTCGCCGTAGATAGAGCTTCCGCCGCGACCCGTTCCTGTTGGGTCGCCGCCCTGGATCATGAAATTGGGGATGATGCGGTGGAAGATGGTGTTGTCGTAGTAGCCGCGACGGACAAGGGTGGTGAAGTTATTGCAGGTCTTAGGGGCGTGGGTGGTGTAGAGCTCAAGGGTGAGCGAGCCCTGTAACTTGTCAGTAGTTGTAGTCAAAGCCGAGACTTTGTGACGTACCATTGTGGTCTCGAGTGATATGTTCGTTGTCATGATTGCGATGCTGTGTTGGGTGTGGTGTAAGTTGTTTATGATGGAGGGGAAATTTATCTGCCAAACCCATCCGTAGACACAACCAGCTTTAGTCTACGAACATGGAGCAGTGAGGTCACTGGCGGCTGGGCTATAAGATTAAGGCAAACATTTCACATGGGATGTCATAGTATCACTACTGCCAAGGTAACTAACTTGTTTTTCTTTTTCCTGCTGTCAGCGTTTATTGTGCTTTTCCTACCAAAGTACCTTAAGGTCGGCATGTCTATCTCTATTCGACATGATGGTGGGTTTGGCGCAGGTTGCGCCTTGAGTTCCTGGCGTTTTTAGCACTGCGAGCTGCATGATTGGTCACTTGGGCCCCAAACAACTCTGTAGCAAAACGCAGGCCACTACATTTCAGCCCCATAACCTTCTGTTTCCATTCAGCTCAGTGAGCTTTTACACTTTCATCAGACGTCATTCAACAAAGATACTGCATGTCAGGACTTTGTTCTTTTTCTGTGCTTTGTCGACCTTTCATGCAGGAAAACAATCATTCTTTTCTTTTGAACTATACTGCAATTTTGCTGCAGAAACAACGGGGTCAACGTGCTGAAAAATTGTCACGAAATGTCATGACTGTGACCCTTAACTCTCACTTTACACAACTTGTCCAGGCTCAGAACACGTTGCTTTCCCTCCATCACCAACATTAGCAACGTCTTCCAGTCAAGCCATGGCAGAAAACGCTACAGATCCAGCCGCCCTGGAGGGCTCTTTTGATGCTCTAAATTCTACCCTCGCCAATGGGCAAAATTGGCTCTCATCTTTTGCACATATTAAAGATCTGAGTTTTGTTATGCTTGAAGTCAGGCTCGTCCTCAGCGCTATTGGCATCATCTATCTCGGTGCCCACGCTGCTCTTCGGCGACCCCCATCTGCGCAACCTGCGAAGAAAAAGAAGCCTGGTTCCAAGGATGACGACGAGGAGCGTTTTGCCCAGGGACTAGAGCCCTCCGATGCCATTATTTTCCCGCTTATGGCTGGTGCCGTCCTTATCGGCCTGTACTACCTGATCCAGTGGCTTAAGGACCCTGACATTCTGAACAAAATTCTGCGCTGGTACATGTCTACCATGTCGGTTGCTAGTCTTGTATCAATCTATTCTCATGGTATTGAGGTGGTGACCAGCCTGGCGTTTCCACGATACTGGCGCGGCCGTGACGGGCGACTAAGGGAAGCGGATCAAAAGACAAGATCAGTACAAGTCTGCGATGATGCGGGAAACCCTGACGCAGCCATCCCTAAAACGCAAAACCCCTTCCCTGGACCATTTGCTTGTTTGGCGTTCTCGGAGAAGATCCGCAAGTCTGGCTGGGAGCTTCGAGGCCTCCTTAAGCGGCATTGGGCCATCAAGCTCTTCATCCATGGAATGGGTAAAGAGGAAGGTCGAATCAAGTTTGCTCATGTAGTGTCCTTGGTTATGGCACTAGCCACGGCGCTCATTTATTCATCAACTACCTCCCCCTTGTTGAGTAATATGCTTGGTTACGCCATGTGCTATGGCTCCATTCAACTCATCTCGCCCACAGATTTCTTGACTAGTACTCTGATCCTGGTTGGTCTGTTCTTTTACGATATCATAATGGTATTTTACACGTGAGTTATAGGGCTGATCTTGAGATTGACTCCAAAGCTAAGCATTTTCAGCCCCTATATGGTTACAGTAGCAACCAAGTTGGACGTCCCAATCAAGCTCACTTTCGAGGCTGCAGAGCGTAAGAGTATCCTCGGACTGGGTGATATTGTCATTCCAGGCATGGTCATGGCCCTAGCCCTTCGGTTTGACCTCTGGCTCCATTATGATCAAAAGATCAAGTATGAGAGCACTGACCTAAAGCTCATTGAGAAGGACCCGACATCAGGCGCTCTCATCACACGGAGCGAGACTAAACACAAGGAGGTCAAGGCCAAGTACGTCAACGTCAAAGGAAAGTGGGGAGATAGCCTTTGGACGCGTGGGACATTCTTTATCTTTGGGTCGCAGCAGCTGCCCCCTGACTTGGCGGCTGCACACTTTCGCAAGACTTACTTTCATGCCTCCGTCATTGGGTATCTTCTCGGCATGCTGGTTACCTTGGCTATGCTCTTGATTTTCAAGCGTGGCCAGCCTGCATTGTTGTATCTCGTTCCTGGCGTTCTGGGATCTCTCTGGCTGACAGGACTGGTGCGTGGAGAAATTAAGCAGATGTGGAAATACACCGAAGATGGAAGCCTAGACAAGATTGATGTGGTTGTGGACTTGGATGGCGAGGGCAACGCGATCAAGACCCTCGGCAAACTAGAAGACGGCGTCGTGGATACAACTAAAAAGGACGAAAAGAAAGACGGAGAGGACCAACCCAAGGATAAAGAAGACGGAAAAGCAAAGGAAGGGGACAAGAGCGAAAGCAAGGAAGAACGTCATGTATTCTTACTCTCGGTTGATGCTGAGCCAGAGACAGAATAAGCGGAGGTTTCATGGCCGTAGTTTTGATGACGGGGTCTGCGTACAGTAGCAATGCCTCAGCGGAGGTCCATGAATATTAAACACATGAGAGTCATAGAGTAGACATGAACGGTTCAAAGCTTAGTCTATGAGGCTGGCTCTGTGTCTATATACGTCAAGTAACTTGTCCCGCATAAGCAACTGTCGCTTCTAGGCCAACCGAGAGAAGGGCTTTTTATCATTATCATTAACATTAATATTAAATCTGGACTGCTTCAAAATAAAATAAGAATCATTATCTCAGTGTCTCCGTATCCATCCACATCATACGCGTACCCCTTATCTCTTCAATAAAAACATAATTTCGAGTCTGTATTAGTAGACATCGGCCACCACCAACGTCCTTAATCCCCTGCACCGCGTAAAGGTTCAGACTCTTCGCAGGGGTCGTTCCATCCACTCAGATCCAACGTAGCAATGCTTTGCTTTGCTTTGCTTTGGACTGGGCTTCCTTTGGGGTTTTGTTGTGCCCAACACTCGGCGTTAAGATGGGCGGGTGAATAGTGAAAAGTCGAGCGTGCTGCATGCCGAGAGTACATCCGATGTTTCCTTGACTGAAGCTTTTGAATAGTCTCTATGGTCTCGTGTGGTGACAAGAACTGGCTTTGGCAGATACACTGGTTGGCGCAACACAGCTCGTTTGGCTCGAGCCAGAAAATGGTAAAGTGGAAAATACTGCTGTGCTGAGAAGAAAAAAGACTCAGCTGGAGCAGAGAAAGAGGTGATATAAGATAAGAATGGAAGTCTCCTCTCGGACATAATGAGCCCGCTGTGGTTTAATGGCTGATCATGGTTGTGGTTGTCAAGGAGAGAAAAAAGTGCAGGATGCCCGTACAAGACTCGACTGCATAATTAGGTCTCAAGAATGAAGAAAGGGATGAGAACCTGTAGAGCACATTCAAAGTTCTCCTCATGGCCTCTTATTATACTTCATGTTCGTTGCTGTATGATAATGTTCGTTCGGCCGGCCCGTAATCGAGACCCCACCTCCGACAGGCCCGGTTTCGTCTTTTCGGCTTCCGAGTCTCACCTGTCTTGTCACAGTCTCGTCTCAACTCCATCACCTACTTCAAATGGTTCTTTCACTGGAAGCCTGAAACGCTAGCTCTAAGGCACTCCAAGGCAGTAGTTGTAGCAACGATGAGTAGGACCCAATCCTCACCTACGGTCATCCAATGGGTGATCGACACTCGTCCACTCTGGCAATCCGCTCTCAAGACCAAAGACCTCACATCCGCTGTAAGTGCCCTAGTCATCCACTTTAACCTGATACTCATGTCATACCTTAGGCTTCACGTGCACTCTCACTCCTCACCGAGGAGGAACAATCTTCTGTCCTGAGATACTACCACGTCCGCGATGCCAAGCTCGCTCTCGCTTCGGCTCTTCTTAAGCGCTACGCAATCTCTCGCTTCTGTCACGTCCCCTGGTTCCAGGCCAAGACCACCCGAGACGCTCGAACTAAACCCGTGTTTGTTTTGCCAAGCGGTGATGAGCCGCTGATCTTTAACGTCTCGCATCAGGCCGGTCTCGCGGTTCTTCTGGCCGTTCATGATCCGCCAAAGGGCCTTGCCGTGGGAGTTGATGTTGTCTGTCCATCAGAACGGCGAGATCGAGATCTGAGTAGTTTGGAACAAGATGGGTGGGCTAGTTTCGTCGACATTCATGCCGATGTCTTTGGAGCGGGAGAAGTCTCAGCGCTTAAGAGCATGAACCCTGTTCCTGCCGTTCAAGAACGAGATCGTGCATTGCGCTACTTTTATGCACTATGGTGTCTCCGTGAAGCCTATGTCAAGATGACGGGGGATGCTCTTCTGGCAAGCTGGCTGAAGGACCTCGAGATGCACAACTTTGCCCCGCCAGAAGACATGGAGGAAGCCCAAGAGGTTCGACTGAGAGGCAAGAAGGTTGAAGGCGTGGACGTGAGACTGATGCCGCTACTCGAGGAGTACATGATCTCCACAGCTGTAAGAAACGGTGATAATGGGGAGAGGGTCGAGCTCGGAGAGTTTCAATGCCTTGATATGGAGGAAGTATTGGCATTTGGGGAAGAGGCATCCAAATCATGATTATAGAACGGTTTATGAATAATGAGGAATGCAAGCGCAATTGTCTGACAACAGAGTTTCTTAATTTCTTTGATCATTTCTCATAGGCTAGTTACATCGCATCTCTCGATAGATAGACATCACATTTCCGTCTTTAGAAGTTCTTACCGAAGAACTCAAGGACTGTCTTGTAACCCCTTTCATACTCCTCCTTGACGCGGTTGTCACTGAGATCGGCACGAGCGGCCATCCAGCCGTGGATCTGGTCCTTGAAGGTCTCTACGTGCTTGGCCACTTTGAGGTTGTCCTCAAACTTCTTGACCTCCTCATCGGGCTCCTCCTTGGATGCGAGAAGCATGGTAGGGACCGAAAGGCCCTCAGCATCAGAAGCGTCTACCATGGCGGGGTGGATCTGGGCGGCAATGGAGAAGGGGTTAGAGTCTGCCTTGACGCTGAGAGCAACGACCTTGCCACCCCAGCAATACTATTTAGACCTGTCAGTACTGAAACATAGCTGCAACCAAATAGCACTTACTCCGATGATTCCGAACTTCTCGATGGAAGAGTCCTGGTCCTTGACAGCCTTTACATAGTCAGGAACCTGGCTGGCAACCTTGGGGGGAGGATAGGTGCCGAAGAAGTCTCCAAGCTGCTTCTTCTTGTCGTCGTTGTCGGGAGGGTAGCTGATATCGAATTAGCGGTTAGTGAGGCTCTGCATAGTCGTTGTTAAAACAGACGAGAACGTGAGCTCTTACATCTCAATGGGGCAGGGGCTGCCCTTGAACCAGTCAGGGATGAAGACCTTGTACTTCTGGTGAGCATCACTGAAGGCGAGGATGTCAGCTCCCTGAAGAGTCTGATCGAAGTATCCAAAGATGTCGTAGATCACGACAATGGCCTTCTTAGCGTCGACGGGACCAGTAACATCTACCCATGTTAAATGCTGTCTCTTCATGTGCTAGGAGTCGTCTTACAAGTCTTATAGCCTCCGATCTCCTTATAAGTTCCCTTTGCCTCATATCCCTTAGAGACAACAGGAGGTATGTTGCAGCAGGCCTCGTTGTGGCCGTGAGATGCGGGCATAGTCGTCATGATGGATGAATTAGAATGGCGATTGCTGGGGGTGCGCCTATAGGATGAGATCTCTGTTTAGCTGAGTCTTGGGGTTGATAGCGGTCGAGTTTTAACCGGTAAGAGGATATCGACGACTTACAGGGCTTGTTCTGCAGCAAGTGAGAAAGAAAATTGTCGATAATGTGATTACAGAAGGTGACAGAATTAAAATGGTTGATTCCTCGATTGCGGGGAGGAGGGGTGGGAGCTTGAATGGGGAGAGGACCAATGATGTCACGATTTACTCAGGAATAGCAAGTTGTCCCGTCCATATCTCTTGAGATGGCAAGTTCTGCTCTCTTCTCCCTATTCGTGGAATCACTTCTGTTCCATTAATGCATGTCCATTTATCTCAAGCTCAATGTTTCATGCTCAATTGAATTGACATTCAATCACGAATGCATCATCCGCTTCCTGCTGTAGACTACCTACCTAAGGTAAGGTACCGGGCAGCGGCCCCGGCCGGCCCGGGTGGGGGAACATAATCAACAGATGCGGCAGATAGCAATATCCATCGTCATAATCTCGCAATAACGGCAAAAGTTACTCTGATTATGACTGATACATTTTGTTTTATTTTTGAATCTAAGACTTGAAAAGTGCTATCGCTTTGCTCTGAAAATTCATTCATCAGATTTCCGTTCCCTAAAAGGTGGTCATTGCCCATTCAACGCTGTCCCATAACATGATATATCCTCAAGCCAAAGGCCAAAACTCCGTTGTGCCTATGCAATTATGTACCAGAACTCCTTCTTATGCCATCTTTTTTATTTACCCGCCATGCTTCGGTTGGTAATTCCGCCAGTCTCAGCCTGTTCCAGACAGTTTGAGATCAACTACATGATGCTCCCGTCTCTATTCCGCATGTGATCCCTGACCTTGGCCAACGCCAGCATTCTTGAATCGAAATGTAATTCCACCTGGGCTGTAGCTGTTTTCCAGCCCTCTAAATGATGCCAATCATCTCACTGGGGAGTTCGGGCTGAGTCCTCCCATCCGTCGTACCACCACTTGCATCTTCTCAATGAGCTCCGGTATCCTGTATGGCTTTACCATAACGTCGTCACACCCAGCTTGCTTGGCTTCCATAACCTGTTCCGGTCGTGCGTTGGCCGTAACAGCAATGATGGGAATGCGACCTCCAGACGCACAAAAGATTTCCCCCTCCGCTTCTAGTTCGCGAATGATTCGCGTGCACGTCAACCCATCCTGAATCGGCATCTCGATATCCATAAGAACGAGATTGATAGCTATAGGCAGCGGGTTCATGTTACTCCTCCCCGAGCGGCTACTGCCTGCCTTGAGGCCAAGTCCCGGGGCACCACCTTGCCTGCGTTTCAGCTTGTCGAGTGCTTCAATTCCATGATTAGCAACATCTACCATGTAGCCTCGGTCTGTCAACCCGCGTCTCGTGATTTGCTGGTTGATCAGGTTGTCCTCGACAACAAGAATCCCATCAAGCCGAACATTTCCTCCTGGATTTTGATGCTTCTGCAAGCGAATGTCTCGACAGGGTCGTTTGCCATCAGCTTCCGCACCGTCAGCACCAGCAATCAACCTGGCTGCAGCCGCGGCAGCGAGCGCTTCGTTCCGAGAGGCTTCACTTGGCACGTAAGCCTCAATGTAGAACGCGAACGTTGATCCCACGCCAGATTGACTGGAGACACCAATCGCGCCGTTCTGGAGTTCTGTCAAGCGTCTGGAAATGAACAACCCAAGTCCTGATCCTCCGTATTTGGTGTGTGTCTTGGCGCTCGCTTGAACGAACTTATTGAAGAGGCTGCCCATCTCTTCCACCGTCAGACCCTGGCCCGTATCCTTCACCTCGAACAAGAGATACACAGGACGAGTACGTCCCTTGAGGGCGGGTTGGTCGTATTCCTCTGAAACATCGCAGAATCGAGGAATAAACTGAACCACTGTCATGGCCTCTCCTGGTGGTTCCAGAGACCCTTTCACCCCGACAGTGACATTCCGGGTGGTGCCAGACTTGGTGAACTTCAACGCGTTCGTGAGGAGGTTGATCAAGACTTGCTGAACTCTGCTTGGATCCAAGTCCAGATAGTCATACGCGAGATCCTTGTACGACTTGTCGACATAAGAGGTCAACTCAATATCTACACGACGAGCCTCCACTTCAAACATCTTGAGAGCGCCGTTCACAATCTGGATCGGATCTACCGTGCAGGGCGTTACGGCCAACAACTTGGAGTCAAGTTTAGACATTGTGAGAATATCATCAACAATGCGTTTCTGGTGTTGAGCGCACGTCACAATGGTCTCGGCATTTTCGATGCTGTCCTCCAAGAGCTTCTTCTCCTCGGCGGATCTTTCGCTAACACTTCTCTCATCACCTTGAGAGCCGTTTCGTGTTGGTGTAAGAGGTGCAGAGTTGTCACTGATGTCTTGCACTCTTGCAAGAGAGGCAATAATTGCGTCGGTACAGTGAAGGATAGCGCTTAATGGATTCCGCATCTCGTGTGAGGTCATGTCGATAAAGTTTTCCTGCTGACGCTTCGACTCGATTGCCTCTTCTTTGCGAAGCTTCTCTTGCTCCAATTGCCATTTCTGTATTGAAACGTCGCTCAGACAGCCGGTGAAAGATTGAATCACGCCGTCAGAGCTTCTGACTGGCATGAACGTAGCAAGCACCCATCGCGGGGCCACAGATGAATTCCCGTCGCTGTCCTCTGTCACCCAGCCGTTGCGGAGTCGAAACTCGGCCGTTTCGGTTCGTCCTGATTCGACTAGCCTATCGAGGCTTTCCTGTAGGATATGCAAATCTTCCTTCACAACACATTCTGGCCAAGGTCTCACATCGGTCTTGGTGAGATCGACCTTCTCCAAGTCTGTCAGTTCCCAGAAAAGATTGTTCGCGCTAAGCAGTCTTCCATCCATGCTGACGTCGTACATTCCAACCGTGGCAAACTCGGCGAGGCGCTTTAGGTTCTCTGCTTCTTGTGCCCGGCGGACCGCCTCCTCGGCCGTGTCCTTTTGTACTGTTACGTCGGTCAGGCAAGTAAGAATTCGAATGACACTGCCATCTGGAGCTCGCTCGGCCTTTGTAGAGGCCAGGATATGACGCAAGACTCTTTCGTCAATTGAAGATAAACGACCTGTAGAAGACTTGAAGCTCTTCGCGCCCGTTGTGTTCTCGTTCCGGGCGATGCGGTATTCGAAAGTAACAGTGTCGACTTTCTGGACGTCTTTGTATGCTTGTATAACTTTTTGTTTATCTTCCTCGAGCACTGACTCGAGCAGTGCGCTTTGCACGATTGGTCCTCTTGGACATCCGGTGATACGATGCCAGGCATCATTGGCAAAGGTGATACTACCTTCGACGTCCACAAAGCACATACCTACGGGGATAAAGTCTGCAACCGCGGTAAACATTTGCATGGATCTCTCTGTCTGTTCAGTTTGGTACTCTAGTCGCTGCTTAAGCATAGCATTATCATAGGCAGCCTGCTCGGTAATGTTGCGCCGCCGCCGGGCCTCCTCTTCCAAGAGAACTGTGGAAGCAAGAGAGCTCGTAAGCTTCTGGCTCAACAAGGATATGAACTGTCGATAATCGTTATCGTATGGGCGTCGGGGATTCAAGCCTAAGAATAGAATACCCATAGCGTCTTCTTCTTTAGTTGGACGAATAGGCAACACGATGGCAGCCTGGCAAGGGTCACCGAAGCCGCGCCATGCTAAACCGTGCAGCAGGCTTTTTGGCAATGTGTCGTCCTTTGTCTGCAAAAGGATTGGTTGGCGGTGATCCAATGACTTCCTCATGATAGAAGCCATCCCCTTATCTGTTTCCCTGAGGTTGAGGACTTGAGGAGCAATCGCATGTCCCTCTGGCACGCCCAGCGAGCCCTCAAGATGACAAATCTTGGGGCAATCATATTTTGAAAGGGAGGTGTCGGATTCGTCGTCTGCCACGGAGTACAAAAAAGCCAATGGGACGTCGTAGGTTGGGCTCCAGCGTTCCAGTTCCTCAATCGTCCTAGACCAGTACGACTTGGCATCCTTCGTAGAGACCAGAGCCTCACCGAGATCAATAAGCATTTTCATCCTTCGCTCCCAAAGTCGCCTTGAGGTCATTTCGAGTAGGGAGTGCTGGATTCCGAGGCATTTCTTGTCGTAGACAATGGGGACCATAGAAGATTTGACATATGTCTCCTCATGTGAGCCGTCTGCCAAGGGGATGAAGAATTTGGACTCATCCTCAGCATTCGAATAGTTCTTCAATGGCGAAGCCGTCATTTCATCGAGTCTAGTCTTGAGGTGAGGCCAAGCTTCAGGTGCTGGTCGTCCTAAAAGTCCAGGATGTCGAGCGCCGCAGTATTTTGAAAAGGCTTCATTGTAGATGGTGACATACTCAGGACCCCAATAGAGCGCCACTGGTCGCGAATCTGAAACGAGTTGATTAAATGTATGCTGAAGTTGAGCGGGCCAATCTGACATGGGTCCCAGAGATGTCGACTCCCAATCCACATTTTGAACCACGTCAAGAAATGGCTCTGCTTCGGAGTCGGAGACAGGAATCATAAGCCCTGGGTTTGATTCATCGCGATAAAGCAACGGAGTTTTGCTCTCCGACTTTTTTCGGGACGGTAAACGCGCATTGTCCAGTGGCGATTTTTGGGGATATTTTCTAGTCGCCTCGCCCTCCTTTCCCTCTATTCGAACTTTGCGCGGGGGCTCTGACGAAGGAGGCGTTTCATTCCCACTCATCACCACCCATTGACCCAGAACTATGCTTCGTGTCCAGTAAACACCAAGATATGGGAGCGAGTGTTGCGTATTTGATGGTGCAGGACCTGAGGCATCTGTTTGAGACGTTGGCGCAGATGGTGGGCTGGTGACCCAATTCCAGAACGGCGAGTGGGAAACATCTTGAGGGATAGAGGCAATGGAGTGGTCAAGGGTATAAGAGTTCTGTAAGGCAGGGTTTCGATACAGGATGTCGGCCGAATAATGGGATATCTTGGAGCGTGTCTGCTCGGGTAATGCAACGACGAATGTTGGTCGAGGGTCAGAAGCGACGAGGTCGATAAGACCGAGGTGTTGAAGAGCTGGAGGCAGCATTGAGCAGTATGATCATGCCAAAGCCCGAACGATGAGACTATGGGGGCTGGGAGAAGTCGATACGGCTCAGCAACTACTGAGGAAGTCGAGCGCTCTAAGATCGAGAGAGAGGTGAGGTATTGGTCGTATTTTGTGTCGTCATTGCAGTCGCAAACTGGAGGGGCCTCGAGGTAGGATCTCAGTGATGATCGAGGTCGTCGAAGTCGCACGCGATCAGTGACGTGTAATTGGAAGCGAAAAGAAAGGCTCGGGTCCGTTCAGCCCAAAGAAGAATATGAAGCCATCGTCTTGTCGTGGTCAGGAAGAAATTGAATGGGTATGGGCGTGTTATGTTGGCCTTGGTTAGTACGGGACGGGAGGTTCTGAATCGCCAGCGCCAGGCAGGTGCTAGGATTGGGGATCTACTGTAAGCCTGTAATGTGCGTCGGTGGGGTATCTTATGCCTTGCGCCCTGCTGCAGAAGAAGCCTGAGTGGATGGACAGGTTTGTTAGTGGGTGATGAATGATGAATGACAAAACTTAGTGGCTTTTTCACCAAAAGAGGAACGGTCATTTTAGTGGCTGTCTCCACTACAGTACCTGCTTCTTGGTTCTTGGCTGCCGGTGAATTCCTGGATTCCAAGTTCTAAATCAAGCTTCGATTTCTTCTTACTCATATGACGCTGAATAAGAGCCGCTCTATGCGATACTCCCCATGGTGAAACTCTGATTCAAACACATCAGTCTGGTTCAGCAAATAGATCAGGAAGACCTCACCGTAGTTCTTCGGACTCGCCTGAAATAAACCCCTTACAGACCACACACGCTAAGACACGCCATGCACTCTACTGGAGATCGAGTAGAGATGGGGGCTGGGGTTTGAGAGGCTAGAGAGGCTAAGTAATAATTGCTCCAGTGGCCTATGAAAACCAGCATCATTGAATGAGGCGCCATGGGCAAAAACAGAAGGAGAAAGAGAGGCCATCCCCGAAATGGAACATATTATCTGGCATACATTGTTGGGATGGCAATGTCTAGGAGATGGTGTCGAAAGTGACCGAAAGGGAAAGTTGCCGGTGCCATGACTCGAGGTGTTTCAACTGAGCGAATTTTCTAGGAGAAATTCGATGAGACAAAACCCCCATGGAGAGGATCCTGGTCCGTAACTGTTTAAAGGATTCAGCCAAGCACAATATTGTCATGTTGAGTGCAATGAATCAAACGCTCGCAACTTGAAGACCTACCTGCCATCGCAACAAAAACGATGTCGATTATCAAATACACATCAGAAGAGGCAGCATGCATTGCAATTGCAAGATGGACAAAGCCAACTTGAGGATGAGGATAGCGGAAGAGCATGCAACTGCACCTCGCTAACTGCGATATCTGATTCGCTGCATCGACACTAGGTATGTGTTTTTTGATACAAACCGGAACTATGTGCGTATAGCGCAACACCACGGCATGCAGCTCATGGAGGCAAAACTACCTACTTGCCATCCTTACAACAGCGCTAAGAGCATTACAGCCATGAGATGCCCGTGTTGGAAGCCATCTTCGTATCGGCGAATTTGAGATCGGGATATTGACCCAGAGGCACTCTATGATATGCGCAGTCAACGCCTTGGCATGCCTGCACCCACCGATCTCGGAATTTGTCTCACGTGGTATGGGCATCAAACCGATCGATCAATGATGGATTGGTGAGTGGGTTTACTAGCTTTTCGGGTGACAACTGTCATCCTCGTGCACATTGCTTATCCTACCTGTTTGAGTTTGGCTCGCACTCGGGTGCTTGCGCATCTCCCGAACTCACCAAGCTCTCGGTACCGTGCTAGTCAGCAAGCTTCAGTCCCAGTCCCAAGTTGGACTTGGCCGCTGCTAAGAAATGCTGGTATCTCAAGTAGGTAGGGGAAGTCCGCGATTACCTGGCCCACCACAGACGCAAAGGTTCCACGGATGAATGCTTCGTATTCTAGTTGTTGAGTTGCTAAATTTGCAGCAGAGACACGTACAACACTAGGGCAGAGATGTGAATTTCGTGGTAGGCAGAGCCTCTGGCCTTGTTAATACGAGCCCTCGATCGCTTCCGATCCTTGGCAAGTCAGCGGAGTAGCAAGACATTGGATAACATACATATTCAGCAGTCTAGGGGCTTGATCTGCCAAAACCCTTGGCAAGATCTCTTGGTACTCCTAATCAGATCTCGCCTTCCAGTTTAGTCGTTGGTAAATACCTAGCTGCCTTGGCAACTATCTCCCGATCGATAGGCACCTTGCCTGAGGTAGACTCCACGATGGCTTCTGTGTGGCGCGTTTAGAGCAGGTACCCGACAGTATCCTGAGTCTCAAGCACCTCAGGTGCCTGGTCCAACAGCCTGGCTCCTGGGGCTTTATTAATTGTCCGATGGGCGTCACTAGTTCCTGCTTGACACTACCAATCCTTCCAAGCCTGAGGTAACTTGATGGATATCGATCGCATCCATCCAACTGCTCTAGATGCTAGGCATTCTTCACTTCAACTTTACAAAACTCCATTGAGAAATATCTCTCATATATCAATCGGAAGTCGATTACCACAGTCTTTGCGATTGCAAGACCAACACTAGTCTACGGAAAATCCTTCCAATCATCGTCATTCACTTTCATTCTATCACAATGTGCAAGTGCTTCACCATCACCATCGACACTCAAGGTGTCCGTGAGCGCCATCATTTGTCTCACAAGGGCCTTTTCACTGCGCGACAGGCATAGTTCTTCTGCCCCGTCCATGAATGTCATCATGCCATATGGACAACTCGACCTGTTGTTCAGCCTTTCTGTGGAGATTGTGCTGCCGTTATCTTCCATGGGCATTCTTCTGCCTTTTGGATCCACTCACAAGACCTCATGGCTTCCGTAATCGAACTTCCTTTACTGGCAGATGAGAGCATGGGATCACCTATAAATGCAAACAACGATGCTCTCGATCAAGTTGTCGATATGCCGAATTCTGACATCTTTCTGGACAAGCCCAACCACGATTCGCTACCTTCTACCCATATTACATATCGTGGCTTGTCAACTAGTACTTTGATTGAACATCCTCGATGTTTCTTTTGAAGTTCATAACATTCGATGGCCTTCAGGCTTACCAGCCATGCTGTGAGAACATTGATCACATTAATATCTTCAGACCATTGCGCGCTATTGAACACGATAGCGATCCGGCTTTCGAGGCAGCTCGTGAATGGTCATGCATCATCCAAGCCCGCCAACACTTACCCAAGGAAATAAGATAGGTACTGGCACTCGTCTACAACTTTTCCTGCACAATGTTGCAGCCCGAACAAACTGAAGAATACATCTAGGAGATGCGGGCTTGGCTTATGCATTGGTATCAAGTTGCCGACAACCTCTTCACAAAGTTTAATGTCTTTGCCACTGCGCCAAATCCCGATTGGTTCATGAGACCTCGAATGCGCCCCAGGTCACGGCCGAGACCAGCGCCGGTCGAAAGCACGGCCAAACACCCACCATCCCCAATATCTAATCTCGTACTGGACTCAGAAGCGGACGATATAGACCGTCTGGTCGCGCCAGTATCCTCGAGTATATTCGACTGGTCCAGCCGTTCATCTGAAGCCACCGAAATCAATACCGATGGTCAAGCAGCCATATTCGACCCAACTCCAGGTGGCCGGGTTTTCACTTCCCAGGGACGTCTTGGCAGTGCAAGCACCAGTGGTGTTTTAAGGCCATGGTTTCGCTACAATCATACTGTTGAAGGGTCATTACCTCTCGGTGTTACAGACACAACCTCCCCTTGGCACAATCCTATAACTGGGCAATTTGTGCCCCTCGAGGACTTTTATGAGGAAGATTTGTTTGAATCCGCCAGCGACTCCTCCTGCTCGGTTTGCGAATCACTATTTGATTACGAAGTCGAGAATGTATCATCACAAGCACACTCTGATCCTTTGAAATTGGCATGACTGCGGGAAGTTCTGTCAGTGGGTAGTTTGAGGTATTTGAAGGCTTGAGGTTGGGAATCTGATTAGCAAGCGTAAAGAATGAATAGCGACCAAATATACAACAAGTTTTATTCAGGTTTCAAGGTTACGTGCACGCTCTTGTTCTGCCACCTCCGTTTAGACCAAAACCACCCACCGAGGATTTCTCGGTATCCCGTATATACTCATCTGAGTTGTTGTCTGTCTGCCTGCATGCTTCGGCTTAGCCAGAGTCTACTGCTGAAGCCTATATCGCTATGGTTTACTGGGCAGCAACTAGACTCATGTAAACTCCCCACACAACACCAGCCAACGCACCAACAAGGTTGCGTCCCTCAACGGTCTTGACAGCAGCAAAGTTGACGATGCTGACAGCAGGCCAAAGTTTCCAGCCGGCAAATATAAGGGGAGCAAAATCGACCTTGGCAGCCTCCCAAACGGCTGTCCAGTCAACACGTCCAAAGTCCAGAGTGCCTGGCGAAGTCCAATACGTGATGGCCTTGGCGAGACTGGTAATGACGGGCGCGGGCTGGATAGCTGAACGTAGGGCATGTGTGTACGTGCTAAAGAGCAGGGTGTTCACAGCAGCACCAGCAGTCTGGTCGAGAAAGAACTTGATAAGCGTGTTCCGTATAGAAAGCTTGGGTTGAGTCTTTTTAGCATCCTTGGAGTCCTTAGCTTTAGGGGCATTATCAGGATGAGCGGGAAATGTCGATTCAAGAAAATCTTGCCTGGGACGTGTCAGTCTGAAGGTTCGAAAGGGAAGAAGAAGCATACCAGTAGAAGTTGGGTGGTGTACAAATAACGTTGAAGAGGAGGAACTGAAACACAGGAATCCAGTCTATCACAATATCGTTCTAAGATGAAGATAGTCAATACCAGCATTCGAACATCTCAAGGCGTATGTAAATACCAGTTTTACCCCAGCTCTGTAGGCCGAGATGCCTTGAGCCAAGATATTGGCGATGCCGCCCAAAGCAGCACTCTGAATGGTGGCCATGACCACGGGAGGGTAGTCCATTTTTGTTATTATTGTACGAAAACTCAGGGGTGTATGTGAATGGAAGAGAAGACGATGTTGTAGAGTTGATAAGAATAGAGACGTGTTAAGTTGAGACAGTGAGATCGGCGCTAAGATAGGCGAGCCAAGATTTCTGAGGACACTCTACCCAAGTACTGAGAGTGCTGGGTTGTTTTCGGTTACTCAAGTTGGATTGTATACTTAGCAAAAGCAGCTCGTGAAAGCGTTGTATCTTTTCAGTGAAACAAGAGAGACAGGGACATGAATGAATCATTCAAGAGATGTGTGGAGAGAGATGTAGTTTGATGCGAACCGTGTCTAATTGGTTAATATCAACTACACCCTTTCCTTTAGTAGACACGCATGTGCTGCAGGTGAGTAGTCATGGAGTGACTTTAGGCAAATATCATTGAAATCTATAGCTCATAGTTGAATAAATTAAATCATTGACGTTTTTTATGCTTCGTCGTTCAGATCAAGCTGTTATCATACATCCCCAGTCATCCCTCATTACCGTCTCCGCCCCGTTGTTCGTTGACCAATGTTTATATTTCCCAGATGTCTCTAAGCCCCTTTAAGTGCAATGCAGATATCCTAGACACAACAAGCGATTCACTTTGTGAGCTATCGCTCATTATGCCCTGGTGAGAAGCCACATGAAGAAGAGCTGCACAAAGTAGGAGTAGATGAAAAGAAACTTTGTGCGTTGGCTGCGTTTCGCCCGTGAGTCCGTCTGCATTGGCCCGCTGGAGCCGGCAGATGTTTCAGGCAGGAGGACGTACTTGAGTGATCGCATCTAAGCAAATGGTTAGCAGGTGTATGTTTGCATTGCCAACTAATTATGCAACTTACCAAAAAGAGCGAGTTTGCAAGGTAGGTGTAGACAAAGACCAACCAGCCAACCCAGCCACCGGTACCCTTGCCGCCGTTAAGGATCTCGGCAACGACAATAGTGACAATAATTCCGACAAACTTGTACCCAGAATAGGCAATCAAGTCAAGAAGTTGGGATTGGCTAGAGATGCTCAGGAGGTAGCATCCCAGCTTCAAGAAGAAGATCTCAACGATGACAACAATTAGACTAACTGTAGCTGTCTTTCCGAGAAGTTCTGGTTGGAATTGGTTGTTTAGACCAGCGATCAGCGTCGAGAGGAGAATGTATGTCACAAGTGCCATAACTGTACTACAATTAGCCAACTCGTCCGAATCTGGCGGTCTCCAACCTTGCATTGCGCACCTGGAATATACATATCGGGACTGTTGATGTCTTCTCGTGGGGGTAGATACCAGCCCTCTTGTCCATTCTGCCCAACAGCCTGCTTGCGAGACCAAGGCTTGTGCCTCCAGGGGAAAAGGACGAGGAAGAGTTTATTGACGACGTATGAGTTGGAGACATTAAAGTAATGCTTGAGGGCAGAGACATTGACGTATCGGCCAAACTATCGCGGCAGTTAGTACCAGGTGCCACAAAGACCACCGTGCTGCTGGTAGGACTCACGTTCTGCTCCATATACTCCTGTCCATGCTTAAAGGCCGTCTGTCCAAACTGCGCCGCCACCTGCGCTGTAGGGTCGTTCATGAAGTTGCCATATTGGCCAAAGACGTTGCCGCTGGTGCCTCCCTGCTGCTGATATGGATTTCCTCCCGCGTTGGCAGCGTAGCCTTGCTGTGATTGCGCGGAGCCTGGAGGGGGAGGCGGCGATCTTAATTGAGGGACGGTCGACACATGCTGAGGAACTGGGTGGTGAAGGGGAGGCGACTGCGCGTATGTCGCTCGCTGCATGACGGATGGGAGTGCGTGTTCTTTATGCGCTGGGTATTATTCTGCTTTTCTGCGGCTTTTCGAGGTCTCGAGTTGAGTTTAGGTGAGTTGGTGATGACTGATGACGAGATTAAACGTAAAGCTGGTGTTTGTTCAGTTTCTGGTAGGTCAAGTTCAGGAAATGTGTCGATTTCATCTGATTGGGCGCTAGCATCATGGAGAGCTCCAGCCTGGCAACCTCCACTGCCACAGTGAGGGAGCTCAACGTCAGCCCCTGTTTCCAGAAGGAGCACGTGATTGTTTCGATATCTAATTCAACATAGAGGCAGAGACGCCTGAGTTTATTCAGACGAGATTTATCATTAGGTAGTGAAAACAAAATATTCTCAGTTGACCTAATTCATATTATCATGTTCACCTGCGTACTCTCAATTGATCGTAGCATGACTGCTCCTAGGGTTGGATTTTCTTCCCCAAAGAAGGCCTAGGCTCAAACGGCGTGTCCGGGTTGAGTCCCTGTCCTTTCTTTTTGATGTGCAGCGGCTTTATCTTATCTTTAACTAGACTTGCCCGTTACCTAGTCTGGGCTCCCACTCTGTGCTCTACAGTAGCCACATCTACCAACGAATATTTGCCTCCCCGTTGGCTTGCGCCTTAATTCTCCCACCAGCATCATCATTCCTCTTGTCTAACGTTCAAGAGGGATACTCGCAAAATGTTAGATTCCTTCGAAATATTAACCACCTCGGGCGTGGTCGTTTGGTCACGCACTTATACTCCCATAAACCCTTCCATCATCAACAACTTCATCGCAGACACTTTTATCGAGGAGAAGAGTGGCGCCATTGCCCTCAGCGACTCAAGGTCCGCGGCTGTCAACACTCCCTACAAGAGTGATCAACATACTCTCAAATGGACTCTGGTTAAGGAATTGGGCGTTATCTTCGTCGTGAGTCCCGAGTCTTACTTGTCATGATGGCTTCTCCCCCGATCCTCGGCGCTGACGTCTCCACCCCCTCTCTAGGCCGTCTACCGATCCCTCCTCCACCTCTCATGGGTCGACAAGCTCGTTGATAATATCAAGACTATCTTCGTCAAGCTCTACGGTGAACAATTGACCAAGCCGCATACTACCCTCGTCGAATGCCATGCCTTCGATGAATACTTCGACATACAACTCGAGGAGCTTGACCAGACTAGTACTAAGGTTCCCTCCACTACCATCACGGCTGGCGCAGTCCCATTAGAAGAAGAAATTATCTCAGGGAACACTGGCGACAACCCTCCCGTTGCGCCAGGTCTAACATACCGAGGGCGCCACCTCAATGGGCCTCAGGATGCCCTTTCAGCCGACGAGTCAACCCCCGCTTTGACGCCGAACGGATCGCGACCCGGAACACCGAATAACCATCTCCTTGTCGCAAAGGGTGGCCCTATCGCAAAGATTTCTCGCCGGGCGCGCAAAGCGAAGAACCAGACTTCAGCTCCGGTGTCTTCCGGCGACGAAGCGCCGCGAAAGAAGAAGGCAGTCGCCAAAAAGGGGCGCAAATGGGACGCCGATGGCTTCGCCGATGAGGAAGACGATGTCCAGCTTGACTATTCCGCAAAGGCGCATGCTACCAGTGACTCTGAGGTTGAGGCAATGGGGCGATCAACAGCTGTGGATGAGATTGATTCCAACACATGGGGCTCAACATCAAAGGGCAAGTTCGTGCTCAAGGATCTTGGGGACGAGGTGCATGAGATCCTAGCTTCAGAAGCAGAGAAGGCAGCGGGAGCAAAGACACAAACCAGATCTGGCCTCTTGGGGTCGGGCGTCAGCGCTATTAGCGGTCTTTTCCGTAACGTTGTTGGAGGCAAGACATTGACTAAAGAGGATCTCGACAAGGCTATGAAGGGTATGGAGGAGCACTTGCTTCAGAAGAACGTGGCACGAGAGGCTGCTGTTCGGCTATGCGAAGGTGTTGAGAAGGAATTGCTTGGTGTCAAAACTGGCAGTTTCGAGAGTACGTTCACTGACCGTTATCATGTCCTGTTGACTCCATTCTGACCAGTTTCGCAGGTATTAATGCCAGAATTCAAGCCGCCATGGAGGCCTCGCTCACAAAGATGCTTACCCCAACATCATCCCTCGACCTTCTTCGCGAAATAGACGCTATCACGGCTCCCCCAGTGACATCTCTCCGCAAGGCTCGTCCCTATGTTATGTCAATCGTGGGCGTCAATGGTGTAGGAAAGTCCACCAACCTCTCCAAAATCTGCTTCTTCCTCCTCCAGAATAAGTACAAGGTTCTGATCGCCGCTGGTGACACTTTCCGCTCTGGCGCTGTTGAGCAACTTGCTGTTCACGTCCGCAACCTCAAGGAGTTGACGGCTCGTGAAGGTGGTCGCGTTGAGCTTTACCAGAAAGGCTATGGCAAGGATGCTGCTACTGTTGCAAAGGATGCCGTGACCCATGCTGCGCACGAGGGCTACGACGTCGTTCTCATTGACACAGCCGGTAGAAGACATAACGATCAACGTCTTATGTCTTCTCTTGAGAAATTTGCGAAGTTTGCTCAACCTGACAAGATCCTCATGGTTGGCGAGGTACGTCATCCGTTCTTTGAAACCCATTTCTGCAGTAACTAATTTCAATCTCAGGCTCTTGTAGGTACCGACTCAGTCGCTCAAGCACGCAACTTCAACGCTGCTTTTGGTGCTGTTCGCACACTTGATGGCTTTATCATCTCCAAGTGTGACACTGTTGGTGACATGGTCGGCACTCTTGTTAGTCTTGTTCACGCGACAAATGTCCCTGTACTTTTTGTCGGTGTTGGTCAGCACTATTCAGACCTGCGGAATTTCTCGGTGAAATGGGCGGTAGAGAAGCTTCTCAGTAACCACTGAAAAAGAAAATCACAGTAGTCTTGGACATCGTGGTGCTGTTCGTTGATTCTAATAGATATATGTCACATAACGTTAACAAGAGAAGGATTCCCACTATACACCTGATGATTGTAGTCTGGTTCAAAACAAGTGTGCCGGCATCTTCACAACGGCAGGACGTCATTCCAATTTGTTGCATCTGTTTAACAATTCATTTGAGAGTAGATTATGATTATGTACAACGAGCAATCGTCTTCGATGCTGTACCGCGCCAAAATTGACGTCCATCACACCGCTATGCAAACGACAGTGAGTAGAATAACTGAAATAACAAAACTTGTTGGTCCACTATCATTTTTCAGCCGTTGTTTTTTAGTCCTTTTCTTGTATAGGTTTGGCCGCCTTCTTCATTAACCAGTCTTCCTCCAAAACACGAGCTTCATCATGAAGTTGAACAATGCGAGACAAAGAAAAGACTCCATGAAAATAAAGAACAAATAATCCCAATCTGTGTAGCATAAACATCAATCCAAAAGGGGGTATCTTTCTAGGTTCGCAGTCTTGGTGAAACTAGTGTAATAATGTGAACCGCATATATGTATGCATCGGCCGTAGTTGATGATTTTGACAAAGGAAATAATTAATATAAATAATCATGACAGAGTATCCCCTGCTTAAGCCGATCCGCCTTCGAATCCGTTCAGTCTTCAAAGAAATCGTTATCGTCAAAGTCTCCAGGCTGAGCATCCGAATCGTAGCCACTAGTTCGCATCATTGGGGGAGTCATGGGCTCATCTTCTGACTCCCTGGGCGGTGGCGTCACAATAGTCGGCTCTGCTCGATGTGAGGTGTTTGAAGCCCCTCGTGCTCGTGCAGGACCATAGCTTTGTGATGGAAAGCGGCGCCCGGTGCTGGCAAAAGCGGTAGGCTGAGGCTTGTTGTCTTCTGGAGGTGTTTGACGAAGGCTAGAAGCGGGAGGGGTCATGAGGCCACCCAGCGAATTATTCTGGGAGGTCGAGTTGCTACGCGATGGCGTGGCGTTTCGTCGAGGAGCTGGCGAACTGAGGACGCCAGACAGGCTACTGAGGGATGGTTGACTGCGGTTCCCCTTTCGCCAGTTGCCCCAAGCAGCCGCGAGAGGGCCGATGGTTTGTGCCACGCGCGGCGTAGCGTTCTGAATTGTCTGAGCGATGTTGGGTAGGTTGATGGCAGAACCACCGTTCATGGCTCTCTCTCGTTCCTGTTCCTCCATTTGGAGGTTGGCCTTGAGTCTGATCGCCGCATCCTTCACTGCGTCACGGTCGAAACGATCACTCTGCAGGGCGGCAATAATGTCCTGCAGGTTCTCATGTCTGACCGCGAGAAGCTCGCGCAACCAAGTAATTTCATCATCGCGTTTGGTAATCTTTGTAGAGGCGTCAGGGTCCATCTTGGACAAGGAGTGTTCAAGCTCCTCAATGCGTTGCTCGCGGGCCTGAAGTTGCTCCTGGAGAACCATGATGGATTCACGAAGAGCCTGGGGAGAGATTCTCTCAGGAGGTTCAAGATCCCGTGATGTCTGTCTAGGCTGGGCAACAGCGATATTGACATCAGCTCCGGCGGATTTGGCAGCTTGAGCCGCAGCAGCAGCAGCCTGCTTGGCAATCTCCAGCTTATCTTCAAGATGTAATATGCGATCCTGAAGATGCTCGGTCTTGGAGGTAGACAGACTAAGTCGCTCCAGAAGGTGTTGTTCGGCTTTGTGAGCATCTTCCTGAGCGTTGTGGACCCGGCGCTCGTATCGTGTCTGGAGATCCTCAATTTCATTCTGGTGCTTTCGCGTAAGCTCTTCAATTTCAGCTGTCTTGCTGTTTTCAGCCTCTTCAAGAAGCATCTCATTCTGGGCCTTGGCTGTATCCACTTCGAGTCTGACGTTATCAAGCTCAGCGCGAAGCTTGGAATTATGCTCCTCGAGCTCCTCGCGGATGTAGTTGACTTGGTTATTAGCGGCGTCGATCTCGGTCTGCAACGCCATGCGGGTCCGCTTAACTTCACTCAAACCAGACTCACGAGCTTCTTCAAACTCGCGCTGGTAACGCATAGCTTTCTGCTCGAGTTTGTGGTTCTCTGTCTTCAGTTCGCCAATAATGCCTTCAAGACGGGCACACTCATTAGTTGCACGCATACCGGCTCGCTCGTTCGACTGTAGACGCTCCATCTCAATCTCCAAGCGCTCTCGGGTCTTAGCCTCAGCCTGTAGACGAGCATCTAAAACCTCCTGTCTGGCAAGCATAGCCTGATCCTTCTTGATACGGCGGGCGTTCTCTTCTGCAATCTCCCGAGCCGCCCGTCCCATATCTTCTTGAAGAGAGACAAACTTGCCGCGCCACATTTCCCGAACACGTTCATTCTCCTCAAGTTGTGTCGTAAGAGTAGTTAAAGATTTCTGCATATGCTGGTTGTCTTCGAGAGCACGGATTAACTCGGCGCCCTTCTGTCGAGCAGACTCATCATATCGCTCGGCCTCTGCACGCCAGTGGTGGTTGTCTTGTCGAACATCCTTGAGCTCAACTTCAATACCCTTGCACTTGGCAACAGCCTCGTGCTGAGCCTGGGTGGCGTTGTTCTGAGCAGCCTCCAAGAGGGCAATGCGCATAGCAGTCTTGCTGTTTGCCTGCTCGAGTGAACGCAGCTTATGATCTCTTTGCTCGACCAGCTCGCGTAGACGGACCACCTCTTCGCCAGCGATCTCACGCTGAACACGGGCTTCAGTAAGTTTATCCTCAGCAGCACGGCGAGCAACAACTGATTCCTCGCTGAGTTCTTCAGCTCCCCGAAGTCTCTCCTCCAAGTCAGCTACGCGCTGATCGAAAACGCTGCGGTTGATGATCTCGACCTCAATACGGGTCTCGGCAGTTTGAAGCTTGCGCATGAGTTCAGACGCCAAGTCCTCGGCCGCCCGACGTTCAGAGACCTCGTTCTCGACCTTAGTCTGCTCGAAGTAGAGACGCTGCTCGAGATCGGTAATCTTGTCCTGAAGCTCGGTGAGTTTAGCGTTCTCTACCTCCTCGGACTTGGGGGCAGCAGGTATGCGTGCCTCGATGGCTTCTTGGATCATCTTCTTTAGACCATTATCACGGTTGGCGTTGTTTGTAACCTCCTGCTTTAGCCCTTCGAGGGCCTCAAGGATAGCAGTGGCCGGTGCTTCAGAACTGGCTGGTGCAGAAGGGGGGGCAGGTGAGGCCTCAAGCTTGTTGCGTTGCTGAGCTTGAAGACCCTCCATAACAGCAATCCGAATCTGGTCCAGACGTCTGTCCCGTCGAGGACTCATCGAGCGACGAACAACGGGCTCTTCATCCTCGTCATCGGCATCGCTCTGCTGGAGCTCGGCGGAGACGCTACGCATGTCGCGCCGGGAAGAAGGTGTACGTCGAGCTCGGGTCGCCAAGACCTGCTGGATGGAGAAGAGTGTCTTCTCCAAGGGCTCCAGGCGTGAGGCCAATAGATTTCCAACAACTTCATTGACACGTCCATCGAAGAATTGTGCTCGGCTTTCCAGTTTGTCATGCTCGTCATCGGTAAAGGCAGCCTCCCAGTCACTAGCGGGCAGGCTCTCGCCGTCAACAGCATCGGCACCATCGGCAGTGATCAATGTTCCAGGAGGATCCAGGAATGGATCTTCTAGCTCAGTGCTTGGTACTGGCTGAGCAGAAGTGTCGGAAAGTGGGTGGTATTCCCGAGGCGTCAAGCTGGCTTCATCACGATTATACTGATCGACAGCAGGTTCCAATTTGTAAGGAGAAGAGTTAGCCATAGACGCAAGATTGCGAACTGGGCTGGATTGCTGCCACTGTGAATTTTCGACAGTCTTATTGACACCCATCGTAGGATCATCAAAGAATTGATCCATAACAGCGTCGATCTCCTCAAAGGTAGGCTCGTTGTTGCCACGACCAGCGGGGTGCGTTACAGTAGCAGAGAGCTCAGGCTTAGGCTCCTGCTCCACTGATTCAACGACATTGTCTTCAACAGGTGGAGGAGGGAGAGGCTTCTCATCGGGAGTTGGGCTGCCAGCGAATCGGGATGCAGCGAGACCCTTGGCAGCCTTAGGAGGATCAGCAAACCGTGAAGCACCAAGCCCCTTAGAAACAGTTCTCGGTGGAGGCTGGCTGGCGTTGAGACGAGAAGTACTAATCCCAGAAGGAGCACGGGCTGGCATAGGGCTGGCCACGGGAGAGGCGTCCGATTCTTCTTCGTTTTCAGTTTGGGTGGTTTCTCCATAAGAATTCGCACCAGGTTGAAAGAGTTCGGCAGTGGCAGAGAGAGTCTTCTTGTGCTCGTGCTTGAAGTTATCTTCACCAAATGGTCGAGCATCGTTAAAGTTCTGAATATCCTGGTTGGAATCAAACTCGAATGGTTTCCAGTTATTATTCTCGTTTGTGGACGTAACTGAAGGCGCCGCAGACGGAGCGGCTGTAGTAGCCTTGGTGTCGATCTGGTCCGAGGTGACAATAGACGACATTGACGTATCAGCAGGGAGAACATGGTCATCTTGTGTGGCTTCCTGAGTTTCTTCAGCTGACCCATCGGTCTTGGTAGGTTGTTCAGCGAACAATGGCACATCATCACCGCCAGGCGCAGAGCTCCGTGCTCGCTTAACTCTGTTCTCATCAGCTAAAGGTCGACCGTCAACATCAAACTGCTGCTCAGCTTGATCCGGCCTAGCAGATGATTGACTGGACGGTCTCATGATGGGGATAGCCTTTGACTTCTTGTTCGATTGCATGTCACTTGAAGAAAGGTCAATACTTCCAAAGATGCTGCCATGGCCCTGGCTGGTTGGACTTGTGAAGGCATTAGAGTGAGGGGTGAACGTAGGCGCAGCAACGTTGAATTTAGGGCCTGATGTTGAAAAGCTAAAGGAACTTTCGCCTGGCGAGAAAGACGGCGCATTGACGTTGATTTTGGCTGGTGTAACATGTGTAGGCTGTTTCGCAGGAGGTGACGTAAACATGTTCGTATCAGAAATGTGAGTGTTCGCCTGGAACACTGAGGGCTGGAATCCAGATGCCTCAAAACTGGCACCCTGAAATTTGCCAGGTTCAAAGGTGCTCGCCGTAGGCTGGAAGGTGCTACCAGTTGGTTGGAAGCTACTAGCACCAGGTCTGAAAGCACTGGCGCCAGGTTGAAAGCTAGTCACGCCGGGTTGGAAACTTCCTGTGCCAGGCTGGAATGTACTAGCCGCTGGTTCAAAGCTACTGGCACCAGGTTGGAAGGTATTGCTCTTGCTGCCAAAGTCAAACTGGCCAGGAGTGAAGGAACTCGTGGGGTTGAACTTGAACTCAGGTGCTTGCACATTAAGCTTTGACAGCGAAGGTTTGCTGGCATGGCTGGAGCGTCGATCCATCTTATTCCCGCTGTCAACTGAGCCAGCATCGTTCCATGGGTTGCTAGCTGTTGAGAAGTTCTTCTGGTGACCGAATCCAGGGAAATCAAATTCTTGAACAGGTGTGCCCAAATTACTGGGATTGGTCTCAATCTCATAAGCATCGTCAGGTTTGTGGGACTCGGGGATTTCATTCAGGCTGCTGAACTTGGTGAGATTGCTCTCATCAGCAGTAACGCTGTTCTCGTTGTGATCACGGAAGTAACCCTGTGATAGAGAGTGGCCGCGGCTGTGAGGTCGAGGATGATGCAGAACCAGGGGTTTAGATTGTTCACTGGCGAATCGCTCCTGGACAGTGAATTGACCAGATGCTTGATGACCATGAGCCGGGACAAACGGATCTGGGAGGGTAGCAGGTTGCTCGTTTTGAGGTTGGGGGTTGTAATCCTCGTGCTCCAGTTCGTTGCGAAGCTGCTCTTCCAAGTGGTACTCCGCATCATCAATCTCGGCCTGGAGGGTATCCGTGTTCTGCTGCTGAGGAGGTTCGGGTGTCTTTGATGGGCTCTTGCTTGCAGGCTCTTCCTCGTCTTCGCGGACCTCTTGCAGGCGAGGTGAGTTTCGAGCAGGCTGCAAATATGAGAATTGCTGATGGGGCAGCATGGGATATTGTAGAGACTGGTGACGCTGGTGCAGGTTCATGGCGGCGGGACTCTCTGCTCCGAAGGGGGACTGAGGAGACATCATGCCCATGAGAGAAGGCGAATCATGGCGGTTAAGCCCTGGCCAACCCGACGGAGATTGTTGTTGGAAGCCAAAGGGCGAGCTGTTGGCAGGGAACGAAATGGATTGCCGTGGGTTGAATTTACCGGGCATACCAGCGAAAGAAAGTGGTGAGGCACCATGAGAAAGACCCGGACTATGCGTCGAGGGCCGTACGAAATGGCCTGGTTGGAATCCCGGCATACCATGGTTACTTGAGGCCGAGGAGGTGGGTAGAGGAGGAGAAAATGGAAGAGGGGGATACTGAGCGGAGGGTTGACGGCTGAGGTCTGTTGTTGCAGGAGAGACAGAAGGTTGCTCGGGCTCATCATCACCAAAAGATACACCAAGCGCTCGCAGCTTCGCTTCCTGAAGCTCATTCATATAATCTTTCCAAGCATTCAAATCGGGAAGGGTAACCTTGAAGCTGCGCTCTTCCCTCTCTTTAACCACCTCATCAAAATCTGGCCAGGAATCTCGGGTTTGAGAATCCGCTGTACCTTCAACCTGATAGCCCTCGACTTCCAAGTCAAAGCCTGAAATGTCATATCCAAGCTCTTCCCATGATGAAAACATCCTCTCTATCTCATCTTGACGTAACGGCATGGGCGCATGGCCAGGTTGGCCTCGCTCAGTGTCTCGCGGTATGAGAACCATGATGTTCTTGCCTCTCCATGGTACCTTCTTTTTTAGTCGAGGTGTTGGTGCTGGTTCTTTAGGAAGAGGTTTTTGAGTGCCCTTCATCGGTGTTGCAGGCAGCGCTGGCTCCCCATTGGCGGTAGCACTAGGGACACGCTTCTTTGGACTTTCTGCGACAGGTACATCCGGGGTGGAGGCGGCCTGAGACCTGTCGCTCGCCGCATCGTGCGTTACTGGCGCGGCTTCGGAGGTCGCCATACTGCTGTTCTGTCCCGTTTTGGGACTGAGAGAATCTCCTGGTCGGAGAGTCTCGATGCTAGATCTGGCCCGCGGATGGTGTCCAGATCCTTCTCGAGACAGATCCCTTGTTCTCTGGATGGGTCGGGGAGTGCGCGCTTCGCCCTCTTCCAACCAGCCAGGTTCAGAGCCGCTCACCGAAGAGTGCTCGCTCCCACTTCCGTCACTAAACCAGTGTCGACTCTCTTCGTTTGGGTCGTCAGTGGTGTGCGTACGTATCCAATCCTCAGTAAGACCACGAGTCTGCCGTCGAGCACGATTCGCAAGAACGGCGGCGGCAGCACTCAGCGAAGAGCCTGGCGGGTCGGACTGTGAACGTAGCAGATCAGGAATTGGGCGTAGAAAAGGGGTCTCGATATCCAGGTGATGAATTGGAGAGTCGTCCGAGGCTTCACTTCCAGAGCTCTGACGACGCAGGTTGCGGTCTGACTGGGGATAGGGAGAGCCCCAGCTGGCAGTACCGAATTGGGTTTCGTCGGGAGGTGGTGTCCTCAAAAATTGTAAAGCTCTTTCCGGGAGTCGAGGAGCTTGAAGCGGAGGAAGAACTGGCGAAGACTCGATCTCCTCTTCGCCGTCAACAGTTGACGTATTCGAAAGTGTGGGAGAAGCCGGTGAGGCAGGGCGGGATCGAGAGTATGAGGCTCCGTGACCGTCCTGTGCGGGTGCACCAGGAGGAGCAGCCGACAACGTTGTAGAAGACGTCTTTACAGCGGCCTGTTTGTTTGGTGGCGGACCCGGTCAGCAACTGTGAGTTATGCAGTGGCGTCTGGAGATGAATGTGTGTTCTGCCAGCTCATACATGTCCAAGACCAAAATAAGGAAAATATGTTTCGGTCTACTCACCCAGGGAGATCAGTGCAGACTAAGAGTATGTCTGCAGCTGAGTCTCAAATAGAGCCAGTCCTTTCTCTCAAGGTCGGTCGCTCAGTTGAAAAGCCGATCTCGAAGGCCTGAGGGAGGGGACACAGGTTTGCGAAACCGTAATCGTGGCCGATATTTCCTAACGGTCGAGAAATATCTGGATACTACGCGACGCGTTGTCCAACTTTAAGGGGGCGGACGGAATGACGGTTTGCCTCGAGAGCTATTTAGGTGGGAAATTTCCGGGGTGTGGAAACTGGCTTCCAGGGGTGTCGCGCGAAATACTGTAATAGAAAAAAAAGTGTCTATCGAGAACCTACGAAAAGAGCTTCATGAGAGAAAAAGAGTGGCCAGAAGACAGCAAAGATGAGAAAAAGATGATGCCGGCCAGACACATCGGGGTTTTGGGAATGTTGTCAGTTGCGAAGTTGGGCGGCCAGCATTAACGGGAAGAAGGAGAAAAAGGACAAGATGGAGAAGTTGCGTGGACAGAGAGGAAGGAACAGTAGAGCAAATTGAAGACGTCTCTCATTCGAGGGGCGTGATATGAGATTAGATGAGCCCTCGAGAGCTTTGTTTGATAATGAGTGGACAAGGCAGCTCAAAACTTCATGCTAACTTGGACTAGAGTCAAGAGAGGGTCGAGTGCCATCTGTCTGTACCTGCACATGCAGCTGCCTCTGGTGTCGGTGGTTTTTTCTTGCACCTGCGCTGGTCGGCGGCCACTTCCAAGTTTGGGTGTGTGTGCTGGCCCAGCTTTTCCTTCTTGGTGACGCTGTAGAGCACAAGGATTGACAGCAAATCATCCAATTCAGACACTGAACAGTTGGCCACTTGGGAGAATCGCTGTAGCCTCGTCCACAGGGAACATCTTCAAAGGAGAGCTATTCTGTAATGAGACCCGCTCTCGTCGGTACCCGCACTGGCCACGACGTAATTTCGCCAAGGGCCCCTGGCATCTTGGAAGAATTTCGAAGCGATGAACTCGACAGACGATAGGTTGGTAGGTAATACCTTTGTCTGTATTGCGAATTGCGCTTTGGTGGTGTATCATTCATCATTTTCATAGTTTCAACACGACCCGCACCTCAGCATGCTACAGCACGACAACTGGTCGAGCACTGGCGGCTGATTTGGTTGTCTCTAAGGCTTCTCTTCATTTGCTCATGACTTGTTACCTTCAAATTAAAGCAGCAGGTATTGCATCACTGGCCGCCAGCGCCTGTATCAGTACGCGACATCACTGTTGAGCCTGGGTTCCGATATTCTTCCATTTCTTCTTCCATGGTTCGAGGATGAAAATGCCTGCACAGTCCCATCCATCTTGGGATAGGCCAATGGACAAGTGGATTCGCATTGAATCAGTCCAGGTCAATCATTTCCCCGGAGTTTAGGTCTGGTTCAGGTTTGACAACTCACCATACTACCTTCCCGGCCAACCTTACCTCGCAACTATCATCGTGATATCACCCAGCGGAATGAGAGGTTTAAGAATCATGCCCGTCTAACTCTAAAACTTTCCTTTCTCGCACTGAGATCTCAAGGAATCGAAAGTCAATTTTTTTGCCCCTTTCTTTTTTCTTACCTCTCCACTAGGACCCTTAAAAATGTCGGGGCCGCACCCGTCCGTACCTTGAGCTAGCTCGGGCCTCCACCGTCGTTAACCTTTGGAATGCCAGTTCAGGAACCCGGGCTGCCGGCTTTTCCGCTTCAGGCCGACAAGGGCTTCTATGCTAGGCTCAAAGTGAGCTGAGTCTGGCTCAGCCCGAGTTTGATGCATTTACCCTATATCAAATACAACGTGTTGTTTGGCACCAATGCGTATTTATGATTCATCATATTGAAAGTACCTCCGAGCCCTTTCAATCTGCTCATTCTTTATTAGACTTACCTGATTTTCTTGGTGATGCATGTACCGCAAATGAAAGGTCCGAGTCTAGGATACACCTACGGTGCATAAGTAGCAGACGTTCAACCAAGGGTTTCGCTGTTACGCCTCCATCACGAAATTCAGTAGCCGTTAAGCCGTGATTCAGAATACATTGCCCACTCAAACAACGAATTTCGATAGGCATGGCCAAGAATATGTGATATGTTCGGTTGGACCGACTAGTTAAAGGTGGAGATGTTTTCGTTGTTGTCATGAAGCATGATGCTCTGTACCTCAGAAACTTGGGGCAATCCACACGAAGTCCACGAGGTCAGATCGAGTAGTGGGAGAGCAAAGCTCTCAGTGCAGTGCTTATCCTCCGACAAAGCCTTGACGACGCAGGAGAAAGCCCTTACTATTAATCCAAATGGAGATAATAAAGGCACTGTCAAATCAACAATTACTGATCTCATCACATGTTTGCAGGAATACTGCTTCAAGTACGCTCATAGAGGTCCACTTCACTCATGCTCGACTTCAAGAACGCATTATACAAGCCAGGCTTGAGATATTATTAATTGAGTTTCTACATACACAATCCCATTACATAGCGGATGGTTGGCTTGGCTGCGGGAGGGAAGAAGTATATGTTTATATGCAGCATGATCAAGCCCAGACAACTCAAAAACTGGAACCATGAACCAGGTCATGCATGCTGCAAATGATTTGCCCCAAATACCGCAAGGTTTTGGGACCCAGGGATATATGCTGCTTCAGCCGATTGCAGCCGTGACTTTCATTATCAAATTCGTACAGCACTTTCTATATGACTCCCCTGTGAAAAATATTCGTGTCCGAAACGCCTATGACCTTGAAGACCTCCATCGAAACGAATGGGTGCAAAATGTGAAAAATAAAGGAAAAGAGAATGCTTTTTATCAATGATGCAAAGGAAGTATGAGACTCCGTCGTTAAAAGTTGGACGAGGCGTTCACTGGTGTTGGCTGGTGATAAGTGTCCAGCGTGGATTGGAATGGGCTGCGTTGAGGCCCTGAGCTCCCGACACTCCCGTACTCAGTCTTCTCAATGCTGTGATAAGGGCCGTTGCTGCTAGGACGGCTATTGTTCTCGTTGAAGTCCATAAGACCATCAGCTTCTTCTTGGTGCTTCTTGCGCCCCCAAATTCGCCATGCGACAAGGCCAAGGGCACCAACAACAATTGCACCACCAATACCGACAACAACTCCGATAACTGTGTTGCGGGTCTTGGCCGACATGCCTGAAGAGCCTCCATCGTCACCACCGTCGCTCAGACCAGGTGTTGACGTAGACACACTCGTAGTAGTCATGGTCTCAAGATCCCCATCGCTGTTTGTCCTTGTGACGACGGCGACGTGCGTAGAGGTAACAGGTCTAGCGGTAGTCCGGGTGTTCTTCTCGGCGGCAGTGCTGGAAGCCTCATCGTTGTTCTCGCTGGCGGTGCTGCTGGCGTCGTCACTGTTCTGGTTGTTCCCGGATGTGCTAGTGGCTGCTGGGGAGTTGGTTGTCGACTGAGCAGCAGTCTTGGCATCAGTCGCAGAAGCTGATGACTCGGCGTTGTCGGTAGCCTCAGATTGTGTGGCAGCAGCTGTCTCAGAGGGCTTGCTATCAGCAGCACTAGACTTCTCGGCAGGCTTGCTAGTGGGAGAAGCGTTTGTGGGGGAGGGATCGGCAGCGGTTGTCTTTGCAGAATCGTTGTTGGTAGGCTCAGCATCAGTGGCAGATGGTTTTGTTTGTTCATTAGTAGCCTGAGTAGCCTCAGCGTCGGTTTTGGCAGAGTCGTCCGAGGTAGGGTCGGCTGCATCAGTAGGAGCAGGATCAGACGCAGGGTCTGCTTGAGTAGCTGAAGGCTTGCTGTCAGGTGCAGTTGCGCTTGGTTGAGAGTCATCGGACTGGCTTGGGCTTGCTCTGCGGACGAGTCGACGCTCCCGCAAGTGAATCTTGTTGAGATCAATCCATGATGCCTGAGCGACGCAGACAACGGCAAGAGCTACCATTAGCAGCTTCACAAGGCGTGTCATGTACATGGCGACTGAGGTTGTGGAGTGTTTTGCGAAAAGAAAGGTTGACTAGGTAAGGTAGGCAGGATATGCCAGCTGAGGTATGCAGAGGTTGTCGTCCTGGCTCACAACTGCTAAGGGGAACGAAGGCGTAATCGCGCTTTAAACTGGCCGCTGACGCGAACTTCCAGAGGGATACACAACCAAGTGAGGAATCTGGGTATCCGTGATCAAGAGTTGTGTCAAATCGTCGTTTGTGACTACCTGAACGAATAGGCGTGAGACGAAGAACAACAAGACTTTTTCTGTATCTGCAGTGGATAGTCGTTTGATGCCAAATGAGTTGCGTGAGCGAGAGTGAGATCGACGAGCCAAGGATTAGCTGGGATGCGATGTTAATTTAAACGATAGAGGAAATAAAGACAGAAAAGCGAGAGTGAGTAATACGGAGGTGAATAGAGTCACGAGAGTAAAGATTGTGTGACGGCACCGATGGGAGGAGACTTATAAAGGGACAAGGGCAGGCAGACAAAGAAAAATATGGGTAGATGGATGGATGGATGGAATGGAAAGATGGGTCAGGAAATGCTAGCAGACTTGTGAGGTCTTCTCGTATTTGTCTGCATGGATCCGGTGGTACTGGATGGAGGCTGTGCTTACCCCAGCAGACTGGGCAGGCCACTGCTGAGGTCGGGCGCGTTTGGGTGACATGCGCCAAAACTTCACCTAAAGAACCGCCTAAGACCACCTACCTAACCGAAACAGACAGCCCGTTGGTGGCGGCCACACTGATACGGACGCGTCTAGACCATGCTCGAAGCTGGGTTAGGTTTACCAGGACTTTCGATTTTTTTTTAAGGTTGCCCGTGCCGATATGGAACTTCAGTCAAAAAGCCACATAATAGAGCCAGCGTTTCGTCTCGGTAGATGTCACTAACCGATTCGACTACGAGCGTGTCTATGCCAGTTTTTGGGGCGATCTATTGTTTCTGTTTCTGCACGGTCCCCTGAATGATACACAAGAATTGTTTGTGCCCAGTTGTTCCTGACAGGAGACCCGAGTTGGGTATTTACCGACGACATGATGAATGAGACATTCCCGACTCCTCCAAATTGGTAGCTTGACGTCCTTTTTTATCCGTTTTCCTTCATAAAGCGTTGTGTTTCTCACCATAATCTACTCAGCTATACTCCGTATGCTTCACTGCTTTCAAATCAAACTGGCTATAACATCCATCTCGAATGGGTCTCCCACCCCTGTCAGCCCTCTAGGAGTCGTCGTCATCACCCTTCTGCACTCAACTGCTCACATGGAGACACACACATGTCAGTAGACGCCATGAACAAACGGCTACCTCCAGGCCCAGGCCCATTATTATGACATAGCTCATCGTCAGGGTCTTGTCAACGAAATTATTATTTTCATCAAGTGATTATCCACTCTATCATTGTCTGGGGGATCAAAGATGAAGGAATAAATGGGAGGCTGGCGTCGTCCGATGGGGAAACGGGCATCATGCATGGATGCATGTCCCCTAAAAAGATACGTATCCATTCAAAAATAGCATCGACCCACCAAGAACCTGATCCCCCCGGAACGCCATACCAAAAACTCCCCGTCTTCTCGGATCGCCAATCATACCTTAAGGAAGATATCTACCTATTCTAGCTATTCTTTCGTTCTTGGTCTTCTCATCCGTCTCCATTGTCGTCATGCTATTGCTCCCCAGAAGATCTTATAGCCATGAGAATCCACCTTCTACGACATGTTGTCAAGGTTATCTCTTGTTCTTAATTTACAGCATCATGCTAGACCTCCATCTATCCCCGCGTACTAAAACGACAACTGTCTGAGAGGCGTGGTAGTGTTCCTAAGGCCTCTGCCCCCGTGGCCCTTCATGGTTCCATGTGGAGGTGTGACCTGTCACCAAATTCCTCCTTGCTTATGGTGGTGTGAAGGACTTTTACTATGTAGTCACGCTTTGTTGATAGTCAGACCAGCGCAAATACTGTATCGCCAACCTCGCTTCCTATAAACAAGTCTCATCAACCACTCAGATCCTTTCTCGTGGTCTCGTCTGTTGATTTGTTTCATATTGAGAGTCGGGCAGTAACGTGTCTTTGATGTTACGTCACTCTAGCTAGATCTTTTGTCGATCTGTGTGAGGCTGTGTCGGGAATCATGGGGATGCTTAATATCAGTCCAACTAATCCCTTTCTCCTACCCCTTTCTCGTAGCCGTAGCCTTCCATAATCATACCCAAAAGAAGCAGGGCTAAGCAAGCACTAGAGCAAGCGTAGGAGGAGCGAACCAGCTCAGTCTGCCGTCTGCCATGAGGTTATCCGGACTAGTTCATACACACGATAGTCAAATGGTTTCAACGGAGAAGCGGAGACACCAAGTCATTAAAAAGCATTGCACTATGAGAATTGCACTTCCTATCGACACTTCTCCCTGTACGAGTGCACGATATGCTGTGAGCTAGTAAAGCTAGCATATTGAATCATACATCGCCTAAAAGACCATGCTTGTCAACAACGAACTACTAAAATTAACACAAGCTCAGCACTGGAGTATGTAGCTGTCATGTCTGATAACACTTTCCACGTGGTCGTAAAAATGTACATGCAATTTCTTAGAATGAAAGACAGTGTGTGATTGATTGAATGAATGAACGAAGGAATGCGTGTGGACGCTGTGGGCCAATTCCAGTACCAAGGAAAGGCTGCCTTTACCCGAAAACGCCGAGCAGTAAAAGAGTCAATGAAATTGTAAACCATTTTCATCATATATGGTATCTCGATGAAATCAAAGAACTAGGCGAGCCAACTGTTGAGGCTCTGAGCTACTGGCTCCATATAGGAACGTTTCGATATGCTGGGGAGTTATAGCTGTGGAGGACCCGAAAAGGGGGATCTTGAACGTACATCCCACCCTGGGAACTCTGTCTACCATGAACAGGATGATTTGGGACTGGGCTTGTAACGTAGATGTTTGGGTATTGTTGAACCATGTTCGGTGCACCATAGACAAGCGCTTGATTCTGCATCATGTAGTTCTGCTGCAGTTGCTGATTGAGGCTGTGCATATCCATCGGAGCCCATGATTGGACAGATGTTTGAGGTCGTCGTTGTTGGTGTTGCTGATGCATCTGCTGTTGCTGTATCTGTATAAGTGTAGTGTTGCTCCGAGAGCGCGGCATGTTGGCAATTTGGCGCGGCTGCGCTGGTGCTGATACTCGCCGGTGATGCTTGACTTGTTGGGCAGCAGGACCACTCTGTTGCGTACCATTACTCGAGTAGGACAAAACTCTGGAGTGTTGAACAGCATTGACTTGCTGGGAGCTTAAACCCGCGGTAGGACTCATGCCCATGCCTCGACTGGAGCTGCGTGATTCAGTACGGCCATGTGAGATCTGACGGCTGTGTGGTGTCATTCGACCATAATCTTGGGGTAACGAGAGTCGACGACTAGCGCTCGGACGGGAGTTAATAGGGAATGAAGGTGCCATAGCTCGATTTTGCGCCTGTGACTTTGCTCTGGGAGGCTTACTGCCTCGATTCTGCATACTCACCGGTGGTGAAGTCTTTGTTCGCAGCGTCTGATCCATCTCAAGCGCAGATGGACTCAGGGATGATCGATGGTTCGCTGACAAGTTAGGTGCGGAAACATTCGTACGAAGATGAGCTAGCTCGGGTTTGTCACGGCTCTCCTGTATGCTCGACTTATTGACCACCTTCCGGGTCTGTAGAGCTAAGCTGCCAGAGCTACTGGCAGCCTTTCTTGGTGCTGGACGGGATGACCATGAGCTCACAGCTCGAGGGCTGGGGGCTGCATTAAAAGAACGAGAAGTAAGCTCCATAGCGGTTGATGGGCGCCTTGGTGTGGGCTCGGGCTCAGGCTTGGAACTCAAGGCAGGGCTAGCGTCCGCGCTTCGAGAACCAAATATCTGAGCAATGGATTGGCGCCATGATTGACGTCGAGACATCTTCTTGCCAACGGTCTTCTTGGCTCCTCGCGCTACGTCCTCCCCGCGTCTTGTATTACCAAGCGCATCCTGGCTCCCAACACTCATAATAGTATGCAGAGTGTCCTTACTCGGCTCCTTTCGAAGCGAAGGTCGGTGCGGTTTAGGTATGGAGCCTGTCTCGAGTCCTAAAGGATCGGTGGTGACGTCCTGTTCGATCATAGCCACTTCCCCTTTCTTTAGGGATCCCTTCTTGCGGGAGCCATTCAGGAATCTGTATATCTTACTGCCACCACGACTAACGTCTGCGGCTGGCGAAGGTAGCTGTTCCTGAAAGTCTCCCTTAGAAAGGACGATTGGCGCTGTCGCAGTGTTCGACACTCGTGGCTCGAAACTCTTGTTTGATTTCAACGAAGAGAGACGCATGCGGCTACCACGACTAAATGACGAGAATGGACGACTAGCAGGACTCGAGGGGCTTGCTAGACAAGCCGAAGAGGTATCATCATCTGTCGACGACAACGGGACCTCGAGGTGGATAGGCAGCCGGTTACGTGTCTGAGAAGGTACTGAGGAAGAAGTACGAGTCGAATTCGAATCCGAGGGCGAACACATCCCGGACATGTCCACGTCAAGCTTTTCGGAGGCCATTGTATTCTTGTCCGTGACACCGGATCTCAGGCTGGGCAATGATCGGAGAGAGACATTGGAACTGTAACCACTGTCGACTCGAGACGCGGAGCGATGAGTTTTCTCAGACGAAGGACTTGGAATGAAGCCACTATCAGATCTTGACAATCCTTTAAGCATTTTGTTTTCGAGTCCAAGTTGCGTTTTCTTGGGGTCGGGCTTTGCATTTGGATCTTCCCTTACGTCCAGAACCTCAGCAACCGGAAATGAGACAGCATTCCCGTTCCCAGACATTCCGCCATCGCCTGTTCTAGATTTTTCTGCATCGCTCGAACACTCGGTAACACAGCTTGCGACTCGAGCAGTAAGTGATTTCTCACCCGTTATTAGCTCATTGGCCTCTGTCATGATCGAGCTCTGATTCATCAACCTGAGTGGGTTCTTGGCTTGCTCATGAAAGTATTCCGCACGAGGGATTACTAGTGCCGACTCAGAAGCCCCTTGCTGTTTGACGTCATCCTCGGGCATTGGAGAAGTTCCGGGGGCCCCGTTTGTGATGCGTAGGGATCCAAACTTCATACCACCTAGCTGTTTATAGTCAGCTTCGACTGGCGTTACGGCTCGGTCCAGGGATTGCGCCTGGGAAGGGATTGTCGTAGGCATTGACATGCGTCTCGCCATGCCAGATTCTATCGAATTGTGCCTGGACTGAGAGGGTGTAGCTGGGAGACTCTTGCGGAAACTCGACTTGGCTGAGACTGGGGGGTTGGAATGATGAGCCCTGGTTGCTATGCCTGGAGTTTGAACGACCGAGCGGCGGCGCATTGGCATGTAAAGAGACACGTCTGAGTTTGTTCTGCTAATGGATGAACCTGCAGATTGGGTGGCGTTGTTGGTATCATCCGTCGCATCCTGACTTGTCTCATCAGAATGCTTATTGGATTTGGAGATGATGGGCTCGCTTGGGAGCTTCTCCTTTGCACTGAGAAGCGTCTTGGCCTCGGCAGCTCTCGTATCGTAGCTTGCAGAGCCACGCCGTACTGCAACAGGCATGCTATTTCCAGGCAGTTAGCTCAATTTATCGACATGGAGACATGTTGCACAAACCTATCAGCGCGCGTCAGTGTGCGGTAGCCGCTATCCTGAGCAATAGAGCTGGTCCTGGAGCTGTTGACGAAAGCTGGCAGTATAGGAGACTGCTCTGACTGGATAGACCGCGTACGCGATTTCAAATCGCGCATGGGGTCTCTACATGTAGGGGATTGTATAGGACTGGAAGCGTCACCAGCTGGGACGGCTATACCGAGCCCAGGCGCCACTCTTCTCGTTGTAGAAGCCTTATTGGGAGCAGGCGGCAGCGATCCGACCAGATACGAGTTGGAGAAGTGCTCACGATGGGGTGTCACAGCAGTAGCAGTGTATGGCAGACCAGCTGCAGATGCCTGGCTGCAGTGAGGTGGCTTGGATAGTTTCCGATGCCCGCGAGGGGATTCGGCGGATTGTTCATTGCCCATTGGGCCAAACTGGTTCAACTCCTTGCTCGTGAGATGATATCGGAAGGAGAGGAGGCTGGATGCTCGGAGGAGAGCTTGTGAGATGCCTCAACAAGCAGAAACGACCGTTCACTGGTACATAAACGCCTCCATGCCGTCAAACACGAATTATCCCGTCTTTCTATTCAGCCGCGAGGATGGATGAAATTGAAGCTGAAGCTTCGCGGTATACAGGATGGAGGAGTATATATTCGTAAAGTTGGTTGATTGTTTAGTCTATAAGCTAGAAAGAGGATCGAGAATGAGAAAGAAGCTCGGTAATATGAGAATAGAAGAGAATAAGAGAGAGCGAGAGAGAGGGGAGGTTGGACGAGGTGGAGTCGAGTTTAAAGATCCATGGCATTTTTGGCGGAGTTGATTTGAAAGTCGGCGCCGCATGAGGGGAACTCCCGGGCAAGGACAAGGAGAACCTGGTTGTTAAGGTGAGGTATGAGATCCATGGGAGGGGTGAGACCATAACCAAACCATACCAAACTGGACAGGGAGCGGACGAGGCGAGACAAGACGCTCGCATCAAACAGCACAGCATAGCACATCACAAGCAGCCACAGCTTTGAGGGAACAGAGCGGAGAATAGCGCTGATGTGATGATGAAAAGAGTAACTCGATGAGGGGACACATGCAAGAAAAGAGGAGCTGCGCGTCCATGTCACTCCCGGAATAGACGAACTCTGAGTTTCCCATGTTGGAGAGGAACTAAGTTAGAGGAGCTATGATATGACGGGAAGAGAGTGGAGCTTGGAGAGCTTGAGGTTAGCAGTCTTAGCAGAACACCTAATGGTCACCAAAAGGTCACCAAGGAACCGAAGGGAACGAGCTAAGGCAGGTAGGTAGCACTAGCCAAGGCACCTCCATCGATACTTCCGATCCTAATACGATTGGACTGGATTGCACGTTTCGGCAACCGCCCAGCAGCCAATCAACTGGTTGGAAGGGCAATTGACTTCGGAAAAATGTCCTCGATTCAGAGGCGCCAAGGTTTCAATGCATCTCTACAGCCTGGAGATAACAACAAGTCATCTCACAATTTATGCGTTGGAGGCTGACTTTAGCGAGTCTTATTCAGCGATCATCCGAGGTTGTCTACCTAAGTAGTAGGTATAATTAAGTTTCCGCCATGGGCTTCGAACCGTCACTCTGCCTTGCACTCGATCAACCCTTTCCAACAACCACATCTGGAGTGATTACGAGAATCGAGTTACAATTATGTATGCAGCCTGGCAGCCCCAGCAAGCAAACGAGTGAACATGGATGTCGTGTCATTTAGGGATGGCAGGTCGATCAGGTCTTGGATTTTCACACACTATGATGATCCGCGAAATTATGCTTGTGTAAATCATCATCTTGGACGACTTCCGCCAGCTCCTTTGTTTTATCCGTCTCATAGACAATCCTGCCAAACATGAATCCATAGCATCACATTCATCGATATTGGCCAATAAAGCCCACTATAGAACAGGCAGTACCGCTTTTTTCTCATTGCAGTACAAGTCGGCGGCTGTTTGCAAAGTTGGGGAGCATTCACTCACACCCCCTGTCGGCCTCTCTCTCGGAATCTCAAGCCTCTTTTCTGAACCTGTTTCTTTTGTCTCGTCTTGCTCAATTCAAACTCCATGACGGTCGAGGCCACCCAACCAAGAGCTGACATGATGCTGTCCAACTAGAGGCTGAGCTGCAGCGTTACAGGCCGAGTGCCGTGGATATAACCTATTCTTGACTCGACCCGACTCGGCTGCAATTGTCATTGTCAGCTCCAGAACACACATTAAACGAAACACGCAAGCCGTCCGAGCGCTCTCCCCGTGGATACGATGCGATGCTAATGCTGTATCGTCGGAGTCGGTATGTTGTAGAATGGAGACCGACGCGCACCATGACTTACACCCAACACGATACGATGCGATACGATATGGCTGCATCATGATTTCCCCATGCCGTCATCTCATCATGTCGAATAGCAATGCTCCACCAAGACCAAAAGCAGCCCGCATAACACAACATAACTCAACGCACCTACCACCTCTACCGGAGCGTTTCAAATGGGATCCATCATTCAACGTACGATACCCATAGATACCTATGCACATCTGGCTAGCCCAGGTAACCTAACAGGTTAGCAGGCAACTTTAGTACTACCTTGGAGGGAGCAAAAGCTCTAAATCCGCAAGGTAAGCCACATAAACCGACTAGACCAAAGTCAGACCGACACCGTCCGCTTACTATAGGTACCCAGGCATTCTATTCATACAATGGCAGCATTATATCACTCAAATCAAGGCCTTCTGATACTTGTTAAATCCAAGTTCAAAACTTGGTTACGGTTAATATGTCATCAAACTCTGTTGTTTATCCACGCGTACAGCCACACACGCGCTCGCCGTGTCCACTACGCCTTGCAGCCAATTACTCACGCATAAACCAAATAGTCTTTGAGCCTTCCCTCTTGTTGAGCGCGCTAGTCACCTTACACTGCCAGTTTTCTGGCACTTATTATGTCAACATAAACATGAATAAAGACAAACAGACTTTCATGGCCGACATATGCCGCCGAGAGTTTAGAAATCCTAACGTGCATTGCATGCATTACGAGGCCTCTTTCTAACCCCTCACAAATTGGCGTGTGAAGTGAGGTCTAGACATTCAATGACCTTGGACACCTTGCTATGAGCCTTCTGCAGATAAGACTGACTGCTATCGAAGGTAAACTAGGGCCTAGTTGATAGAATTGCCTGGTTTGGCCTTTCTAATTGTGGCAGTCTAATTAACAAGATCTAGCCTCACCACCAACCTTTTCCGCATGACGCCCGACCTCTTGACTTCGAATCTTCAATACAGCAATATACTCCGGATGATGTTACACGAAATGAGACTCTTGAATGTGGGGAAATGCTACGGCTCAAGTCAAGACTAAAGGATCGGATCCATCCATCGGCCGACAGGTCAAGCAGAGATAGGCAGGGTCCCATCCTGGGCATTCGACATGGGTTCATTTAACATCCAAGATGACAAGCGAACTTGTCTAATCATGGCCTTTTGCTTTCGACTCGTGTTGACCGTTTCGGCTATTGCTCAGCTAACTCCCTCGACTGCGTTCTCGCATCAGGGCTCTCAGACACTCGATGGTATGCTGACAGATTGGAGTCAACACAAGACGCAATTATCACATCATCAAACCAAGTCATAGACTCCTAGTGCATGATGTTTGCAGGATAAACCCACATGGAAATCGCGAACTCGTGCCATCGAATTCTCCGGGATCGACATGAGAGTTCATCCACCCATTCACATGCGGTGTGCCATTGGCCCGCCTTTTCAGATATATCCAACACCACACGACGTGACATTCGTGTCAGCAAACTCTCAATGTTCTTCACATGCATACCCAACCTCTTCACTTCTTGACGTTCCCCGCAACGATTTTCTTCTCATGGATGCAAAGAAAGAACCCAGAGCAAAGCTTTCTTTGGCGATACCTCTTACTAGCCTATTCACAGGCTTTCCAATAAGGCATACACCCTGTACCAGATATCTCCAACTGACGCCAAATGTTCTCCAATCTACAAACGGAACTTTACAGTATCCACTTAGCCAAGCGCAAATATTACATCCTTTGAAACCATAACTCAATAGTTTCGGGCGAATGGTTTAGTGGTATAATACTCCCTTAGCATGGCTTCGTTGCTCATCAACCCTTCATCTGGGAGTGGTCCAGGGTTCGATTCCCTGTTCGTCCAACCATGGTAGTCACGTTCTATCGTCTCACTCTTTTTGCTGCTCAAACACTCGAAATGCTTCCAGAGCTCTCAGCGGATGACGCATCAAGACTATACTTCACCCTGTTAATTCAGAACGTGTATGCTATTTGAACGAGTGTAAGATGCTTGCTGAGCCTTAGACATTGCTATATACAATGTGTATTATGTGAAGGCATAGCCACCCTAAGCCAGGAACTCAGTGACCTTGTTGTCGAAATCAAGTTCTCGAACTCAACACAAAAGCGAAACTGTTCACTCTTTTCCTCATTCACCTATTCACCTATCACCATGGTGCACCCACTTCCACCGACCTGGACCTCATGAATCCTTCCTGCATCGACGTCAATACGTGACCCTATACCATATACCTGCTTCTGGCTGTCCTTTTCTTGCGGATACCAAATAGTTATCGAGCCCTCGATGATCAGATGAGTCGTAAGAGCGGCATGTGAGTGTGGTGGATAGTGAGTGTTTCTATAACCATATGTCAGAAAGGATATGTGACGTGCAGAGGCTGCAGGAATCCTCGTCTCTAAAGACAGTCGTAATAGCAAAGAAGACTTACGGCGAATCGCTCCAGGTGAAGACGCGCTCGAAACCCCATGCTCGAACTTGCTCCTCGTATTCGTTGCCGAAGCCCATGATGCTGAAGATGCAGTATTGGTGGGTGTATATGAACTCAAGTCTTACCAGTTTGATCAAGAGCGTTTGGTCTCGGTGCAGCTTTGCAGAGTATGATACGTTTGGCTTTGGAGATATCCACGAAAGCCCTCCAGTCTTTGTAGGCGACTTCCCTAATTGCTGCAGTCGTCGAGTAAGTAAAGCCTTGGGATGTGAATTACGCTGTCATTGAATGTGATTAAGGTATGACCTCACTGCTTACCTCAGTCAATGATGCTTCGGCCGACTGCGCCCCACTCCGGCCCCACCCGCACCGTCCCGGAGCCGTTCAACGGGCCTTGGCCTGGGCGTTGAATCCCATTTTAATGATTGGATTCAAGGTCGGAATGCTTTATGCCTGCTGGCAGAGCATAGAAATTACCAATGTGCTACTTTGGCAGATCAATCAGTTGGCATGAAGCATCTGTTAATCTGGAGAATAGCAGGGCTCATCATTGATGCAATACAACACACAGTAACACATGGCAGCGCAGCGCAGCACAACATGGCATGGCACAGCCCCCATTCCATCAGGCCGTCGCTATTGTTTTCACGCAGTCATCCTCATTCTTTGATGACACAACAGCCGTGGCCGTGATGCTGCTTGATCGCCCTGCTTCCTCCAGACAGTCAACTACGGTCTCTCCAATCATCTCCTCGCCCCCAAGCCTCCACGGTCCAATCTTTTCCAGCCCTGGGACTCATTATCCATTCTTCTTTCAGCCGCCCCCCTGCTCGACCCATCCCCCTAGGGCTGTGCTGCAGCACGCTAGCGAGACCTGGACTCGGCTGCTAGCTTGGCTACTGAACCGGGGAGACCGCCGTAATTTATCGCCTATCAGACAGGCGTGCTGACATCCAATCCATCCATTTTGTCGCCTTTCTTCTCCTTCTTTCAAACACATATTACTTGCCAACGCTCAATCCAAGGACCTCTGCTCTCAAGACCGGATTCAAGGTACCGATTCTCAACTGCGAAGCGAAAGACTCCGGGCTTGCAGTTTTCTCATGCTTGGTTAGACTAACGGGGCAGCCCTTCGCTCCAATGGTTTCTGCCACATAACCGTCGCCGACATCGCCAGCTTCAAACCCCAATTCGCCTCTGGGAACCATAGCTCGTCACCATGTCGCTCTTCTGTGGCCTTATAGTGAGCCATATCAGCATCCCAAATCTCTTGATCGTACCCACTAACATTGGACTCCAGCGGCGCCGTAGCGCAAAGGACGACAAACCTCGCCGCGCGCGTACTATGTCCATCTTTGGCAACTCCAACTTCCAGGCCATAGGCGCTCTCAAGGGCATGGTTCGTTTCACCACCGCCGCATCCCCAGCTCCCATGTATGGTTGGGAACAGCCTCCAGCACAGAAGAAACCGCCGATTGACGAATGCTCCAGCCGGAGTTCTGACCAGCAAGCGCCAATTCCCGATATACCAGACATTCATATTACTACTGAGATGCATGAGGCCCTCGACCGTACATACCATGACCTGCGGGGTTCAGAACCGCGACTATCCAAAGCCAAGTTTGCTGAATTCCTACGAACTGTCCAGGGCGAGAGCGAGAGCGCCGTCAGCGAACTTGCTAAGGAGGATTATTCCTTGGGAGATTTCAAATACACTTGGGTTACCGACTTCTCATGGGAGGCCACTGGGCCCTTGCCCGAAAAGGATCTCTCGAAACCTCTCACAAATTACTTTATTAGCAGCAGTCACAACACATATCTGGTTGGGAATCAACTGGCTTCACTGAGCAGAAGCTCTCCTGAAGCATACAGAACCGTACGTTTATTCGACGGAATCCTACAAGCACTTTTGAGAATGGCTTAGCTGACATTGGTTGCTAATAGGTTCTTCTTCGGGGATGTCGTTGTATCGAGATTGATGTGTGGAATGGGGATACAATTATTCCCACAACGAGAGGCAGAGCCACCAAGATTGACCACAAGCGTGGACTCTCGGGCGAATCGTTCCCCAATGTCGCTACCACGGTGATCGACAAAGTTGAAGGCTATCTTGGTGACAAAACCGCCAATCGCTCCCGCAGTACCAGCTTAGGAAGCCGAAATTCCTCCCCACGATCGAGTTTGAATCAAGTTTCGCTCGAGACACGAGAATCTGGAGACCGTCTTGACGTTGCTAAACCTCTTTCACCACGCACAAGGCAGTCGTTCCCCAAAGACGAGCCAATTGTGACCCATGGATGGACCCTGACTGCGCCGTGTGGGTTTCGAGAGGTGTGCAGAGCCGTTGGCGAGTCTGCATTCGTTGATAATGACCTTCCAATTATTGTCAGCCTGGAGGTGCACGCTGATGAGGACCAACAAGAGGTCATGGTCAAAATCATGAAAGAGGAATGGGGCGAGATGCTTGTGGATAAAGCATTCGATGATACTGGCCCTAGATTGCAACTCCCGAAGTTGGGCGAGCTGCGAAAGAGAATTCTCGTAAAGGTCAAGAAGGCTCCTGCGAAGATCGTGGTGCCTCCCAGCACTATGGATCTACCTGCTATTTACGCACACGACGAAGATGCATCGGGGTCTGAGGATGAGCATCCCTTGCAGTCCACAGGACCATCCCTGACAGGTTCTAACAGTACGTTTCCTTCACACGAGAAGAACACCAGCTCCAAGGTCCGGATCTGTGAGAACCTTGGCAAACTTGCCGTGTACACACGCAGTCAGCACTACAAGGGTCTCGCAACTAAGGAAGCCAAAATTCCTGCCCACATTTTTTCCATCAGCGAGAATCGTATCCTAGAACTTCACCAGAAGCAGCATCGCGACATGTTTACCCATAACAAGGGATACTTCATGCGCGCTTTCCCCGCAGGTCGAAGGTTCGATAGCTCAAATCCAGACCCAAGTCTCTTTTGGCGTGGCGGTGTTCAGATGGTCGCCATGAATTGGCAATATCTGGATGAAGGCATGATGCTCAACGAAGGCATGTTTGCAGATGAGAAGGGTTGGGTCTTGAAACCGGAGGGTTATCAGAGTTCAAACAAGTCTGCAGAGACTCAGGGCGAAGCCACACCAGGTCGTACCATGAATTTGAGGATCACAGTTTTTGCTGGACAACACATTCCGATCCAAGCTGGCGACGCAGCGGACGTCGGTCGCTCCGCCAGCACCCTTAGGCCGCTGATAAAGGCAGAGCTGCATGTCGACAAACCAACCGACGCTGAACGTGACGCATATATGCAGGAACACAAGTACAAAGATAAAACGGACGTTGGTAAGACGGACCATCCCGATTTCGGCCCCCACGGCTCGACCCTCCAGTTCTTGAACATTCCCAAGGTGGTCGAAGAGCTCAGTTTCATCAGGTTAGTGGACAACTTTTTCAATTCTGTCATGTATCGGTATCCCACCCTCCCACCCCCTGCTCTCGGACCGTCTCCTGTGTCTTGCCAATCACAGGTGTGTCGTGGAAACACCGCAGTAGGTCTTGTACGGTCAAAGAGCTTACACTATGGCGGTGAGCTCCTTTCTGTCCCATAGTAATAGCTATAACCCATCGGCTTCCTTGGGTATCAAGGACCAGCTGCTTTCCAAGACACGCTTTGCCCCAGGACACAGACCTCCGGTTCGGTCTGAGTGAGGCGCAGATCACAGATCCAAATACGGTTAATCATATTTGATCGTCGGGTTGCTATTTGCCGTTTCCCACACTATCTAGACTGGTATGGTCATATCTGGTGCACCGTGATGGTGACTCGTGCCATTCACCTCGCCATCCTTGAGGTCCGCCAGCTAGCGGGGCGGGGCGGGACGCAAAGCTTGTTGGTCGGCAACTCTTGCTTTATATTGTACTAATTCGATCAATCCCCTAGGTTCAAGGTCGAGGACGATTCAACCAAGCTTGGCAGCTCGCCACTGCTTGCCTGGGCTTGCATTCGCCTAGACCGTCTGCGACCCGGCTATCGATTCATCCGACTCATGGACTCGAAGCCCCGCGTTGTACCAGGGGGGAAGCTGCTGGTTAAAATTGAGAAGACCCTGGTTTGATCGATAGTATAGTTCATCCTTGCGAATGATGCTGTACATCCGATCCCAAGGGCATTACTCGTGTACTGTGGCAACTTCCTGCTGTGATGATGCTTTGTGCATGCTGCACAGCACTACGACAGCGTCTACAGCAACCTGCGTCACACACAGACTGACCATAGGTCTTTGGCTGCCAGCATATCTCATTTCGTCATCCTGAGGTTTAGCCCGGTCAAGTCTCTTAGACACTTTCGGCCTTTCTGAAAATGTGTCAAATCACGGTCAGATCGTATACGCGGATGAGCTCTCATCCTGGAGGGGGTTTGAGTAACTGGCCCCCGTTTTGTTTTCTGTGATAGTGTTTCATTGGACTGATAATGGTATAGCTGGGATTTTGGTTAGATTTAGACAGGAGTTTTGGGATACCCAGGAACAATGAATGTTTTGTGCCATTTCTCTTTGCCCTCAAGCCTTCCGCCGTTTGTCGTAGTCAGTGCTGAGTCGAATTGGCATTGCTCATCTGGCTATCTGTCAGTCGAGGAACGTCTTTGTTCACCCGTATAATAATGCTCAGACGAGGGCCAGATTGCCTGCATAGCTCTTTCTGACCCGCTGCAGCCTCGAGTGACATTGCATGCATGAAGAACGCACAACACCTGGTTAGGAGCTTGGTGTGCCAGCGTGGCGGCACTTATCATGCCTTACAAGTAAACTACTGCATACACATTGCGAGGACACTACCCGCTCACAAATCATGAATTGATTGGTATTTGCTCTATGTGAAACGTGCTCGTTCAGCTCTCCAGAAAGGAGCAGTTTCACAGTTCGCTGTTGCGCAAGTCAAAACCTCTTTGGGGACTTTCTGAGATTGTGAGTTCAGCACCCTGCTCTTTCTAGGTACTCTGGCCTTACAAGGAAATAAGCATGGCCGAGTCGTTGATTGACAAGTATCGAAGCGCTGATATAGTCGGTTACCAACAGTACACGGCAGTAAAAGTAGTAACGATACTGCTCATCCTCAACAAGCCGCCGGTGTTAACCCTGCGCCCCTCCTTTCTTGACCTCGGGAACCCTAGCGCAGTCGGAGGACCTCACTAATCGTTCATCAGATGGGATACAGTATGTTTAGTCTATGGGACTGAGCCTGACTCGTATGGTGGTCTCTATGTTGCAAATGATGGCCAGTTTTTCATGAGTACTAAACGTTATCCACCTTGAAGAACTTCGAGGCTATAGTATTGACCATGGTGATAATGGTAGTTCTGAGGGCTGGGCGCTCGCACTCTCACTGCATGTGTAGGTCAAGTCTGGGCGTATGGTAGCAAGAGATTGTGCAAATATTACCATGTTGTCATGCATTCAACTTGCATATCTTCCAATCTAGTTAATGCCCTGAAAGGGCTGAAGAGGCCGGAAATTCCGATCGGGCACAAGCGGCACTAGTCTAGTCCATCTGGAGGTGAGTTGAGTACAGTAGAGATAGCCATATGCAGGCCAGGGGGACAATGTCGATAGTCGCCGCGGCTAGATGCGACTAGTCTGCAGAGTGGTTGTTGGTAGCAGAGAGGCACGATGGGGCTGGTGCACAAGGTTGTTGTGAATACGGGGTCTGATGTGTATTAGGGAGGCTACCTACCTAGCTAGGGCCCCAGTGGGCAGGCTACATAACAGAGGGATGTGGGGGCCTCAGGCACACATATCTCAACACTACCTGTCACTGGCCTAAATACTCGAACAGCATAACTATACCCTGATTCTATGCATCTCGTTGCGCCGTGGCCGGATTTGTCCATCGCAAACTAGGCTTGACTCGGAATACACAAGGTTTCTTCTCAGCTGTAGAGTGGGATATGCGCCATGGCCTTTGCTCGTAGTGGTAGAAGTTGATGTCTAGACAAAATAGCCTCAGTCGACTGACCACAAACGATAGAGCCTGGACCTGTCGCATTCCAAGTTGTTTGACTGTTGGTTAAAGTCATTGGCCCGTCATTGAGCAGCTAAATGCAGTTGATCATGTTGTCCGTGTGCCGTTGCGGATCCTTCAGAATGTCGGACATTGTCCTCCTAGTTGCAATCACGATCAATTGTCAGTGCGTATTTCGTTATGTCCTTCGTCCAGTGCTGTACATGTATGCACCTCGTAGCCATTAGAGGCTTTAGGCCAACACGTTCCACACTCAACACTTCAGGATCGGTTGGAGAGCTTGTTGGTACACGCTCCATCGTATCAAATGCTTTAACTTTCCATATCGTGGCTGAGGTCCCTCCCTTTCCACAATACCGCACGCTACATCTCATGCGAGGTTCAACGGGCCTGTCTCAGCAAGAGAAGAGCTCTACGGGTCTAGCTGTGGCATTCTAGGGAGCTAGTCTTTGATACTGATTTGTGGCTGCAGTCTCAACGGTCCCGTGATAAGGCCTACCTGTGGCTACTGTGGAGTCGTTACGAGGCTTGGCTGTTGGGTTATCTTGACAAAAAATGATGAATTTGCCCAGGTTAGGTTTGCTATGTTGGCTAATATAAATCTAACTGACGCACCTAAGCCTTGCTTTGGAGTGGGTCAACGACCAGCCCAGGTGCATCCTTAACCGGAGTGAGGACGCGCATGCTAGAAGCCACTTCCGTGTCTAGGGAAGAAAACACGAGACTGAAGTTTGATAAATAAGTGGATTTCGGTGTAAGACAGTTTCATGTGTACCCCCGCCCCCAAGGCGTATCACTAAAGGCTTACAGCAAGCATTTTGTTAGATTTGTTAGATTTTATAGTATTATACCACTCGAGGTTGTATGGTGGATGGCTGCAAGTGCCAGTCAACTAACCTAGAACACTTGCAGAATGCCGCGGTAGCAAAAATTGCTCAGGCTCGACTGAAGGGGTTCGTAAAGGAGAATCTGCCATGACACGTTTGCGGCTGGCTGGGCACACCTGTCGAAAACGATATCCCTCCATTAAGGACTGGCCATTTTTGCACTGACTGGCCGGAGGGCCGACGTGTAGACACCAGGAGTGGAGCACGAAAAAGCAACATGAAGTTGAAAGCTAAGGTAGCCGGGTAGGTAAGGAGGTAGGATATTATACAATTTAGCTATCCGCGTCAAGACCATGCATGCATGTATCCAGCTGATAGCGTTGGTGGATAAAACAAAAGTAAAGTCTGATTCGGCTGTTATACGCTATCCGCGCGAAAAATCCTTACTACCCAGTAGAGGGCCGGACGTTGAGAGGACCCAATCTTTGGTACTTTTCAGCTGGGTCGGAGATCAACTCCTAAATCTGTCAAGTCTCTAGCGGTGAGTCGTTTGGGAAAACGCCCAGCGTGGAAACGATTTATAGCACCAAGTCGGGTGTTTTTGGCATCCAAAGTATGGCTCGAGCTATCGTTTTTGTTGATTACTGATTTTATATTAACTCTGAACCAGGTCCAAAAGAGGTGAACAAGTGTCAGTTCTTATGGAGATCGATCGACTCCAGAAGTGGCGCATGCAGCTGCGTAGGCCTGTAGATTTTGTTTCGAGTACGGCATTGTCTGGTCTCTCGTGGTCGACGTCATGAGAGATAATCCATGTTAGTAAGTCGTACTGAAGTAAAGGCTACCCAGCCATTAAAGAATTCACAAGGATAACAGATAAACAGAGCCATGGCGAAAAGGACAAGTTAGGATGAACACCTGAAAAGAAGAAACGAACGCAACTGACGAATTTCACAACGAAAGCCAATATAACGTTACCTTCCATCCCACCCCCCTTGGAAGCGGATCGATCGTGGCTTGCCTGGGGTGCTACGGCGATCGTAGCCAACGAGATGGGTTTTGATAGGGACCTCACATACCTTGGGTATCTTGGTCGAGGTCGTTGAAATATTTTGGGCATACCGCTGGCGCATTGTAAGGTAAAATTCTTACTCTATGGTCTATGTAAACGTTAATGGCGTCAGCGCCGAGATTGCTGGTCTGTGAAAAAGCAATTCCCTGTTGGAACTATCGCTCGAGCACAACTTGCGAATTGGTGAATAGCTTTATTAGCTTCAAAGGTGCCATCAGCTCAATCAGTGAGGGCAATGCCGCTCACTGTTACGATAATCGGTCCTTGTGCGTTACCAACGGAAATAGCCAAATCAGCACAGGGGAAGGGAATGGAGAATGAAGATCTCATACTAAAATTGGGTTTGAGTTCCAGATTAGAGAAGCCGAGATGAGATCGATTCTTAATCGAGGTCGATTGGAGGAGGGGTTATGAAGACGAGGGGCTGCAGCAAGCAGGGGAGATGCATCTTTGACTGCGCAGTTTTCAAGGTCACCCCTGCCATAACAGCCTGCCTATAGGAAGATGTTTAGCACATCGCACAAACCCAACAGTTCATGGGTACCCACCTAGGTTCCTTGAGCAATACCTCGGTAGGTAAGTACCTAGGCACCTACTACAGGTTGAAGAATCTGGCCTCAATGAGTCCTTTCAAGGAAGCCTTGCTCATTTACGAGTCGTGGATGTGTGCTTAAAGCCATCGTTTGAGTCAATACGTTGAATTTCAGCTGTGACATGAAGCTGGGCTTACCTAGGCTAGCCCAACTAATAATGGCTGTGTGTAGTGGGGGGCCGCTGACACCAACGATGACAGGACCACGATATTGGTATGTCACTGGAAGGGTTCTAGAGCTTCTCAAGAACTGCACGACCTAAAAGCCACTGTGAAGCTTTTACATGAACACCACTCGTAGATAGTAGCTAAGATTTTCTGTACTTGGGACATTTCTCGCATTTATGCTATTTTCATAGGAGTCATGAGACCAGCGCTGGATGACCGCACTCACTTGTATATGTGAGCCTTCCTTGGACAAGAAGGGAGATCTTCGACTGGGCGGGCTTGTTGCAGCATGATAAGTTCGAGGCACGTCCTATTCGAAGAGTTGATAGATCAGCAAAACTGCGGCCTTACCCTTCAGAAACCAAAAAAAAGGCTCGGAATCTGCCCAAATATCTTCAGCTCCAAGTGAGGTATGATGAGGTACCTAAGGTACGGAACAAACAGTCGAGGTAAGCAGCTTCCCTCTGTACTGTAAACAGATCTATGGCTGGCTAGTAGGCACGCAGCGGCACTTGGCGGGTCAGACGCCGATCAGATCCAACCTACAGTATGCAATGCAGGACAAGGCAGAGCGAGACCAAACCTGGTAGGCAACTAACCAATCGCAACATCAGCCTTCCCATCCATCTCGTCTTCACGAGAGGGAGAAACCACTCACTTCGACAACGACCTCCTCGACAAGCATCAAGGATGACCGATTGGTAAGGTATCCTGAAGTGTCGAATCCTACTTTTGGTTCCGTTGCTTCTTGGAAGACTGAGCCTGAGACTAATTAAGGGACCAGGACCTGGATTATCCGCAGGTTCGTGAACCCCACTGGCCCCGTTACTCTTCACTCCATCCCAGGCCGGTCTGTCAGGACCCCAACTAATTGTCCACCCTCCGTTAGGCTGGGTTTGTCTATGAGCGTGCACGAGTCGAGACTATGACGTGAGATTTATATGGCTCGCATGGGGACGAACAACTCGTATAGCTGAGGACCAAAACCTGCTTGCCAAGACGCTCCTCGACCTGACACTTGAGGTAACAATACATAGTCTATGCAAACTTTCGAACGCTTTCTCTGACACCAAGCGTGCCTACAAACCCGATGATTTTCGGCTCGGGATCCATCAAGCAAAAGATTCTCTCACAGGAAGAGGCAAGTGGAGCACAACGCAATACCTTGAAAGAATCCGTGCGGAACTGTGGACGCTTGACCACTACCCCTCTACAATGTTACGCCAGCTCCAGCTGGTCGGTGAGATAGCTTGACGCACTGGCGATCGTTCCAGCTTTCAAAGGGAGGGGGGCGTTGAGCCGGCCCTGGCGCGGCATCTGATGGATGGGTGCGGTTGCTTTGAGCTTGAACTTACAAATTGAGGAGTGACGAGGGTCCATCATTCCAGAGCCCTGGTGCCCGCCAAGCCCTGGGGTTGGTCCGTGGTCCGTGGTGGATTGATGGTGGGTGCGCGCGACTGGGGGCTTAGATCGCGTTCTTAGGGAAATTTCCCATGGGATCTTCAGATTCACCACCTTTGCATAACGCACAGACTCTGTGCGAATCTTCTCATGTTGTTCGTCCACTCGGCCCAGCTTAACAGGCCATCCAAGTATGCCCCAGGGTGTCTCTACCTGGGAGCCAAGCCAAGCGGCTTGAGCAAATCTCCTGGACTTGATCATAATTCAAGTTAGCAAGTCAGCACCGTGGGCTCCTTGTCATCGTGACCCTCTTGAAGACGAGCAGTCACAACTTTGCTTTTCTCTGTTAACGCCAGTCCATCACACCCCCCATATCCTGGCCAATTAGATACTCAACCGCCGGCCCGGTCTATATCTCCTTGCCGCTAAAAAAAGAGCATTTCTCTCACATTGCCAGTTCAATTCGGTTTTCAGCCCGGTCGAAAAAATCACTTTTACGAACCGTTGTGAGCGAGAACAGATACTGTAATACAGAAGAAGCGAAAAACAACGCCGCTTTTGACTTGTTTGTTCTACAGTGTCTTCTTTTGTTACTGACCGAATGCAGGACGACATATTTGATCCCTTTAACAAGCAGCAACTTCGAGGTTCAGGAACAGACCAAAAGAAAAGATCCAAACAAAGAAGACCCCGCCTCCATCGATATGGCCCACAGCCCTGCTCAAGGGCGGCGCCACGCACCTCCCTGGCAAGCAATGACAGCTTGAAGACTCGCAGGAAGTCGATATGACAGGTCTGATGCTACCACCGCTTGGCCCCAGCATGCCCACCGAGACTACGGTAGGTTGTACACGCTACTGATCATCGAGTGAATGGGAGCATCATCCTTGTGTCAGGGTATTGCGTACCTGTCTTGTCTTTGAGCAATACCCATACTTTGTTCTTCGACCCCTTGATTTTACCCTTCCTGGGCCTCCTCAGTCCATTTACACACTATTACTAGTCCTCGAAAACCATAAATCCCATCCAACCCCCATACTTCAACAACTCGTGCCTTTCCAAGCTTTATGATACAGTGCTCGTGACTTTAATTTTTATTATATATTGCCTGCCCACAGAGTCATTCTTCTCTTGCATCAAGCTGTCAACCCAAGTAAGAGTCGACCTCCATCATGGCCCTCCATCAAGATATTCTACCCACCCCCTCGCCCTCCATGCTGTACCATGGAGACCAATACCAAAACACAGCATCGTTGTTGCAGCCGGAACTAGAATGTCAGGCTGTAGTCGAAACCTTCAACTCTGCTGGACCTCGGGTCTTGTGCAGTGCCTTCAGAGCTCAGAAAGTTCCTGGCACTCGATGTCCTACCTGTGCCTTAGCTGGCAAAGAAGTTTGGGTAATTCCTGGTCGCTGCTGCGGATACTGCGGTACTCCTTGTGTCGACTAGATCTATCCCAGGGTCGAGGTGAGTTTATGAGAACCTCAAATGAACATGTAACTAATTAGCACAGCTTTGACTGCTTCTACCTGGTTCAGAGCTTGCCCAAAAGCACAATGCCAAGATGTTGTTGAGCATTTCTCGCCGCTGCGAACCACAGGACTGTGGATCTCAAATGTCAGCTGAACATGACATGAGATATCCTCAAGTGCCCTTTTTCGTTAGCATGGATAGGCAAGAAAGTCTATTCCGACTAGAGGGATCTGCGACAAGTCAAGAGTGACACTTGTTGCAGCACTTCAGTCAGCTCACGTCGTGAAATGGAAGGCTCCACGACCTCTGATTGGCACAGCGGCACTCGGACCTACTATTACGTCGTCGTCGAGCATGTCTTAGAATGCCAGGGCCCAGGGGTATGATTTGGGTCTTGACAGCGATTTTCTGCCACTCCCCACTGACTCAACGGGCACCTTCAAACCGTGCTCGTGCGCGTTGGTTAATCACGAATCACGGCGATCTCCGAGTCATGCTTAAAATTGATACACGATGGAAGGAAAAAACTCATGGGTCGAAACCAAGGCATTACCATAAGTCAGTGCAGCCCAACCAGGAAGTCGGGAGTGACTCGGATCAGCCACCTTGTCACTTCGCTGAATCTCACAGGGCAGTTACATGAGGTGCATCAGATAATCGAGAATCACTTACCGAGGGCCTTACTGGGGCCCAGGATTGGTTGCATAGCCCAGCCAATTCCTGGATACGCCAAGGATTTGACACGGCACTGGAGTAAGAGTTAGACGCAATAAATCGTCAATTTTTTGTAATCGGTGTAACTTCATAATGTTCTGGCTTTTTGTGTAAAGTCAAAGATAAAACCAAAGATTGATATGTGACTCCTCACTTTGGCATCCCTGTCTAGGCTGGTCAGTGACCCAAACGCAATTATAAGACAACGGAAAATACATATCGCTATTGTGTGATCGCCTTTGTCACGAACCAATCTCAGCCAATTCTAGTCTTGGCACTGAGGTGATAATTACACTGAGACATACTAGGGTTCTGGACTTTCTTCCTTGCGCTGAGGAGATAAATCTTCATCAGGTGGCTTGAGTGACGCAACGAGGGCTGCTGAGACACCACCTTTGACAAGTACAGTACGTACTGGCCTACCCGGGCCGTTGACACGGGCCTACCTTATTAGCGAGATGCCAGCTGCTACTCTTAGATTAACGAAGGGAGTCACTTCAGCTGTCAAAGTTTGAGGGCGACGCAAGGGGGTAGTTAAGAAAACTCCCCTGATCAACCACCTCACGTTCATCGAACTGACATGGAGGAATGCATTCATCCCAGGTGTAAAGCTCAGTGTTGTATTATTCTGAGTTTTAGCTGTTCGACAATTCGCGCTCACCTTGACAATGTGATTAATACGTGGTTTAAGACACTGCGGACTCGGCGCCGGTTCCGACTACTAGATTCCATATTGGTTCCGCCCGTTATGGCCGGCCGTTGAATTCGCCCGGCTCCGGAAAGTGGAACTCGATATGCTCAGCTCCTGATGGTGAAATTGAATTGCCGTCACTCGCTGGACAGCCGCGAGCCCCACCAGAATCCATTAACGCTTGCCGCCCATCTCCCGCCCCCGCCCCCTCTCTTCCGAACTACAACGGCATTGGATTGTCTCGCGATCCCCTCAACAGTCAGTCAGCGATCCCTGCTGCCTTGACTCAAGCGACTGGTTACTTCTCTCAGTCCACGTCCGGTTAGCTAATACCCCCGCGGCCAGAACGGCACAGTCCGGCTTGGCTTGGTTTTGTCTGAGGCGACGGCTTCGAATCCAATGGCGGCCACGGAGCAGAATGGCATCGACATTCTTTGCGATGCCGCCGGCTCAGACATGCTCCTGTCGTCCCTCTTCTCCCTCGCAGCGCCTGTGTCCGTAGCCGATTCGAATCAACGGGCCCAGCCACCCTTGCAGCAGGAACAGCATGAATTGCAGCATTCACTGCCTCCCGCGTCGCCCTCGAAGCATCAAATCTTTCAGCAGCAGCAGGATCCCGCACTGCAACAACACCAAGGGGAAACACCCCAGAGAATTGCTTCTACGTTGCCTGCCAAGAGAAAACTTTCTGATGCGTCCGCCTCATCGCCGTCTCACGTCTGCCATATCTGCCGTCGCGTCTATGAGAGAGCCGACCACCTGACCAGACACCTCAGGTCGCACGAGAATGCCCGGCCGTACCAATGCACCCGATGTCCCAAGCGTTTCAATCGCGCTGACCTCTTGACACGGCATGAGACTACCCACGATCGAGATGGCGCCGCAAAAGACCGCCCATTCATCAGAAGAAGCGACCGAGCCGCCGAGGCATGTCTCAATTGCGCTGCTTCCAAGGCAAAATGCGAAGATCAGAAACCGTGCAGCCGCTGCCGTAGTAAGAGTTTGACATGTCAGATGCCAGTGAGACGCGGGAACCAATACCGGACGTCTGAGTCGCAGGCTGGTATGTCACCCTCGGACAGTTCAATGGTTGCCTCAACTACAGGCAATGACAGCCAGGTCTTTACGGCCGGTGAAGCTACCTATGCTTTGCCCCAATCGGCTATTGCTCATCAAGGTCATGCCGTCGATGCTACCGTTGATTACAGTGTCACCTCTTTTCTCGGCGCGCCCAGACTTGAGGATTCACCTGTGGAGTCTTTGTTTTTCGCCGCGACACAAAGCATCTTTCCGGAGATTGAGTTCTCTTGGGATGTAGATTTTGGCTCGTACAAGATCCCAGGCTTAGGTGTGACCGCGCGAAATCCTCAGTCTGGCAATGTAGGAAAACGCACATCACGTCAAGGCCGTAAAGATACTGTCTCGGTCGAAGCACCCCTTCAGTGTTCAGTATGGTTGTATGAGCCCGAGGCCAATGGTCAGGCAGGGAGCTCAGTGTCTCGCTCCACTACCGTTTCACCCTACTTACGCGACAGTATGTTTGCCATGGTTCTCGCCAACAATCCGACACCACATCGAGTACCAACATTTCCATCAGCTGAGTTATTGGGCTATATGATCGAGACGTACTTCAAAAGCGAAGACCCTAAAAGTGAGGCTTTTATTCATAGATCGTCATTCGATCCCTCGGCAACTAGCCAAGAGCTTTTCTCTGCCGTTGTCTCAAGTGGGGCTTCATGTATATCTACTCCGGCTATATGGCAATTCGGCCTGGCCCTTGATGAGCTTACGGCAAGTGTCATTGGGAAACGGGTAAGTATGGACCATGGTGTAGCGATGGTGAGCCAACGATATTGGCAAATGGTAAACGACATGCTGACTGCCAAACAGCTTGAATCTTCATGCCTGGCCGTGCGAGATATCACATTTCTTCAAGCGTCTGTCCTCCACCTTGAAACCGGTCAATGGAGTGGCTTCAATCGTCAGACAGAGGTGGCAGAAAGCTTCGCGCCTCAGCTTTTGACTGTAAGTCTGTTGTGATTGTGAGTCTGGCTAGCAGGCTAATTGCGGATAGCTGCTTCGAAAAACAGGGAAGTTGAGCTTCACGTCAGACTTGACTACACATACGCCCAACGCTGGCGACTCTTCTGAGACACTTGAGTCGAAATGGCAAACATTTACGACAATTGAATCTTACAAAAGGTTACTTATATCACCATGCCGAAGTCGCTAGCATATTGACTAGAGTACAGGTTGGCCATCCGTGCATTTCTCCACGATATGCAAACATCGATCGTGTCGTGGAAAGGACCTACGTTAGCATACAGCCAGCTCGACTTTGCACTTCCGGCGGCTCGTGATCTCTGGAAAGCTAGTAATTCACA